GGAATTGATTACTCCGGTCTGAAGAAGAGACGCCGACTCATGGGCGAGCGGCTAGTTTACTCACATGTACAGTTTGATAGGTTAACGACGGCGACCCACGTATATTGTAGCAACAATCAAAGCCTCCGATTCTTCGAGCGCGTGAATCAGGAAAGACGCGGGTGCACTCTGTGGTAGGGCGTATCGCAGTATTCCGCGTAGTCCGCCCATGTGCAGCCGTCTTCACTGTAGCAGCATTCTTCGGTCAGTGATCTGCGCTTCCGTACAGCGTGGTATGATCGCTCGACCTCTTCTGGAAGTTGACCATGCTCTTCTTTAAGGCCGTGATCATCATCAATGAGAAGAATCAGGGGGAGCAATCAGTGGGGCCAGGGTTTGGACCCGACCATATACTTCTTCAGGAACGGCTACAGCGATACCCTCTCATGTCTGCCCTGGCATGTCACGATATCACAGCAGTCGAATCTAGCTCGGAAGGACATTGGGAGCCGATCATCGGAACTCTTGGAATCTCAACAAAAAGCAAGGCGAGACTCGGAGCATTCGTCCTTTTTAATTTTTTGGTAGCTCGCAACTTACGAGAGTGGATTCGATCAATCGAAACGTCTTCGAGTAGAGAGTCCGGGTCTTCTCCGCTCAGGGTACGCGGCTGCTCGGAGAAGTTTTCCCTCCGGACAGTAAAAAATGGAATTCCCGACCTCTTCACGCCGTGGGCCGTGTCGTGCACCCGGCAAACGAGAAGCATATGACGGTGAAGTTGCATTGTACACCTTTGAGAATACAGACAGGATGAACCTCGGTTATCGTCACGTGTGAACTGAATTCAATTTGTTGTGGGCTAAATCTTCATATTCTAGAGATTTCCAGACGTGATCTAATTGAGGGAGGGCATGGGTATCCGTGAATCCCACACTTCCGGGATCGAGGGAGGAGAGAGGGGGAAGTTCTCGTTAATGAGACCGACAATTCAACTCAAAATGGCAACCTTCGGTGTTTCTCGGTCCTCCATACATTGGCCCAGTCGTCGATACTGCGTCTACGAAACGAAGTCATCAATGTCTCGAATACGCGGTCGTCCAACGTGTGAGGTATATCCACTGTTCTCGCTCTCGTCGCAGCCACCGCACACAGACATAAGACGCACAGAAGATCCAACATCTTTCTTTCGTGCCAACCACGATGACACCTATAGCGAGTGTCAGTATTAGTTCATCTTATGCACTGACTTCCGAGATGAGGGTGTTCTTCGTATTCGCGCTCCGAGAGCGGTCTCACATGGCGGACTCGTCAAAAAACGCGATGCTCAACCTGGGATAACTTGGCCGCCACCTCGGTAAGGCAGAACTACATCTCCCTTTCGGATGGGCCACCGTTTGACAATGTTGCTTGCAAGCTCTTGTTTTTATACTCGGATTTATTCCCTCGCAGCGAGGGTTGACCGCGGCGCCCAGCCCTGCGGCTGACATGAAGTCCATCAGCAGCCCCCGGATTCTGCTGCGGATTAAAGAAAACTCTCTCCATCCGGCTTGCCGCGTTTGCGAGTTTTCCTGGTGTCTTGACGTCAAATAACAACTTCTACTACCATCGGGACGATCGTATGTTATAGCCCCGCCAGACTTGAAGGTAGCTGAACTTGGCCTCCAAACCGTCGGGGGATCAGACCCGCCCGCGTTAGCTCGGGTCAGCTTCCAGGAGCGGTCAGGGATTGTCGTTTTGTTATTTTCGGCGGATCCGGATCACTTGGTCGTCTCACCAGACTGCTCGGCAAAGCCTGGCGGTTTCGAACTTGGGCATGCCTTTGAGTTAGTCCTGCGCATAACGTATCAGATGGGGAACGTTCCCTCGAAGCCCGAAGCTCGATGTTCCCAACGATGCGCGTAGGATGAAGAATCGGGAGTTCCGCGCAGGCGGGAACTCGAGGAATTCCTACGATCGAGCCCTGAGTGAGTCGGCCTCCTCGAACGGATTCCGAACGGAGGAGGGACGATGAATTAATGAGCGGCGCTTACATCCGGTCCGAAACAACTTGTCGGGAAACTCTCTACTCTTTTTATTAACTCTAGCGATACAAAGATTCTCGTTATGTAAGCGTATACCTAGCCTTCAACTCCGCATTTCTCTGCAGCGAGACAACTCGTCGGCACAAGCTCCCCCCAAACAAAGTGCTTCCATATGTACAAAACACATCTGGCGATCTTTTTTCTAATATACAAGCTGAGATGTTCCGCTTATCGCTGGACGGATGCAAGAGGCGCTGATGAATCAGACTTGCTTCGTAGCGTTCCTCCGACGATCCTTTGTGGCGAATTTCGGGGATTTCGGTATCGTAGGAGCCGGACATTGGACGCTATGATTCACCCGGGTGTTCTGGAACCGGTCTGTGGGTTTCAGGCTCCTAAAAGAGGAAGAACGGTCTCAGTCTTGGAAAAGGGCGAGTCGACGGGAGTCGAGGCTCGCGAGGAATCGAGGAATATCGGGCTCCCACATCTATCCAGAATAATCGCCACAATCACGGTCGAGCAGCGTCTCACCGGTAACGAGGAGGCGTTTGATACTGGAAATTCTTCACGAACTGAGCCATGGTTTGTCCGTTGACGGTCAAATCCCCGGGCATCAGTTCAGGAACCGCGTTGCTCTTTACTTTGCCAGCCGGGATGAAGGGTTTGTCGTGTAGAGCCTTCTTCACAGCCTTCACATCCGCTGCGCGTTTCTTCATGTCTCGCACGTTCGGCCCACTGACAGCTGGACCACTGTTTATCATCTCAGCTGCAAAAGGCAGATTAGTGCTATCTGATTGTCTGTATGCGGAAGCTCGAGAGGAAAGGGGCGTCGAGTTTCGAAACAAATCATGCTCAGTCGCTCCGATATAGGGATATATGTATGTATATGCATATAGGGATTCCTGTCGTCGGAGTTTCACCGTCGGATGACTCACCCACTCTACTCTTCACGTGACTGTATTGACCCGCGGTGGCTTTCTGCGTTTTCGCCGGTAGCCGATTGGCCGCTGCTGTTTTCCTCGCCAGGGCAACTCTGTTTTTGATTGCTTCTTTTTGTTTGTTGTCGCTAACCCTTTTTTCTGCAAACATCAGACCGTGTCAGAGGGGAATCGTGGAAGCATTTGGGACAAATCTAGTATGTACGTTCATCGCGAAACGCCCGGAGATGGAAATTCGCTCGCTAAACAACACTCACTGACGATCGTCTTGAGGCTCTTCTTCCGTTGCGGTCGGTCTGGAGCTATTTTCTCCGAGATAGACTTCTTTGGGTTCTGAACCGATTGGCCATTGCCCGACTCAGGCTTCGTCCCGGGTCTCGCGGAAGACCTCACCGATTTCGTTCTGGAAGGTCCGGCGTCGATCCGAGGAGCGACAACTCGGATAGGAGCGAGAGTCGTCAATCGAACGTTGGTTTTCGTGACGGTGCTCGAAAAGGGACGTTTCACAGCCTCTGATTTCACGACTGTCCTCGAGTTGTCGGTGAGCATGCTCTTCCTCAGCGAGTTCTTCTTCACGGTTTTCGGTTCCTCGGCAATCGGAGGGGTCAGGTTCTCTTTGACGCTACGAGATAACTTGACAACCTTGGTGGCTTGTTTTGGTGTCGATGTCCGCGGACCTGTGCGCTTCGGGGGCGCCACGATGGTCACGTCGTCGTGTAATGCTTTGTTACGGACGGCATTGCCGAGGGCTAACTTGAGAAGCGACCGAGGCGGAGGCCCAGGAGTGGTTGTGACTTTCTTCACGTCGACTGGCGGTGTTCCGTAAGGTGTCGACGAGGCGCACGATCCATAACTCGATATCGAGGATGAGTATTTTGGTGGGGTCTTCGATTCGACGGTTTTCTTCGGTGGTGCGACAACTTTGTCTTTGCCATCATTCTGTTTCTTCTTCAGTCTGGAACGGTATGCACTTTGACTCATCGGTACGCTCGAAACGACGGGTACTCATGGTGGTGGTCATTCCTCGCTCCACCTCATACAAGGTTTACGGTATTCTGCCACGGTAAGCTGGAGAGCACGAAGAAGTGCGTGATCGCCAAAAGGATGATGAGGTCGCCTACAACTCTCAAAGTCTCATCTGCCTCGCGGACCAACTCCTTCATCGATTGACCTACCGTTCTCACGTCTGATCAGATGATTCAAGGCGACATTGATGTGGACCGTAGCTCCAACGTTCTTTCTTATCGTCAATTCAAGGGGAAAACCTTAGATAAAGAAATATAGACTCACCTCTGGGAACGACGAAGTTTTGGAGAAGGCGTTGATTTGTGAGTGTCGAAAAATCGATCAACCTGAGAATCGTCGTCAAACGTATTCGGACAGGTGATCTGATCGAACTCATCCTTTTCCTCATCGTCGGTGTTGGGAGACAGCTTGTCCAAGAAACTGAAACTCATTCTCAACTCGAGAAAGAAACTCTCCGAATGAGACCGGCTGTTGTGAGAGACCGGAGATCGCTGTGTTTATCCACCGAGAGGCGCCCACTTCGAATCCAAAGACATCGGAGTCCGGCTGATGCCCGCCGCCTGCCCGGGTCGCCCGGCTCGAAGAGAGGCGGCCATATTGCTAGAGGGCGCTGAAAGCCAGGTGCGCGGTTTTTGAAACTTCGAAAATCGACGGAGTGGAAAACCCGTAAATACTCCGGGGCTTCCATCTCGACTCTCGCAAGCTTTCCCTCTGTACTCTCAACTTCTCTAATGCTAGGGAAAGTGTTCGAACTGCGCGCTAGGTTGTGGGTTGAGAGTTCGAATGTTTCGACCCGAACCTCGAGTCACGAGAAAGGAAGCTGAGAGGTAGCGGAATGACGAGTTTAGAATAAGCGTATACAGTCGAACCCGCTTATAAGAAAACCGTTTAATAGAAAAAAACGGATATAAGAGACCGATCCCGATTCCCCGATTTTCTCTCCGTAGGGCTTAATGTTGGGAACCTAGCTTATCGGAAACTCAGATATGAGCGGCAACTTGGTATAAGAGACACTTTTGAAACCCCGGCTCCATAGAGTCCCATGTCGGAGACCTCGTATATAAGAGAGAACATCTCGAGCAGAATTTCTGCTCGCTTTTCCATGACTCCACTTGCCCTCGAAAGGCAACACGCGCAGATTCGCTGTTCGATATTATCATATTTGTCGGAGCTCATTATATAAATCACCCTATGCATGGTGATACGGATTTAGATATATCGTGCTGATGAACTTCCCTAATAGATCAGAATTCGTTCTGAAAATTATATTCCACAGAATCATGAAATCGGCATGCGAGTCCAAGGAGAACGGAGTGATTCAGGTTTTTCATCGGAAAACCGTACCGCGGATATTAGAGAAACCGGATATAAGCGACCATTTTCGATTCCCCGGGAGCTTTCGCGGGCTCGACTGTACATGAATCACTGCTCTTCGAGCGACGAGGACTTCACTCGGAATCACTCCCCTTCCCCTAATGAATGAATTTCCTTGAAGGAAAGGTTAAACCTCGCGGCCAGGAGGTTCCTCATGAGTGACAGCGACTGTTTCCGATTCGGAGGAGGCATGAAAATCTAGTATTCTCCGAGCAACATCGAGCCCGAGCGTGCGTCCCGCGCGCTTCGTGTTGCCGAAAAAACAAGAAAGGTCACATGAAACTCCTAAAACCAAGCAGACGTATTGGATAAGCGGACAAATAGACGAAATCAAACTCGTGAGAACCAAGGGGGGATTTATTCCCTCATCGGCATCTTCACCTCGCAAGAGGTTGCAATCGATTCTCTACATTACTACGCAACAGCCTTCACTTTCGGTTTTATTGTGAGATCTTGCCTCCATGAGAGCGGCTTTCTTTCGCTGATGAATCAGCCGGAGCACCTGAAATTTCGGATAGCTGAATGAGTTTGCTAACTCTCCACGATATTCAAAAATGCGCGTCTCGGAGGCTCTAGGCTCTTCCCTCGATGCGGAGCCGAACAAGCCATGGGGAACTCGAGAACTCTGATAACGAGTCGAGGGTTGATATCAGAAAATCGGGTCGAAAAAGTTTTCTTCGGAACAGTATGATTGCGCTGAAGCTAGTCACCGTGCTGAAGGCCTCTTGAACATTGTCTTCAGTTTTGGCGGAACACTCGACGTATTTGACTCTGAAAGATTCCGCTACGGCTTGGGCTCTTTCGATATCGACCTGGAATCAGAAAATTCGACCTTGAACATCCTGGATATCAGTGCGATGCTTTATCCGAATAAATTGATCGAATGCAAACCCGATTGGGCCGAGGATACGGCGTTACGGGAATGGAGCTGCGGAACGCTCCCGGCCCCGTCGGAATCGCACCTCTCTCTGCGACTCCATATCGAGCTTATTGCCCACTAGAACCATCGGAACCTGATCCGAGTCCTTGACGCGTAAAATGTGGTCTCGGAATTCACTGATTCTATCGAGAGTATCGGCCTCGGTGATCGAGAACACGAGGAGGAAACCATCGCCAGATCGGAAGTAGCTGTCTCTCACAGCGGCGTAGTCTTCTTGACCTGCTGTGTCAAGAATATCGATTTCCATCTCCTCGCCGTCGAGTACCGTCTTCTTCTTGTAAGATGCGACCTGCGATGGACAACGGACTGCGTGAGTCTTGGGAGCATTGTGACGAAGCGGGCTGAGGCTAACTAATGGATAGCAAATGGAAGGGAATATTCACCTTGGTGGGCTCGTAGACTTCGTCGAAATCACCGTACATGTACTGGAGAGTTAGTGCCGATTTTCCTACTCCCCCCCAACCGACCATCACGACCTTGTAGGTTCCGGCCATGCTGCCTCGGATTCCTGAACTCACTGTAGACTCGCTGACAGCTCGTAGATGTCACAGGAAGACACGACCAGGCATTGATCTCCTCACACTGGTCTACTATCATTAGGAAGCAACGCCCAGGAGAGATCAATGAGATCAACACGAGACATCGAAGAGAAGCCAGCCATCTACACATTCCTCTCTGATTCCTCTCCGCTCGAACGTCCATTGTTCTCCGCGGGGCAGAGCCTTCCTCCCTTTTCGGTAGAGACTCGGTAGAACGTTCTGAATGTGGAACAACGACAGCCTCGTTCCGGAGTGCCCGACGATGCGACGTGGGTCATCTTGGAATCCGTTCCCGATCTATGTGGGATTCTCTCACTGCCTGCGGGAGGGACGCTCCAGTAGTAGCGTCAGAAATTTGAACGAAGTCATCCAGAGTTTTGTTAATTTCTGGTTTATTTACACTTTGAAACGATGCTCAGTACGTAATGCTTCGATATATCCCGAAAATGTTGCTTTTCTTGGTTGTCGATATTCTCTCCACACATGTCCTAATATTTAGTTCTTTCCATTTATGTATACGCTTCTCACACTGTCAACATGGCAATCGCACTGTAGGGCTGCGTACTCCCCGCCGTAATCAACGCTTGACAACCGAGGCTGTGTCAACTGACCGTGTACATCACCGTCGAGATCATCATCGACGAAGAACGTCTCCCTGTCATCAAGATTCGGACTCCTCTGGTTGGCATCGATCATTATTCGGCAATCGACGGCGTCGCCGCCTCAATTTCCCTCCCGACATTCCAAACACAGACGGGGCCCCCGTCGAGAGGCACCGTTGCATCCCAAAGAGACTTTTTTCCGCTTTCTCGGAGGCTGACAGATGCTGCTCCGGTGTACGCGAAGCTCCGACGGAGCAAGTGCTGTTTGTTTTGAATTCCAATAAAATAAATAACACAACTTTACAAGCAGGCGCACGGGTAGCCCTCAGGTTCGTGGATTCGGGCCGATTTGCATCGTGCCGTCGACCGATAGTATCGTCGACGCGGCCGATTCGATTACGCACAGCTTCTTATCTTCAATCGGAGGATGCTGATGCGAAATCGGGCGGGCGTTCAGGCATGCAGGCTGAGCCTCGAATTGCTCAGTTTCTCTCTATTATAGGATCACGCATTTCTTCTTCTTCGAGCCGCCCGGCTTCTTGGTTCCGTTCGAGTTGACTTGAATCTCGGCTCGCTTCTTATCTCTGATCAACCGCAACAAGTCGTAGAATACTTTATCGACGTTCATGCACGTTTTCGCCGACGTTTCTACGTAGGGCACGTTCCATTTCCTGGCGCGATCTTCGGCTTCCTCCACGGATACCTGAGGAGAGTGACGGATCATTGAATCGAAATTCGATCAGGAAACTTGATATCGAAAATAGAGGAATGAGCGACCGGATCGAACACGAACGTAGAGCCAAATGGAACATACTCGTCTGTTGGCATCATCTTTGTCCGCCTTGTTCCCAACGAGGATGAACGGAACACTGTCATCGCCCTTCACCCGAAGGATTTGTTCCCGGAACTCTTTAGTAGCCTCGAAATTCTCGGGCTCGTCGATAGAGAACACGCAGAGGAATCCCTCGCCCGAACGGAAATAGTTATCGCGGATCACGGCGTAATCCTCCTGACCGGCCGTGTCCAAGATATCAATTTGTACATCTTCGCCATCGAGCATCACTTTACGTCGATACGAGTCCGCCTGCAATGCGCAAGCATGGGTTAATCAGAAGCGTTGCGTTGCGAGGAAGTCCGAGTCTTCCTCGGCGACGAGCGACATTGAATTCTAGTTTCCATCCGCGAGAGAGCTTCCGATTGGATCGCGGCCATTCAAATGCCAGTTACGGGAGTCGAGTCTCGATAAGAATGCGATGACTGGAACGATGAGTCCGCGCACCGACAGCCGCATGATCGAATGAATTAGTCACGAATCGTCACGTCATGGATGTCGGTATGTACCTTTGTGGGCTCGTAATCCTCGACGAATTCACCGTACATGAACTGGAGTGTCAGAGCGGATTTTCCCACTCCTCCACTTCCCACCATGATAACTTTGTGGAGGTCAGCTTGCTGCTGCTGTTGCTTGCCCTGTGCCGCTGCGCCTCCCATCTCCGTTACGGATTGTGGATCGTCTGGTCTGAAAAGTGAGAAAATCGTTAGTTCGGAAGCCGAGAGAAAAACATCCAGCTTCACTGCGCGAAATCGCTCCGTGAAAGTGCGAAAACGGCCCATTCGAAGACTTTCTTCCGAAATCAAGAAGCAGCAATTGAAGTCGGTGGTGCCTGCAGCAGCAGCAGCAGCATCGGCCGAGAGGGTGAAGCAGAAAGCGATGCAAATGTTTCTATCGTAAAGTATTCCAGTTCCCGAGCCAGGAATTCAAGGAAAAACTCATAAAATGTTTTGTTCTTCCAACAAAGACCACATGAATGAACCAACGGTTGAGGGTTTGCGGGAAGCATGCGAACGGGACTCGACCGGCGTGACCCGGACCCGAATTCCAACAGATCCAATCGACACGTACGGAGGAACATCGATACACCGAAGTTCGGATGCGCATCGAGATCCCCGTGGAACAGAAAGACCTCTCGCCGAGTTCGAGAGCTTCGACATCTTCAACAGGATAATGAACGAAGCCGTAGGCGGGAGAAGATTCCCGATCGATCCGGCCATCCCGCGAAGAGCGATGACTCGACTAGCGGAACCTCATCGGATGCCAAGAGAAATATTCTGGGAATGCTCACCGCTTCCGATGAACCCTTGAGTGAAGAGATGCTTTTCTACTAGATGCCTGCTAACAAGCCGGCGCTCGGTCAACAGTGATCGCCGCCAGAGACAGACATTCGGACGGATGCCTTGAGCGACTCCGGTGCGATCACCGTTTTAGAAATGACGGTAAATAGTGTGAACGATCCTCCTCACTGCTGCAGAGAGAGGAGCCGTCTCGATTGCTGATGGGAGCGCTTACTTTTTTCTCGATTACTACAAAAAAGAATGAATGGACAATCGGCGGCCACATATCATGAGTTCTTTGCGGCAACAGATTCAGGCATGCCGTTTGTTCCGTCCGTGACGCCGGGCGGCCGGCGCCGGCGTTCATCGCAAGTGTTCACCGTCGCGTCTGTTTTTCGCATCGCAGCTTCGTCACAGAGACGCTTGATAACAAGTGCATGGGGGGAGGGGACTGAACGATATTGAGCTGCTTATCCTCATAACAGCCGAGATCCACTATTGAATGAGAGGTACCTGAGAGGTTCGTCCTCGGCATCGCTGTGAGTCACGCGAGCTCACGGGAGTGAATAAGGTTTTAAGCAATGTCAATCATGACGTCATCACGTATACAATTGCTCGATCGAATCATAAACGGCAAGACCACGGACTTGGAAACGCTGCAGTCGATCCGATGCTGCGATATCATGGGAACTTTCTCATGCCACTCGGATCGGTCGATTCTAGAGGCACGGTTCGATATTCGGGTCATCGACGTTCTGGCGCGCTTGCTTCCAGTCGCCGAAGTATTACGGACTCGGAAGAAGCCATCAAATATGGATGTGGGCAATTGGCTCCGATCGAGCTCGAACGGTGTTCACTGAGTCAACTGCGATACTTTACATCTTCCCGCGACGTGTGACGAGGAAACTGGAGTAGAAATTGCTCAGCCGCCGGTCATCGTCGTTGCGGTGGATGAAATTGCGGGTGTATAGCGCGCTTCCCGGATGGGCTCCCCTCAGATCTTATCAGCTGGGAATGGTCAAGGCTCGACCTCTATCGGATCCGATTGAGGCGGATCCGAGAGAGAGCTCCTATTTGGTCTTGATCTGCATCATCGGGGTGGGGAACGAGCATTCATTTAGAAATATACCGCAATTTCTCCGGAACAGAAGCAGAGGGACGCGTTCGGACAAAAGTATCAGTCACGTCAGCCGGGAAGGTTGCGGATCATCGCAGAAAACTCAATGAACTCGGGTTTCATCATCAGCCTCTAGGGTGGCATTCTTAAACGAAATCGTAGGCCTCTTTCCCATGGCGTGAACCGCAATAAGGACGCGACCAGCGAGGGAGTCACGATTCGATATCAATGCTATCGAACACATTCGAGCAGTTCGTAATCCTTCCAATACTTGTGGTTGCTCGGAGTGGAACAGGTCTGGAACGAATTCCGAAGCTATCGTTCGCTTAACAGGAAGACGTTTCTTTCTTTCTATAAGCTTGACACAAACGCTAGCGAAATGTCAAGCGCGCATTTTGAAGAGGTCAGCCTTTGTGAGGCATTCCAGTGAAAAGTGAACGGACGAGCAACGAGGCAAACGAGTAATAACGTATGCGAGGGTCCATTGTATCATTATTGCAGAGCTTGACAGCCCGCACATCGACAGCCGTGCTCGCCTAGCTTCAGCATTCTGATTCAGCTGGAAAAACATCCTGGTCCGGGCCTGCGGCCTGCACCCAAAAATCTCATCTGCTCGGAAGGGAGCCGATATTTTTCCACCGATATTCTTCCGGCGAAACCGTAGGAGCGGGAGCCGGTGGAGGAAAAAAAAATCAGCTCCAGAGCGTCACAATAATAAGAAATTTTTAAGGGAGTCCAAACGCGGTGCGAAGGAGCGAAGGTGGGGGAAAAGTGAAATCTGCATCGACGTTCACAAGGAAAAATTCAACGAGCGGGAACACAACGGCGTTTTCTACTTTGTCGAGCGGAAGTATCCCACTTCCGACGTCGATAGTCGAACTCGACCGAATTTAGAAGAAACTTTATAGATTGTTCCTCCCAAAAACTGCGACGAGTATCGCGTACTCATTTAAGCCTCTCGGAAATCCACATACGAACATGCAGACCTGAGCGTCGAGGAAATTCGGAGCGTCGCGCTACGGAATTATACTACGGAAAAGTCCCGCGACGTTCCAGATGAGTGAAGACATGTGAGAGCAGATCTTCAAATTATAACGATCCGGATCGAGAAAGTGAAAGCAAACAGAGCACGAGTGCTTCTCTCGCAGTGATTTCCCCTCCGGGGAACAGTCATGAGCTCGGGAGAGGCTTCGAAGAAATGCTTCAGGGACAGAATGGACAGGTTTCGGAAAAACTCACTGACAACAGCAGACGGAATTCCTCACGCGTCTGTACCAGCGACACAGACATGAGTCATTGATGAGACTCCAGCAACACTGAAGCGCCATCGCTGAACACGAATGTCACCTATCTCCAACACGAGCAGCAAGAACAGTAAGAAAACGAGAGTTGTCAACAGGTAACAACAATGCTCCGAATGGTGGCGGCGGCGGGTACCCGCCACTCAAGTATGGCAAACTCTCGCAACGATTCCGGCGCAGCGAAGAAGGAGGAGCCGCACCAGCAGTATTACCGCCGCCCAACCGAGTGAGTGAATGAATGAGTCGAGCAGCCGGCGAGCCAAGCAGCCAGCTAGTCCGCCATCCAGCTTGCCAGCCTGTCTGCCTACTTGCCTACGCTCGGCCCTTGCTCAAAAACGAAGAGCCCAACAACAGCAGAAGCGACGACAACGCCGTCACGGCGCGGCAGCCAACAGAATCACGAACCGTATGAACCCTGAAGAGAAATATATCCCCGCCGTACTGATCTGTCAATTGGCTCGCACCACTTTCCTCTCCCCGAACTCGACGTCCGATGAACAGTTGGCACATTTTCGTCGGATCCGAATTTCAAGAATAGGAATCCGTGCTTTTCTATGCTCTTCGCTCGAACAAATTCCGTAATCAGGCCCTAAGTTTATGACGAGGACTATCAACACTGGGAGAAACTCGTGTCAGAGACTCGAGAGAATAATCACTCCTGACCCGCCGCCGGTATGCTGCCACCTCTTCCTGTCGATTGGTGATCGGACGATACGACGAGATGTCTCATCGCGGCTATGGATGCTGCCATAAGCCGGTCGAGTTCCCGCTCCATCTCTGGGCGTCTCTACGGACGGTTCTTACTCACCAAAATTCGGCCGAAGCTCAAGAGCACGCTGTGGAGCGGTGGCAACGGTTCCAGAGACCGACGGACGGACGAACAATCAACAAGCTCGTCGTTATCGTCACTCGATCGATGTCGGTCAACGTCAATACGAGCGGTGCACGTAACGGGGAACGTCGATCAGCGAACACGCTCACGGCTCCCTCGGACCCCGCGGATGTTTGAACAGAGAGCTTCGGCACGCAGTAGAGCTCGAAACACGCTTATTGCCGCATCCGTTGCCAGAGGCTGCAGCACTCCCGCCCGCTTGTGATGATAATATGTATGTCTGCTGCTGCTGCGGCTATGCCGCCGCCGCTGCTGCCAAAAACCCGGAACTACGACGACGGAACGATGACTACGATGATCAGAGGAGGGAGGCTAGAACGGAGGAGGGAAAGGAGGAGTGAAAAACATACGGAGCGAGCTTCGCGTCTTCGCGCAGCAATGCCGGTTGGCGTTAATCTGGGACTCATTCTGTTTTGTTATCGCGCTGTTTCGCGCAAGCTCAACGCTCTCAAGTTATGTACCAAGACACACATATTCGGCCTATATGTGAACTTTTTTCGCGAGAGAGAGGGGTCGTGAAAAACGGGCATTCGTGCTGATGATCTTTGTCGTTTAGTCTCGCACGATCGGGGGCGGTCCCTGACAGTCCCTTCCAGGCTCAACAACCAGGTCCTGTCAACGTAGCACAGACCGGAGGCTGACCTCGAAACACCGGGCTTCCCATTCCCACGTCGATCGATCGCGGGCGGGCGGGTCGGGCTTGATAGCGTGCGTCAGGATGGGCTGCTGGGAGCCCTGTTGTATGCCCAAGGATCACGCTTGCGTACTTGGGGGGAGCTGCGCACGGGTACCCCTGGCGGCCCCTTGGCATGTTGGTAACTCCCTCATAAGAGCTGCTGTTCTGCGCGTTCCTCCGCTGTCATCGTTCTGAGTCTTCGTCTCTGCGTCTGCTGTTACTTGGGAGCTGTCCCCGCTAGCTCCCATGTTCAGAGGAATCTCTGACGAGCTCGATGTGATCATCAAACCGGTCTCGATCAGGCACCTCAGGAGAGCCGGCGGACCGGCAGTTCCTGACTGCGGTTTCTCAGATACGTTCCGTGTCAAGCCGGGACCGGAAAATGTCGCGCTCAATGTTGTTCAGCAACCGCATAATTCTGCGAAGCCGATTCTCGAGAATGCCGGCCCCGTAGGGAAACCTCGCTTGACGGTCTGCTTCCGTTCCGCGGAGGGCTTCCAGACCGATAGCCGCGAAATGCGCCACCGTGAATTCAAGTCTCAGCTCACCCTGAGAACCATTCAATCAACATTCATTCAATGAAGTCTCTGATTGAGACAGACGGTTTCCGACTCGCTAGTTGATCGAAATCTGGTGTGACGGCCAGGACTATATCCGACAGAAGAAGCAGCCCGCGGATACATGTCTTGACCGACGGCCGGGGACTTTTCCGCGACGGGAGACGCCACAGGTACCTGCCGTTCCATGGAGGGGGACCCACATCCCGGAAGACATTCCGGCATGGAATTCGTGGCGGAAACTGACGGGCGCTCGTTGCTTACTGCTAACGTGCACGACGTCACTTACTCTGCTACGATTCTCAAGAGAGCGAGGGAGAGCTTCATTGTTGTAATAATAGCCACAGTCTCTATTTGATCGATCAAGATGGGCTTAGGGTCAAGATGGTTGTCAATTCAGATATTCGTGATACTTTGCCTCGGCATCGGGGCTCAGAAAGACTGTTCTCCAAGTCCTAGCTCAGTTTACATCAGTCATTCGCCTATGGTTATATGCGAATACTTGTGAGTACCTATGTATCCGCATATACCTATGTACCTCGTAGCCCCTCATCGAGATCAGCTGAAAGATGGAGAGACGAAAGGATGCATGAAATCGGACTTTCGGCGTTGAATATCGGACTTTCGGCGTTGAATATCGGATTTCAGACCGATGGATTTTCTGGAATGCTCCGATCCGATAGATCCCCGAGGCGATCAGGCAGCTAGGACTCGGCTCGGATACGGATGTCCCCGGGTGAGCTCGCGAGAATCATGAGTGCCATGGATAGATAGAACCGTTCACATTTAAGTATGCGTTTGAATCTCAGGGACTAGATCAAGCAGAGATTAGGATGACTGGCTTTTCGGGTGAGAGTTATCGTTGAAGTGTGGTGCGAGGCTCCACCGCTGGACAGATGAGCCCTATCCGTTTTTACCGATCAAAATCCGAAGATTCCGTCTGCAGCAGATACCGGAGGTGCTCATTTTGGAGATCATATATTCATTTCCCCTTCTGACCTCAATATCGATTCCAGTGGGGAGGAAACCGGTACGAAGAAGTCCTAATGACAGCAGTGAACTGCAGCGTCCTACCGGGCGTCGAGTGTTTTGGTGATCGAATCTTCAAGAAGGATGGATTCCCGTGCGTGAGGTATGATGTAGCAGAATCTTTGATCTCGACCGGTCGGTATGAATTCACTTGCGATTTCCTGCCATTTTTCGTTGTTTGCCGCCCTCCCCGCAGGGTCTATCAATAATCTATGATGGTACCCGAGCTCCGAGCGGACGGAGCGCTAAGAGTCTACGCCCTCCGGTAGGTACACCGGACATTATTTCACCTCCACTCTACTGTACTCCATCCTGCTCGGATTCCTGGGAGTAGACAGATTCTGTCTTGGCCACACAGGAACTGCTCTGCTGAAAATGTTTTCCCTCGGAGGTTTCGGAATTTGGTGGGTCACTGACGTAATCCGCTTGGTGAGAGGTGATCTCATGCCTGCAGACGGCAGCAACTGGATGCCATACGTCTAGGACTGCATTCCGACCCCCCGTTCGTCCGATGAATAATTACGGGAAACGAAGGTTGGCCATGTGACTCGATGATCCCCCTATCGCGGGATTCCAAAGAACGAAAATTATCTCCCGACGAGTTTTACCTCTCTCCATGCTCAGGAATTCGCGATGTTCCTGACCTCATGCACGTAAGACTCACAGCCATTATCGGAAGCTAATCCTTTTATTCAAACTTTGATGCATCTCTTTCACTGCATAGGGTTTGTCTTAAATAAAACCTCTTCATCAATCGGCCGAAGTATTCGAAAATAATTGTGGCGCTAAGTTCCCACATCACTCCTCGTGTATCATTTCTGTAAAGAGTACTTGTTCCTCGCTCGCACGCACTCGATCATTGTCCGCATTGAAAAAGGTTTCTCTCGTCCTGCTTGATCATAGCTTCAACGGCGCGTCCGGTGAATTCATATCTACCTAATATCATTCTAAAATACCTTTCCGAATGTGCCCTTCCTCGCCGAGTTTTCATTGCACAAATTATTTAGAGCCTCTGCCACCGTTGGATTAACCGGGTACAATCGGTGTTCCGAGAGGCTTCCTACCGAACGATAGAGGACTTCAAACAGCCACCTCAGCGAGGCTTTCGAGACCCAGAATCGTTGCAACTTTAGGAACTTCGAGCAGTTGGAAGTAGAGCTGCTCCGCTCGGATCAGGTTGTCCTCGAGAGCTATCTTATAGCACATGTCATTGATGTGCTTGAGGATTTCGGTGAGACCGAAGTTGTTCTCGGTGATCCGGATTTTCTCTTCTTCGAGAATGGCGACGCAGAATAACAAGTGGAAATTCTGGCACGGTAATCCGGTCCACAAAACCTGAAAGATAGGAACCACAGTTGTGAGATGCGCATCCACGTGACGATTGTCACTGTCAACTGGGCGACGCTGCCCCGCTTAGAATCGCTCTGCAAGCGATGTCGAAACAACCACTGGGACTTTGCCTTATGTATCAAAGTATAACGAGATAATCGACGAACCTCCCAAAGCCGCTTGGTGTCTTCGAAAGCGAACTCTCTCTTGAACCAGATCAACAACCAGCGGAAACAGAAGTACAAGTTTCCGGAGTCATGATCGTCGAGGTACTGTGTGAACGATGGCATCGCCACCGATAGCAATTGATGCAATTCTACGAGCTGACGCTTAATTCCTGCGGAATATCATCGCCGTTATGATCGGTATCCACTTCAGAATGACCCCTTGAAGGATGCCAGGAGCTCCTGATCCAATCGAGTCAGGATTTCGAAGCTAAAACTTACCAAGTTGTCTTTGGTCTTTCTCTTCATTACGATCGTGATCGACGAAATTACATCTGATTTTCGAGACGAATTTCGCGAAACACCAGAAGGAGTCCGGCTCATTTTGCATAACTGATAGAATTGGTGACAGCAAGTCACTCATGCCTGGAAGGAATTACGATTAGGAACATTTTTCCAGCGCCTGTGTTCAGAGCATCATCGATGGGTCGCTGAACAATCAGAAATCTCTAAACGCGCTTCTCAGTTTTTCGAGCTCTTCGTCGGAACTTTTAAAACTCTTGCCGCGGCCCCGAAATCCCAAAGAGAGGAAGCGGCCTTAAGCACAAAAGGCTCCGCACCGCGTAGTGCACGAATAGATCGTTGATCCGCTCATGAGTCACCGCGAGTCACGTGAGCTAACATCGATGCACTTTGGCGGGGAAATCGCGCTGCCCGGTCAGCCGATGGACGCGATGATCAAGAGCACGCGCATACACCGTCACGGCTCTGGCGCCGAGACAAGCGGGAGGAATCACATGAGAGGAGCAAGGCATTCCATCGGGAGCTCGGGGAATTCCCTGCACCCGCGTTGGAATGCTAGTCCCGCCGGACTACCTGGGCTCAATTTGGGCTTATAACGGGGCCAGCACCGACTTCTTGAAGAGTGCTATTGAAATTTATGCAGTCCACCGACCGAGACTCACCTTGCACATAGCCGAGATCAAAGTCGTACATTATGTACGTCATCAGAACGTCATTGAGCATGGAGAGATGCTCGTTCCCATCGCCGGCGAAAATGTCCAGACTGCGATCCGTCCGATTGACATCTTTTTCGACGAGGCTCTTTCTCGCGAGATACGCAGTGAAGCGTCGTTCCTGGTCTGTTGAGAACGATTTCCACTGGAGCTTCATCCGGTAATAATCCGCTGTCAAGCGGCTGTGGTCCTGCTCGCGCTCCTTCGCCGTCTTGCTGTAATCGTAGACCCCCAAGAGGAATTTCCATGCTTCAGGCCTGATTTCCGGCGCACAACCGCCGCGGAATATCCGAGCTCTGAGATTGTGCGGATCCGTTATCCGGCCCTCGACATCGAAGTATGAGAGCCATTCGTCGAGGCCCAGTGGCAGCGATCGTGTCACGGGCATACGCTGGGGTAATTCAGCCGCCTGTTCCACGAAATCGAAGCCGGGCTCTTGGTCGACATTGATCGTGAACACGTCTTCGAACTCTCCGAAACTAGCCGGATTCAAGTCGAGCATTCCGTCGGAAATCTGCCGGCTCCGCTGAGGGTGGTTCTGGGTGAACAAGTTGGTGAATCTCGCGAGCCCATCTGCGAAAGTCGGCAGAGGTTCCCGGACCAGGCGACTCACTAACGTCTGGTCTTCGTTTTGGAAAAGCTCGAGGGAAGTGAAAGACTTCTGCAGGGCTTCGGGGTCGTCGTGGACGACGAGATGGAGCTTCTTGTCTTTCGGGGAGACCCTGGTGCGAACTTTGCTCTCGACCAACTGAAGGAACGACGTCTGTTTTCCGAAGTCGAACATCAGCGTAGGATGCCGCGTGCCATCGCAGAGCATGAACGTGATTTCGTAATGGTCTTTCCGGCTGGCGCAATGGTACGATTTGAGTTCGTTCAATTCGAACCAGAATGTATGCGCTCTCCGCGGTTGGATCTGCACGGCGTCACCGCTTGACATTTCTCCATTGAACGAGGCGGGTGTCTCTTCCTGGGGTCGCCAACAAACCACATAGCCGATGGGTGTGAGTCTTAGCTGGAGAACTCCACTACACACTGTGCTTCGATGCGGACCGTCTCTCATTGTTCTCACATTTCGCTGATCGAAAATCAACTCCCCGTCAGGGATGTCGATCGACCCGGCCGTGGCCATCTCAGCCAGGTGGTGAAACTGAGCGGAGGTCGATTCCTGTACGATCCCTGTCGGCGGGAACCGAGGTAGAGTGTTACTTGAGCTTGACACTACTCGTCTGTTCGAAAGAGCGATTGCCGCGACGAGGACGCACGTATTCAGCACGCTAACTGCGTATGTCTCTCCGCAGTAGCGTAACAAAGCCTTACGTCATCCGGTTGTGTTTACCAACTTTGCCGATGATGATGATGCAATGGATGCATCACAGGTGTTGGGAAACGGCGCGGGATTTGAAGTTCCCAGCTGATCACGAAAACACCCAGATATGCATTAAATCCTCCACCCGGCGGGAATTATGGGCTCCGGGGGAGACCGGAACGGCATCTCAAGCTTCCGTTGCGGGACACGCGTCGCTTCGGCCGTGCCGCCCTCCCTGATGAGCATTCGATATCGTCAAACAGGAAACCTGTGATGGTGAAAGATTATATCTCGGCGGGAAAGAGTTCGGTCCAGATTCAATAACGCGGTATTCCCGGTGGTATGTTCGTCCCTACGCGCGAGGCCGCTAAATGAAAACGACAATCAGCTCATGTTCTAAGCCTAAGGAAGCCTTCCTCCCTTCGATTTTATTTACTCGGATTTCGAGCTCTTCTTCGAAAAATTAGTCCTATGCTTTTCTACACCATATGTACAGACATTTTTTCTTTCCTTTACCTATATCGAGCAACGGCTCCGTCCGAGTAGCTTGTGCAGGGTAAGCCGAAAACCACGGGAGCAGCCCCGGTCAGAGCTCTGAGTTTACATTCCTCTCGTGTCTTGTTCACGGCAGCTCCAAGCCTGGTCTCGAGACGGACTGCGCTCTTTGGGAACAGCGGGAGCAACCATTTGCGCAGCATCGAGTACGTGAAGCCGTCAATATCACGATCCGTCACATCCCACAAGTTGCCGAGAACTGCTGGCGCTCCCCCTGAAAATACAGTAGCAGTTCCCCGGAGTCAGTACCGAGAGCCTCAAGCAGTCACTCGTTGCAAGACAAGAAGACCTATGCCTTCTGAGGATATAGTTCCGAATGCGCGTAGAACTCACCGATGATTAGGCGGAGGGCGTAGCCTTCGACATCCGTCTTGGTTCCGAAACGACGCAGTCTCGCCGATGAACATCCGAATAGGAGAGACACCGCGCGAACGTTGATTGACTCCACACAGTCTCGCATGACCTGACGGCCGGTCCCGTGACCGCAGTATAAGTACAAAGATTTCGATTGCAGGTTCTGAGGAGGAATTATTACGTCATAAGTCATCATTATTGAAAATTTAAATCAAATAGTTCAAGTTGTGATCCACGGAAGCGGCTCGAAAAATTGATAAAAACAAGCGTTATTGATCCCACCTTTCGGAAGTCTTCCCTGCTCAGGGGCTGGCCGCATGTACCGTCCCAGTGATGAATTACGTCAACCATCTCGTGGAGGAAACGTTCCTGGGTCTTTTCGAGGTTGTCCTCTGGGTTCACGCAATAGAATCCGTTCTTTGGATTCTCGAGACTGAAGGGCGGATTTCCCCTATTTGCCCTCCGCCTGATCAGGAACGCGTGTGCCATGGTGAGAGCGATGCAAGGCATTCTCGTCACTTCAATATCGTGAAACATGGGACAGCTATCGAAGGGTAAGTTGATCAGGTGTTTATCGAACACCAGAATCACCGGGGAGCGTACGGGATCCGTCTGAACTTCCCCACGTTTGGCGGATGCGTATGCGAACGTTTCGTAGGCTAAGCCGCGGATTTTCTCCCTCTTCTCTGATTTTTCTGCTCCCAGTACTTTGATCAACATCGTCGCGAACTGCATTCCGTTTAGAGCGTTCAGTCCACAGAGGCCGATATCGAGCATTCTCTTGTCGACATTAAGATCCTCGTCTTCGGCCTTTCGGAGGATTTTCTCGCGGACTAGATCGACGATTTCTTTCTCCCAATCTTGCGCCGCGCTCAGGAACATGCCCTTCCAGCAGCCCATCCAGGAGTTCTCCAGCGATCCGCGGAATTCCGACAAGAGACTATCGGTCTCGTATCGCTGACGCCAGAAGTCATTGGTCTTCGCCTTCAGTGTCCATTTGGAAAAGTGTTGGATTCGGTCGTAGTGCTTGAAAAGTGAACCCTGGAACTGGACGTCGTGACTCGCGCTCAGATAAACAACCTCGGGTCTATGGCCGTACTCGTAACGGGTGACCAAGATTCCAGGCGTGGTTCCGCCTTCCATGACGGTCGCTAGCTGCACCAGAAGCCAGTCGGGTCGACAGTGTTCCCAGATTCGATCGTACCAGTTCGGCTCGAAATCAATGGCAGGTTTGATGAGGTTGAAGTAGGCCGAGTCCACCAATTCACCCCGGTAGTGATCCTTCATTCTCTGACCGCGATTCAGAGCAGCGAACCGTGGACCCAGCCCCATCGATTGTTCGATGTAGAAGAGGAACTCGTCTTTCTTTCCCCTGTAGGCACAGAGGAAAGCCAGGTTTTGGAAGAGGTCAGCTACCAAGGAATGTTTCGATAAGCGCTCGCATTCTCGACCTGCTCTCAGCAGGGCATCGAATTCGCTGTCCGCGTTACACACGTCCAACGGTTTCGGTTTTTTCAAACGATCTCTGAAGTTCATCTTGGAGAACGCGTCAACGAACGACATCTCCCCATCGTCTTCGAATAAATCCTCGGTCGACTCTATGTCCGTCGGAGCGCACCCGAGCCGAGGAACTGGCGGATGTTTTTTCCTGCGGGTAACTCGTTCGAATGGGTCCTCTAACGGTTTGAAGCTGGGCTTATCCACAGTTTGCGGCTCCTGAACGACTTTCCGTTTCCTCGGGGCGGGCTCCGCTGCGGAGGCAACTTTTTTCGCCGTCTTCCCATCTCCGCGATTTTTCTTCGTTTCCTTCTTCTTGGGCGGCTCCTCGTCAGCAGAAGCTTCCGGGTCGGAATCTTCGCTGCGAATGCGCAACCTCCGAGGTTCAGGCGCTCGTTTCAGAGACTCCTCGTGGAGCCTGCGTTTGGGTGCCGGGGTTTTCAACGAAGCGTCGAAAGCGATCGGTTCCACGACTTCTACCGGCGAGTTGGTGTACAGCCCGAGCCTACTCAACGCGATCCGCCAGTCGATCTGATAAGTATATTCAAAGGTCCTCAACTTCAACTCCAGTGCGTTTTCGGTATTCAAACGGAGCTCACGGATGTTGTCGAGAGCCATCAAGGACTTGTGGAAATCTCCTCCGCTCGCGTGACCCTGAGCCAATGAAAACGCGTGCGCGATCCGAATGTTCTCCACCACGCTCTCGCAATGGGTTTCTGGCACGACATCGACGCCACAGAACCGCAGGACGTGTTTGAGACCGCTCCCCAGACGTTCGTAAATGGAGTTCTCCATCGGCTTGAAGTCATCCTTCGTCTCGCAAGCCGCCGTTGCGTCGATCTGCTTCAGCGTTAGATCGATCCCGATGCTACTGCACACCGGACACGCGCATTCGCTCTTATGTCCGCGTCTCTTATAGAATTTCAAGAATTCTTTAGCCGGTACCCGATTATTGGCCGTATCTATATTATATCGCTTCATTTTCAGATGCAAGGCAGCTCGCCAAGGTATACGGTCGATCGTATGCAGCTCGTACGCTTCGTCTTGATCGGTCTGTTCCGTCACGGGCCTCTCTGGGAGCGCGATTCGTTTCGGATCGACGAGATCGCTCACTATGGACATCTTCGAATCGATCGGTATTTCGAAGGCCAAGGCACAACGCGTCATCTGTTCCAGGTATTGAAGAACAAAATAAAAACTGAACACCTCTTGACTCTCGTAGTAGTGATCGACGCTGCCGTTTATCACATCCCTCAGGAGACCGAGACGTAGGTAGAGATCCGATCGGCAAATATTCGCAAGGAGCATAAGACGCGAAACTTCGAAACGCTCCCAAGTAGTCATTGCCGATTTCCTCATCTTCAAGTGATTCACCAGGGTCAACATGTTTTTCGAGCAGCTGTCCAACAAGTCCGTCGCCACGGATCGACCGGCTTCGTGCAGATTCCACTGCTGCATTGCTTTGCCGTCGTAGTATCGAGCGAGAGCGAAAACAGCTATTTTCTCGATCGTTGGAGACCGCACCATCGTCTTCAGGCTGGACAAGTTCTCCGGGGGATTCGGACCGTTGTCCTCGATGAGTGCACACAGCCTAAGTCGCTCCAGTTTGCTTTCGAAGCAGTAGAAGTCTTCGCAGTAGAACTCCAGTTCCTTAATCAGGTCCGCGGCCTTATCACAGATAACGCGAGCGTTTTCCGTGCATCCGATAAGAAGCAAGGCTTCGGCCGCCCGAAGCTGGGTGTCTATGATGAAAGTCTTCGGTGCACGACTCTTCGTTAAGATCAACATCATGGCAGCGATCATTCTTAGCTGGTTCGCGTAGTCGCCGTTGATGGCGAAGAAGCCCGCCGCGGTTCGCAAGTCGTCAATCACGAACGTGGACAGTAGAATCCTGCAACGAGGGAATCGTCACATTTTTCAGCTCTCGTTCGTGAACGTTCGGCGATTTATTCTGTCCCCCACACTGACAGCATTTCACCCCGATCCTCCCCGATAACTGTTCTATTTCGCTTTTCGTCACTTTTTCGCTCACCAATACTCAATGTGCGTAAGGTGCTTATGATTGTTGAAGGTCCACCGTAGGTCCCTGAATAAGTCTTGGTAGTTGCCGAAACAAAGATTCGAGTAGGCCAACGCCCTATCCGTCGACAGTTCCTGTCTCTCGGATTCCTCCCATTTCTCATGGGCCGTCTTCTGACACTGCGGGGAGAGAAATCGGTCGGAACTTAAACGACTCTTCACGGCGCTTAATCGGTACGATGATCCCCGGACAGAATGCAAAAGAGAGGGACGATTATGCTACACCGAATTCGTACCTCGAACATGAGCTTCTGGGACTCTTTGATCTCTGTTGCCACAAGTTTGCTCAACTGCATGTGTTTGACACCGAATCGGATCATTGTTCTCGCTGATCGGATCAAAACATGCTCATCGGGATTCGTTGACACGTCGTCCAAGCCCTCCCCATGATGAGCTTTCGATCTGGAAGCTCGGATCGTTTAGAGAAGAATTCCCACAACGGGGGTGGACCTGCGCGCGCTCGACGAACATAATGAGATTTCGACTCCAGAATGTACGCGGAAAAATTCTGACTCACCTGAGCTCCAGAACGCTCGCTATCACACGAATGTTCTCGTCGTCTGTGAATTCCTTCAGCCTACTTTGAACGTATGCCGAAGCCGCTTTGTCCTTGTCTAACCTCAAAAGTGCGTATAGTTCCAACGAGAGCCACTTACTCAGGAGTGGATCGTTTTTATCCAGGTAGTCGCAGAAGAAGACATCTGGGAGGGACGAAGCGATCGAGTCGTTGATCGAGCGCTGGTTCGGCGACTAAAGGAACGTGGGAACGCAGCGACGTGGGAACTCACCGTACTGCTGGATATGCGCGATGCATGTTAGGAGCAAGGATGGATCGATATTCTCCGGACTGAGACGTTTCAGGAGCGCCGCGGCACTATCCGGTGAGAATCGATAAGATTGTCGATTCGAGTCCTGCTCGATATACAGCGCCGACTCGAACAGGGCGAGGGTCGTGCGATAGAGTTGCATGACGTCTTTCGAGGAAGGCATGAGATCCATGTAGAGGAATGTGATCTTCATGAACATATCCTCCACGATCCGGGCCTTGGAGACATCTTTGAACTCCTGAAGGAATTTTCGGGAAGGTCATCACGCATCGAGAGGAGAGCTCGCGTCAATAACAAAATGACAGCTCTGTTATCAGCATAGTCTGATGTTCATCGTACCCTTATCATGTGGGGAAGTACTTGACCGACTTTCGCGAAGGTATCCGTCTTCCAAAGTTCGTGATCCTCGTTGTCAAGTGGTAGAAATTCCTGCACGCTGCAGAAGAGGTCTAAAAAGTCGTCCAATTCCTTGGACGACAACTCTTTTCTAAGGTAGATCACATGTCGCAGGAGTAGGAGAGTGTTTAGAAAACATTTGCTGTTCGCCTCAACGCTACATCTGAGCATGCCGATCGTTAGCGTGGCGATATTGAGCAGATTCTTCGAATCGTCCTTGCAGACGATCACTAGATGCCCGCTGAGGGTGGCCAATAGGACGAGGTACTCGTCGGCGACACCGTCGACTTTGGCTCTTTTGAAACCTTCTTCCACGCGTCGCTTTGACAAAAGCCGTACGGCAGCTTTGAGCGGAGATTGCATCTGTGAACAAGAGAACCTGAATGACTGCTCCGACGGGCCCCGGATAAATCCCTCCGAAACAAAGATCATTTTGGAACTGACCTCTAGATGGGCGAGAGCGCCGAATACATCTCCTCGTCCCGTCGAGACAAGTCGTATGATTGCATTGACGATTCTGCAAGCGAGTTTGTTGTCGGCCGTTCTAACGGCGGCTGACCATCGTTTTAAAACGGAAGGGCTGATCTGCTTCCAGCCGCGAGTGTAGGAATCCAACGCCGGAGTGTTCAATTCGCTTTTGAATTGCTCCCCCTGAGCGCTGAACCAAATGCACCAAAGACCGCATTCTTGAACAATCGGGTCCGAGAAGTTGAGGCCGCTTGTTTGAGGAACGCTCCGTATCAATGCCGTCATGTACTTCTGGGTCCTACTCTCAGGCGTCGATCGGATCTTATTCATCAAGCGGCACAGCGCGACAACATCTTCCGGGGATTGAGGCTTCCCTATCAAGAAGTAAATAAGGTGACCTAGACGAACGAGAATTTGCTCCCAGATGTCTTCCTCATCCTCCGTTCTCGAACGTCGAGATATGCTCTCGGAAATCGTCAGTACGCATTTCATCAGGCATGACGGACGCAAATCAAACTTCGGGATCTTGCTGAAAAAGAATTCCGAAAGGGATCTCACTTAGAACAAGGGGGGCCTGATCCACATTGCATCTGTATCGATACCTGTCAGTTTTCCCTTTCAATCTACCGCTCATTTTGCATATGCGAGGGATGAACAGACAGTGTTAGAGGGACGATACGTCTGACTTCAAGAAGATTCGGCCGATTGGAAAATTAAAATGCGCTCATGGAACCTATTCGAGGCGCTGCATTATTGTCCGCAGAAAGCGTCTCCTCGGAAATGCCTCACCTTCTCAAATGATCCAGAACAAATCTGAGGTCCTCTAGATTCCTCGCAAGAAACTCTTCCAGCGCTTTGGGCACATTTCCCTCGTCACGAGCGAGGGCCTCGTCGAGCCTCTCCGCGAGATCTGACATCTAGAGATGAATAGAATTTCCCGTGAGCGACTTGTCAATTCCTTCCTGTATCTATGACAGATTCGAGAACGTCCTGATCGGTCCCCCGATCTTCGCGCTTCTGACGGAGGATGCAGCAGCGTTCACTCATCTCTCTGCATGTCCGGGAGAATCGGCAATCCAGGCACCCCGAACGACCGGTATTGTCCCGGACGACCGAACCCCGAGCACCGAGAGGATCTTCGATTTCGCGATTCGGAACGTGAACGTTCCGCTCATATGGAGGCTGATGTGTGGCAGACGTTGCATTAAACGGCCTCGCGAGCTCTCCGGCAACATCTTCCGTCGAGTTACCTTGGAAGGACTTCAGTCCTGGAGCATTCGTCACGAACAGCTGACGCTTCCGGCGCAAACACTCATCACATTCTGCTCCGGGACGACGACTTCGTTCGCCGGGAATCTCTCTTCTCGGGAAGTGTCGGGCTCAAGATTCGAACGATATTCTGCGCGCGCAGATTCAAAACAAACATCAGTCAGCAGCCGCCTAGCCGCCGCCGATGGAACCGCGCTCGCTCGGGGAGGGGAGAGGGTTTCGGCGTCGGCCCCGCGGACCCGATCTTCATAGAGAAAATACCTCTGATGTTTCGACATCTCGAGAGGTTCCCGAGAACGGCACTTCATCGATTCTGGGAGCGGTACCTCGAACGCAACGGAAATCGATATTCTCATTGCGGAGCGATTGAGCTCAACGCGCGGCGCAACTAGTGCTTCCGCGGATGGAAAAAAGTTCTTTGATTCGATGAACGTCGGATCCTTTTAGATAATTCGCACACATTTTATTGACATCCCGTGAACACTGACATGGAGCGCGTTCAGTATCATCGCGATCTTTGTATTATGCGGACGACTCCGTGCGTCGCATCGAGTCTTACTAGGTCTCCCGTGCCGAATATCTCGGTGACGTTCTCGATACCGACAACGCAAGGAATTCCGTACTCTCTGGCCACAACAGCTCCTGCGAATAGCAATGAATCGTTACCAGGTTGCCAGGAGGAGTTGTATAATTGCCTGATACATTATAACCTCATAAGACCGAACACGCCGGTGCCAACAAAGACGGTCCCCCGAGGGAAATCGTACGTGATTACGCGAAATTTCGACGTAAGGAGGTTATGCTGAAATCACGCGCATCGTTCTGTGTGGGAAATCAACCACGACTCAGCTGACCACCTATCGACTGAGGAGATATTTGGACCTTGATTTTTGAATAATCCGTGCATACGCACCGTGTGAAATCAGACCCCCGGCTTCGGTCACTACGCCAGCCAGCAGAGGGAAATACGGGGTCCATCCCAAGTCGGTGGCCGTAGTGATGAGGATCTCGTCTTTTTCTATGCGATGGGCCTCCCTTCCGAAATTTTTTATGACGCGGGCGCGTCCGTCGACAACTCCTTGGCATATGGGTGTTCCGGTGACCTCCATAACAGCTCTCCTGAGCTCTTTCGGTTCACATCTTCTGGGGAAGCCGTAGAGCAGTAGCGGATATTTCTCGTCGTCGAGTCGCGGATGGAGCCGCTGTCGGCGAATCGCCCTGCAAGAACCCGATCGTGGAGAAAGTCCATTCGTGGACTCACCGAATTCATAAGCCAGATACAGGTGAATCTCACACAAAGTGAAGATTCTTCTCACCGGGAGATAAGCTTGTGTTGACAACTTGTTATGAGACGATGTAGCTCGTCCACACTCAGGTAGAACACCAGATCTTTGTGCGGCAGGCGACCCTCGGAGACCATCAGTTCCGCCAAGGTGTGGAAAGCTAAGCGAAGCTGGTGTATTATCCTGACAATGCCGGACTTGGCGATCTCCCGGTGAGCGATCGCTTTCCGAGCCCTCGGGACGAAGACGTGCAAAAGGAATCTCTGTAGGTAGGACAGTCGCAGGTTCCCGAGATTCCCGATCGATTTTCCCTGAGGAGCGGAAGTCCTTGCCTCCCGCGTCGTCCGCGCGATGGCTTGCAGGGCTTTGACCAATGAAGTTGGCCGCATAGCCCATGTTTCACTCTGTACGTCGAACTCCTTCACGCATCGATGTCCGTGTCTCTCCAAGAACTCCGAAAACCTGATGGCAAACTTGGCATTAACGGTCGACTCCAGGACGACATGGATGGAGCGGTGGAAGATCCATCACAGTGAGGGCTACGCACATGACGCCGACTTCGGATTCGGATGAGTTGATCCATTCGAGTGCTTTATCTGGGCTCATGCTAAGGAACTCGTCTTTGTCGATGCGCTCGCGCAGGAGAGATCCTAACTTGTCGAGACTGAGTACGACATCGACGCTCTCTATCAGGTCGCTCGCTTTCAGGAGATTCGCTGCGGCGACCAGGATCTCTGTCGTCATTTCTGGAATGTCGTCATTCCAATAATGTGATGTAATTTCTGCTTGCGCTCACGGAAACCGCTCTGAGGGGAAAAGTGGGAACGGGCGTACGCGATATGCAAAGTTTCCCTCACCGCCGGCCGTTGACTTCGCGAGGAGCGACATCACCATGCCATCGAAGAAGGAGGTTTCGAGGAAAGCGTGGCAGCAAGCGAGAGCGGCCTATAGCAGCAATAGATTCGTGATCTACTGCCCAAATATCATCAACGTATTCCTCCAATCCGGGCAAGAGCAGTTATGCCAGTTAAAAACAAAAACAAGTGCGGCGGAAATTCATAGTGGACATCCTAGGATCCAGTCTTTACCTCTTTGACGTCGTTGAATGCCACGACGATCGCGTTGAGCTGTTCCAGGCTGGAGAAAGGCTTGAGGGGAACTTTAAACGACTTGCTCCCCTCAGAGATCTTCACAAGGTTCCGATTGAGAAAGAACATCTGAAAGATCTCAGGATGATGGGAGCGTGTTCCATCTCGTGCGAGCACCTGATGGGATTTCGTACGCGGAAACCCACCTTGGGTAGCGAGAGAAGACTCATCGCAGCAGCGAATCTGCCAGCAGGTAGGGGAGCTCGCCTCACACCCTCTGCGAGAGCTTTTTCCTTTGAGATATCTCTTCCGTGTGTCGCGAACATCCTCCATTTCTCACCTCCGTCTCCCAGCAAACTCTGTAATTTTTTTGCACATCATTCTGCTCTGTAAGTTTTTCGCGAGAAAGTTCATGTCTCAGAGCTGTTCCGAATTCCTGTGCGCGTCCGCTAATGGTTTGCTATTACGAACTGGTTGTAATTTTTCGGAAGACTTCGGGAGGAGGGCTGAAGGTCACCACAATTTGTCTCGACTCCTTTGGAATGTCCCGCCCTGACGTCTCTAGCTCGTTTAGCATGTGGGCTTTCAGGATAATTAAGATATTCCTCTGGAGGCTCCGAATACTTAATGAACGGGAAATCGTTCCGGAGAGAGGCTTCAGGGAGAGTGCAGTGAAAATGTAATCGGAGAAGCGCATTCCTCGGGAGATTCACTCTCATTGGATTTTGTCTTCAGCGGGAGAAACGACCTGCTTCATGATCTCCCCGACATCAACTCACATCACTAGCGTCCAGGAAAATTTGTTTTCGCAAGGTGTTAATGGAGGCGGTGACGTAGAGTGAGCTCTCTACGACGTCTAGTTCTCTCCATTGGAGCTGGAACTCTCGACATAGTACGTCAAATGTCGCAGTCAGGGTACTAATCCCGAGGGGCGACAGCGCTCCCGGGAATATCTCTCTGGAAGAAACGAGAAGAATTTCAATGGCACGACCGGGTGCAGGCGTCTATTCGATAATTACGAGATCTTCGGTTGAGCTCACAAAATGTTAGCCTTCGAGAAAATGTCGCCCTCGGATTTGATGTTTCCATTCATGTCGTTTATAATTTCAAAATCGGTGTCTCTTGCTATTGTTGTGACATGTCGGTTCTGTATGAGGTATATCTGATCGTCCACGATGGCCCACTCGATGTCTCGGGCGGTGGTGAAACAAGATTCGACCTGATGACCGACAGAGGCCAACTTCATTATCACATCGTCCGTTAGACAGGCCTGAAAAGAGGCTCAGCGTCAATGATGAACATAGAGGCCTCGAATATTCTTAATTCACGATTATTTCACTATAATCAGAATTTGAATCCCCCAACCTTCTCCGAATCGTTCTCGCCGACTTCCCACTCAACCGTCCCTCCGTCGGGGTTCTGGGTGATGAAAAACTTTTTCTTGCCGATGCTGCGACTCGCGATCTTCATCTCCTGTCCGGCTGCCCGGATCACCGTGAAATGGTCGGGGTCGACGCGAGCGCCGACGGCTGATTCGCCGAGTCCATAATTAGCACTTATCGTTATGATCCTGTCGGAGAAATCCAACTCATTGAGAATCATTCTCCCCTTCCATTCGGCCGCGCCGGCACGATCCAGTGTCTACGGCTACGGAATCCCTATACATGAACTTTCTCGGAAGAATGCTGCTCCGGTTGGAAACAATCATGATCTCGAACCTCGAAACTTTCCCAGGAAGTCGCACTCACCTGGGATCAGCAGTCACCGGGTCACAGGTGAACATCACGCCAGAAACCTGGGACGGCACCATCTCTTGTACCACGACAGCCATCCGAGAAGCGATCGGCTTACCGAATTGCCTCTTGTAATTGACGGCGCTGAAGCTGAACTGGGAAGCCCAGCACTTGGCAACCTTCTCCAGGACCTGATCGAAGTCCGCTGCGGGCACTCCCAAGAACGTTTCCATCTGCCCAGCTGCGGACATTCCTTCCGTATCTTCTCCCACGGCAGAGGACCTAATCGCGAGTCTAACACGACTGAGATCGCCGAAGACCGCCAGCTTACTCTCCAAGCTTCTCGCGACTCTCTCTGGAATAGCTATTTTCTCCACGGTCGATCTGCAGCGTTCGCATGCGTTTCGCAGGTGTGCTGCCGTGGGGTCGTCGCGAGCGACTCCTCCGAGCTCATTAATTGCTTGCTGGGCGGCCGAATCATTCAGGAACAGGTCGTTCGCGAGAGTCGTAATCACGAGGGTTTTAGGTACGGCGATTCGCTGAAACTGCCGTGATATTGAAGTCAAGACCGCCAATGAGGCGCCTTTGCCGCCGGTGATATCTGCTCGCTTGCAGCCTTCATCCGAAGTTCCGAGTACCATCGCCGAGATCTCTCTGTCCCTCCGTAACGAATGGTGCTTGTACTCGCGAGGCAAAGGCAGCACCGGTCGGTTGTACCTAGAACATTTGATGATTCGTAATTTCATCGATCGAAGTGGAGGAGGGACGAGTTCCCTGATGGAAATCGTCGGTCTCGCGAAAAGTCAGATGGGGAGCAGTCGTGACGGGTCATGCATACCTCTCGACCTCCATTGTGAGAATGACTCCTTTACGTCCGCGCATTGTCGCGCTTTCCTGATAAGCGACGAATTTATCATTGACCTTAGGATGTCGAGTTTTGAGAGCTTGACGCGCGAGAGTTTGCTCGCCGACAGACATCGCGAAGACTTCCTTTTCTGCAAGACGCGCGAACTGAGACTTCAAAAACTACCATCCGGAATAGGTGACGGCGGCGAGTTCCGCGTTCGCAAAATAATAAAACCGCGAAATTTCCAACACGCATAGCGGTCACTCTGCTGACCTGTCGTGGCTACGAATGCCTCAGGGATCATGTCCGCCGACGTTATGGCGAGAGTCTTCGTGCGCGGCTCGTAGGCCGAGCCGAAGTACAACGTCTGATCCTCAACTTTGCGAATTATCAGGTGAAGGCGGTGACCGTCGCGGAAATGACCGAACTTGTGGACCTCAGTGCGCGGTTCGAGTATACCGGCGAAATGGAGTCGGGAACCCCACAGGTGGACTTCCTGGGGCTCTGATTTGTCTACGGATACCTCAAGGTCGAATCGCCTGGAGTTTTCATGAGAAGTAGTTAGACTTCGCCGAGAGAAGGTTCTCCTCGAGGTTTTCTTGCCGTCGGAGATCCCATTGGAGATTCCGTTGGAGATTCCGTAGGAAAGCTTGAACTCTACCCACCCCATCTGCGAGTAGAAGAATTCATCCTTATAGATTGATCGTATTTGGGCTGCCATCGAAAGTGGATGTAGGTGGGACAACGAGTCGGCCATGCTCTTGATGGATATCTGCTGAGGATATTCGAAGGTGTGCGATCCGGCGACCCATCTGCGAAGCAATCTTTGCGTAGTAGGAGCCCTTCATTTGACCGTCATGACTCATGGCGCGCGTTCCATCGGACAGGGTCGAAAATCGAATTCAGATTAGAGAATGGCCGCACACAGTCTTAAGGTTCACTAACATTCCGCTGAATTTCACATGTCTTTCTCGTCCGTTCTGGTCATTCATCAATCCGTTGAAATTAACTCGCCAACGACGCATAGGAGCTAGGCATTCCAGTGTGAGGCCACAACCTTGATAGGCGTGCGAATCGCTCAGATCGAGCTTGATTTCGTTTTGCAGACTCAGCGTGTCGGTGCCGTCGAGTCGCAAAACCATGAAGGCTTGACATAAACCCTCTTGGAGTCTACTTAGTCGGAATATTAAGGTTGACTCGGACTCGATATGCGTGCCGTGAAAAATGTGGAAGTCTTCCTTGCTCTGGAAGTCTCTCAGTATGGGTTAATTGTCGAGCGTAGCTATTCTGATCAATTGGAGATGAGCAGCATTCGAAGAGGTACAGACAAAAAATCCGGAACATGGACATCGGGAAACTTACTTTCAGATGCTCGGCCGACTTCGGTCTCTCTTGGAGCCACTCCCGCTCGGGGTAGATGAGACCCAGAGACTCTGGTGTGTGTCGCTCAGTGACGAGCTCCGGCTCCGGAAAACGCAGAGGCGTCGTCCGGTTCCTATAGGTGAGATACAGCATGCAGATGAGATGCTTGATGAAGTAGGAAACACCTGGGGAATGGGAAGGAGCCTCGCCTTATTCCTGTCCCGAATTTCGGGAAGAAAGTCGCGCCGGTGCCGGCTGAACGCGTTGGGAATCGGCGGAGATCCGGCCGACATCGGAGTAGAGAGTAGACAGATGTTCGAAGATCGATGATCGAAGGCCGGATTTCGCAGCGTGACGACACCGAGCGAACTTACCATTCTGTCCCAGCGTTACGAAAATGCACGAAAGCTCAGCAAACAATACTCGCAGAAGTGCGAGCACCAGAGCTGACTCCATCACGGCAGATGATCTCCTGACCAGCGAGTCGAACGTCGGGAAAAATCTTTCTTCTCTCCTCCTTCCCCAACGAATCGTGAATAGCTTCCACCTGATTCCGGAAACACGCCGAGCGACTTGCAGCTTCGGGGAACGAGGACCAGATAAGCACAGTCACGATCTCCTTCCTTGTTGACATCACGCTCTCCGCTGTGGGAAGGGAGGAGACACGCACCAAGCCGGAAAGATACGACATGGATGGTTATCATCGGTTGCTCGACGTTCACCGCTGCTCTCACAATCCGTCTCGTCTGGTGATTTCTATGATTTCCATTGGTCCTCGCCGCATTCCTCGAGAATATTCACCTCGCCCAGGATCAGATGACGTCCACCAGAAATACATGGAACGCGTCGATCTCGAATCGGAGTTTCTCAGCCTGTCCGCTCGTTCGTTCGTTCGTCCTAACCGACCTGTTTAGCGATTCGATATTTCGCTTGAATCCCGGTTGCCGGCTACTCGATGTGATGAGAATCTCCCCTTGTGAGAGCTTCCCGAGCTTCACCAGTCCAAGCTCTCGGCACGGATCGGATCATAATCTCGCACGGATTGCTCCGTCATGAACTGTCCCACCGGATAACGCCGCCGCACGATCCGATCCTGCGTCGGGCGCTTCTCTGCGCATCCCCATACACATGAGCCGACCTGACCTGGCTGAAACTCCTCAAGATAAGCCCGTCGGATCTGTCGGAGAACTTCTGGGTAAAAAACCCATGATACATATCAGCAGCAGAATACGATCGCTGTATGGTTTATTCGGGCTTAGCGCATATAATCAGCAGCAGTTAAACTCTTTTGAATTGGTCGCGTAAATGGTCCTGTCATCTCACTCAGATCCGAACTCATTGTCAAACATGTATCGATCCGTCCTGGGAGAATGTGACAAGTCGGCATTGAATATGATACACCCAGGAGCGAGTGGGTTTTCCACTGACTGAGTAACTGACGTCGAGCTTCCCGCGGGCGCTTCGATCACACGGGGAACCTTGAGCGGCTTGAGGACCACCGGTAGCAGACAGCCGGTAGCCGACGAGATGTCTGAAGAATCAAGGTCGATTACGACTTGCTAAGTCTGACACCGCGTGCTCACATGCTGGTTGCCGGACACTTCCAGACAGCATCGGGAAAGCCTCGGTGGATCTCGTATCGTGCACACGGAGCGAGAGAGAACAACGTGAGTCTGGCAATCAGCGGCCAGATTCGATCTAGCCCGGGGCTCTAAGTTAATTTTTCGACGGATGAGATCAGAAAGTCAGCGGATTCTTGGAGAAGCCATCGACGAGGACTTGAACTCGGGTCGATCCGAGTCGACGGATGAATTGCAATCCAGCTCACGACTCGGTTCTCACCAAGGAGTCCACGATGAGCCATAAGATCCTTGGTGGTCGACTGACGACCAAAATTTCTCGAATGTGCAGTCTCCGTTGAGGAATGGTATTTCGAAAGTCTCCGTAGAAATATAGAGTCCCGACACGCGAGCCATTCTCGAATAATTGTATGTCGAGGTTTCTCGAGACTACATGATTCGATGATCGAATTGAATCTCGAGACTCTCTGTCCAGCTTCCGAAAATCATTGTGAGTACCAACCACACCATGAGCATCGTATCGATAGACAATAATCGAGACGACGAAAAAAATCCTCAGGAAGGGAACGAGCCTAGGGAAGACCCGTACGGGTTCCATGATCCTTTGAGGAATCGGCGCCAGATAGAGCTCCTCTCGATAATGATCAGCCACATACTGGGCGACTATTCTTCTGAGCAACTCGGTGAGCGCGGATCATCGATTTCTCGAGGCCGCCGACCACAATTATTATGTCCGCTGGCTAGCTCGAGAAGCTCCACGGTAATGGAGCATCCACGGTTTTTCTCGGGGCTCGGGTTCGGTTGAATAATCTGACTCGCCGACGTTACGACCAGGCGCGCCGCCAGGTGGGGAAATACGGGGGCTATAGCCCCCTCCCATATTGCGCGTTCGTGATACTAATGTACAGGAGCGAGTCGCCATGCAGGGTATCAGCCCCACGCGGAGACTAGCCTCCATCCTAGGGTAATCCTGCGGGCGCCACTGGTAAGGAGCGATTTATCCGGGAGCGTAACGCATGACTCATTAGCAGACGTGCCGTCAGATGAAACGATCCAGTCGTCGACTGCTCCTCTGAATGAAGGTGTGTCGTTACTGACTATCTCGACAACGGAGCTCGAATCGTTCCTGTTAGGGTGAGTTCGTCCCAATCGAGCATTGCGGTGGCACTGTCGTTCGGCGCATAAAAGGTCGCTATATGTCCTCAGCGAGATTCGAAATCCTCATTGGCTCCTAGCTGACTCAAGCCCGGGAGTAGGCTTCGGGGGCGGTCACTCCTCCAGGCGGGGGCCCATTTCAACTGTTGAGGAGCCGACTCGGGAGTGTACAGCCGACTCGAGCGGCGGCTATCAGTATCTGCGAAGTCCATTGTTGCTGAGGGCTACCACGCACCTCCTCGAACTCCCGTCAGAGTAATGAACCGATATTAGCCCCGGTACATTGGACAGAGCTTCTCGAATTACCTACTCTTCGTCATACATGAGCGAATGACTCATCTCGAAAATCCTTTCGAATCTCCAAGCTCCGTCGATGCTGATTCGGCTCTGCCTTCGGGGAAGATCACGCAGCCTGTCTCTCCAGATCCGAACCAGCGACACAAGTCACGATGTCGCCACGTTCCTGACGTGATCGGCAACTGACGCATCATATCTTTCAGATATGTAAACAAACTCGATCCAAGCAATCTAAGTCTCCCAGCTTTCCAACCATCCAGAAAGAGGCTCAATCCTGAGAGGTTCAACCAGAGCCTGAATCCAGCTCCAAGAGGTTGGTGGAGAATCCTCTCCGACTTGGAACCTATTCCCCGAGGTCAATCGGGCTCACTGCTGCCGGTTCATTTCCCGACTGTTCGATTTGCGGTAAGAGGGTTCAAAAATAATAGAAGGATAGGGCTCGAAGCCTCTCGAATCCATCTATGTATATTTCTGGTGGATTACCGAACCGCCCGTCAGGTCCCCATGGGAAGATCTCCTGAAATCCCGTTTCCCGATGGGGAATTATCGACGTTTACGAAGCGGAGAAGGCTCCACCCCTGCACAATTAGGCTTGTACTCATGACTCATGACACGGTGGAATATTCCAAGATATGGAGCTCGGCATCTCCATCCCGTTGAACGCACTGCGATGTCGAGAGCGGCAGGCGTGAACATTGATCATGAATCCTCTACACACGCAAATCAGGTTTCGGGCAAACCCGGAGTGAAAAAAAAAGGTGGAGCCCTTGTTCACTTTTGAGGCCACCTCTCGGAGACAGGCGGTCGGGCCTTGGCGTGACGGTCTCTCACGAGAATATAGATCGAGAAACGGACGAAGTCGATCGTTGACGGGTCTCATCGGTCATTAGATATACTCGTGGGAATTCCCCAAACATATTGAGGCATCGACGTTGAATGATTTTTCTTCAGCTCCGTTAGCTCAGCCATGATGGCGAATGATCACGAAGGCGACGGGACTCAGCGCGGAAGACACACTCGATTCTTTAGATATCCGAAGACTGAATATCGGTCTGATGGAAATTTGAGAGCATTCAAAGCGGTCTCAGTTGTGCCAACACTCGGAGATCTGCGCGAGGAGCGGCCATTCCTCATGCCGAACGTCGTGAACGGTGAGCCTGAGCATCGCCGGAGCGATCCTGTGTGTTAGACATGCGATATGTGAAACATTATGCACGGATGGAAGAATGCGAGAAGTTCGATCGTTCATGGTTTCAACAGGGGCGTATGCTGATGTGACGGAGTATTTGGGCACTCAGTATCATCTCCTCCGGGAAGATTACGTAGCACCACTCAGAAATGGGATTCAGATGTATCGACAAATCTTCCTCAACGGTCAATTCATAAACCGAGGCACTCTGAAGAGGATCGAAGGCGTCAACTTCTACGTAGACGCATATTTCGATCGTCCAGCTCGATATGGATTGGTAGGTTTTCGCGGTATAATATTCAGGCAAGGCTTGATTCGACCGTCGGCGTCATCATCTCGGCATGAGTGGCGGAACGATAATAACAACAGTTGTACGAATTTACTATCCTCCGTCAGCGTAATTCCTCGCTTATGCTGAGGCTGTCTTGGCCGGACTACAATTTCGTGGATTGGGACCGCACCACTCGACTGAAGAACGGGTGCATACTTGGGATCTCGAAAAATAATTTCAACACTGTGGATTTTCTCATAGTGTCCCAAGAACAAACACCGAGTCTATTGAAAAGAGGTGAGTAGCGAACAGGCTTGGCCTGGTTCAGACCGCAGTGCTGGAGCTCCAGGTGATTGACAAATGTTCATCTTGTGTTTCCGCAGGGATTTTGCTCGTCAAATACTTAGATGAGAAGGGGAGACCGAGAATGCACGAGAAATTGTTGATTATAGAAAACTCCACCGCCTATTTCGAAGCGTATCGCCACAACCTCAAAGGTACGTATGTTGGTATGCAGGCCTGATTACGCGCATAGTCCGTGTGACCGTGATGTTTTCAGAGCGATCTAATGAACCCCTAAATCCAAGAATCCAAGCCATCCGTCAATCTTCACTTATTTGCTCTTTTAACCCACAGTTATACAAATGATGGATCCTCACACTTTCCCTCTCCAGCAGTATCTGGCAGGAGCCGAGCGCAGGGTCAAAGCTCCATGCTTTCCGAAGCTAAAGCAAGCGCTTGATTTCAAACCGATCTTGAATAGAAACGCTCCGGTACGCAAGAATGCGCTCTGATTCCAAGAACTTCGTTCACACAGGACAAGCATGTCACACCCTAGAAGGCCACTGCCCCCATAATGAGAACTCTTTATTTCTCGGAAAGGATATGAAGAAAAGTTTTGAATGGCCGCTACTTTCCCATACGATACTGAACGATCAGCAGCTCAAAGCGGTCAGAAGTGCCTTCGACCGAGAACTGTGTGTGATACAAGGACCGCCGGGAACAGGAAAGACCTTCGTAGCTCTGCGTATAGTCGAAATGCTCCTCCTGAACCGTGTCTCGAATCGACCAATTCTTGTTGTATGCTACACGAACCACGCTCTCGACCAATTCCTCGAAGGTCAGCTGCTCATACAATCCGGACTGCGATTGAGAATTGAGCTCAGAGACTGAGGAATAATTCATATGCACGTCCGCATCCTCTTAGCGAGTTTCTCCCGAACGTTCGCAGGCATGCTGGAGTACACGAAGGATATAGTACGCGTAGGAGGATCTTCGAAGAGTGAGAAACTGAAAATGTACACTCTCAACGAGCTGTTGAACGAGTCGAACCCTGAGACGCAACTCGAGATGGATTTTGACGAATGCGGAAGATTCTTGGATAGACTGACCGGGTGAGTTGGCCTCGGATGTGATTCTCCTGTCCGTCCTCTCTGAGGACTGTCTTACTTCAACTTGGGGATACTTCAGTGCCTCGCCACAACGGACCTTTTGGGGACCCGAAATTACTTTTCAAGCATCGATCCTCAGCAAGACTTCTATGAAGACTAGCCCTAATAGTCTACGGAAGAACGTTTTCCATACCGAGTTTCGCTGTAGCGGGTCCCCGTGCAACGAGGTTTTCGGTGTCTTGATACAGCTGCCGAGATTCTCGTTATGTCCTCTGAAGATTTATACTTCCACTCCAGGCACGCCCTCTTGAGCGATGGAGAGGTCAGCCTGGGTGGGGAAGGTTTATCTAACTTTCTAGGGTTGAGCTCCCCGACAAACCTCATCTCCGGGGGTGGAGGAACTTCGGACTCGAGGAAAACGCGAAGGGATGTGAATTTTCTCAGAGACCACGATCGCGGGCAGATAGTGGTATGGATGAGCCCTCCGATCATCGTGTGGAATATCAAGATACGTGAGTCTATACCCTATACACGAAATCATTCCCTCAATCGTTTTTCAGAGAGACAAGAAGTCTTTCGTGTCCCAGCGCGTCCTGGTGGAGGACATCCTGGAGTCTCAACGCTTGGAGATCTATAATAAACTCGGAGGACATAAGTGCGAACGGATCACGGCTGCAGAAGCGCGGCAGCTTCACGAAGCAATCAACCGCGGTAAATCTCTGGCTCTCAAGAAGCGGTGGAAATTCTATCGCCACCTTCACTGGTCTGTAATGGAAACATGGGCCGAGGCCTACATCGGAGAATGTAGGAAGCTGTCCACGAGCAACGGGGTCTACATATCTCGGCAGCAAGCGAGCCGAATCCGCCGAAGTGGGGATATCATCCTGCAAGCGATTCGCTACCTAGAATGTAGAATCGATGAAATCGAAGCTTCCCATACCAAGTTCGTGTACCCGAGAGTCAATTGGAAATACAATCTAGATTGGAATCCTCATCGGGATGTGCGTTGACTATTTATGAATATCTATAATATTAATCTTCGATAGTAACTCATTATCGATATCTGTCTCCGCTCCACTAGGGCACAACGAAAGAGCCGCAAGGAAGAAATGCAGCAGAAGAAAGTCGATATAATCCTCTCTAAACGTGTCGTGGGAATGACTACTACGGGTGCGGCAAAGTTCAACTGTCTCCTAAAAGCTGCTAAGCCCCAGATTGTGATAGTTGAAGAGGCCGCTGAAGTATTGGAATCTCATCTCCTCGCCTCACTCACCCCGTCCACAAAACAGTTGATTCTGATCGGTGAGAACGCCACCCGAGCCGAATTCACCCGCTGTAGTTGCCGACGACTTCTCGAATTTTCCTGGCTACGGGGATAATTGTTCGTCCCATTCCCCAAATGAAATTTCTCACTCGCAGGAGATCATCAACAGCTTCAGCCCAGTACTGCTGTCCATCGTCTAGCCACGGAGTTTAAGATGGAGGTATCGCTTTTCGAACGACTCATCAACAACAAAATCGAGTTCGTCAAACTCAACGAGCAACACCGTATGAGGGACGACTTCCTCTGCCTCCTCGTACCACACATCTACGAGAATTACTTCTCGCATAACAACGTTAATGAGTATCCCGACGTCAGAGGTGAGTCATTGAGCGCAGGAGCGAGGGCCCATTCAGAGCTTTGACTGACTCGAGATCTCTCCGGAAGGAATCACGCCGAACATGTACTTCATGAAACATTCGCACAAAGAACTCGCCGATCCTCAAGCCCATTCGAAATCGAACTTGTTCGAAGCGCAAATCGTGGTCAGGATGGCATATCATTTCCTCCAGAACAATTACGACAAGACGGAAATCACGCTCCTCGCTACTTACAGAGGACAGGTAAGAAGTTGGTCCTAATACAGGACGGAGAATTCCAGCGAGCTCGCAGTTTCCACACATTGACATCCGGGTGGTATCGAAAACTCGGCCGATAAAAATGAGCCGAGTAGGGAACGCCTCCCCTGAGCGCCGTGTTGTCCCCGTGTGACCCAAGTGCTATCGGACTTTTCACGAGGAGGTGTCAATTTCGAATGCAGAAGTCCCTATCGAGACCCGATATTCGATTTCTGAACGGACGTGCTCACGATTCTCGCTTCCATCTTGTCCATTCGTTGTAGTTCCGCCGTGATCTTCAGGAACGGTACAGCTTGAAGTACAGCTCGAGATGCTGGAATCAGTAGCGTACCCTCTAGAGCAGCGGTTCCCAACCTTTTTGGCTCCGCGGCTCCCTAGCGAACCCAGAATTCCCCCGCGGCTCCCAGGATACCCAGTGCCCACGCGGCTCCCGCGGCTCCCAGGATACCCAGTGCCCACGCGGCTCCCGCGGCTCCCAGGATACCCAGTGCCCACTCGGCTCCCGCGGCTCCTACCTACTCTCCCTTCTTTTTCCCCTAAAAGGACCATTCGCAGCTCAATTCCGGCAACTGAGGCGGATGCAGCGGACTCTTCCGAGTATGAGAAATCAGAGCGAGATATTCACTGAGAAGACAATTTCATTTCATTTCATTTGCTTATGGTTTCCTTCCACAATCCTCAAGATCTCGGCTACCAACATCACAAGTCGTCGAGAACCGGGCACGACACAAAGATTCGACGTAGAGCCCGGTACCGACGCAGAAGTGATCTTTCAGTGAGATGGTTGCTCCTGTTTGTCTCTCATGAGCTGTTCTAGACGCGGTGTAAGAGGACGGTATTTCGTCTTGATGACCGCCAGCGAGGAGAATGATTTCTCACACACTTAACCGTGGCAGATGAAGTCGATCCGTTTCGGAACCTTCCCTCGGAATTGACAAACCCTGACGGCCCGGACCTACACCAGAAATTCGTCAGCGGCTCCCCCAGAAAAGTCCGGCGGCTCCCCTAGGAGCCGCGGCTACCAGGTTCGGCGGCTCCCCGAGAAATGTCCCGCGGCTCCTAAGGGAGCCGCGGCTCCCAGGTTGGGAACCGCTGCTCTAGAGCAGCGGTTCCCAAACTTTTCACCCTCACGTCTCCCACCGTATATCTGAGAATCTTAAGCGTCGAAATGAACATTTCGAAGTGCCCTTTTCTCCATGGAATATGGCTTCTGATCAATCGTACAATGATTAAAGACTTGTGGAAGAATAGTAGACTAGCAATGAGCTGGGTGACCTCTCTGAGACGAAAAACGGATCGGTTGGAAAGTCTGGGGATCCTCCGCGTCTCCCCTGAACTTCTCCCGCGCCTCCCCCGGGAGACGCGTCCCCCTAGTTTGAGAAACGCTGCAGAGGGGCCTAGGCCTTTCGCAAAAATTTTCTGGCCTCAAGGCTCGCGGAGGCGTCATGGTCTCGAAATCTCGTCTCACGTAGGGAGGGTCTCGCGAAGACATAATTATTTCCCGCAAGGCGATTTCTGCGACTCCCACCGCCCTGAGCGGAACATAAGTCTCGCGCGCACAAAGTTTCATTCCTCCTACCGCCCAGGTGGCAGCAATCGAAGAAGAAATAACGAAATTCTGTGGGGACAACGGCTTCACGGAGATGCACGACGTGGAAACTTTCAAACGGGGTCTGAGGGGCGAGTTGGAAATCGTTGTTGAGAGACTTCCGGAGAATCCGAGCTTACCTTTGAGCCCATTCGAAGGTGAGAGCGACTCATTTCCGTGGCGAATGAAAATAACCCCATCTGGACACACTCTTTCTCCCTTCCCGCGGATTACTTAATTGTCGTCGCTGAAAGCTCCCGTCTTTTCCAGGAATGCGTGTCACGACCGTGGATAATTATCAAGGGGAGGAGAACAAGATCGTCATTGTGTCCTTGGTCAGATGCAATGATGAGTCGAAGATCGGATTCCTGTCTCGAGAGAATCGAGTGTGCGTCGCAATGTCGCGAGCTAAACACGGTCTCTATTGCATCGGAGACATCCCTCTACTCGCGAAGGCGTCCAGTCTCTGGGCTCGCATATCCGAAGTCCTCAATGAAAAGTCTATGATCGGTGACGGTCGGTAGTTTCCCCTTCCTGTGGGGTCCTCCTTAATATCATTGGAGCTATCTTATCTGGAACTCTAATCGGAGAAAGTCTCTTAACGCAGGTATGACTTTGATCTGCGAGACCCACCGGAATCGGCGAGAAGCTCGAACCGCCGAAGATTTCGATGAGTGGGCGAGGAAGGGTTGCGGTGACATTTGCGCAAAACTGCTGGACTGTGGACACAAATGCAGTTGGCTCTGTCACGCCGCGGATCCATCCCATGAGGGAGCGCGCCGCTGCGTCAGAAAATGCTCGAGAGTTCATCCCTGTGGACATTTGTGCCTCAAACTCTGCCATGAGGAGTGCGGACCCTGCGCGGCTTCCACCTCGCGAGAACTCGATTGTGGTCACACCGTACAGGGCAGGTGCGTATCGCTCCTTCATTTCCGTTGATCCAGACTCGCGAGATCGTTTGCGGTCAATTCAAAAAACCTTCGCATCCGCGCTGATCGATTTTCCCGCCGTGAACAGGTGTGGTCAAGACATTCTGTGCAAGAAGGTCGTTGTTTGGAAACCTCCCTGTGGACACGATCGGAGCGTGGCGTGCCATCTCGTCGGTTCCGCGAATCTTCTCTGCGGGAAGCCTGTGAGCCTCAGTCGTCCCTGCGGGCATGTCCTGAGAGCAAGTTGTAATGCTGTGCCCAAAGACGACTCGTGCTCCATATGTGCAGAGAAGATGAACAAAAAAAGAAGCAGGTTTCGCTGGTATCGTTAGACGCTCTCCGCTTCGAGTAAGTCTGTCCTAGATCACACCGATTCTAAACGAGAGAAGTGTCTTCATTCTCCCGAAGGGGCTCACCCGGGGACTCCCCATGGATCTGTAACGTCTGCCATTTATGCTGCCGGAGCGCGAGACTCGTGTATTTTGTAAGCAGGCTCGTGCGATGAAGAAAATGGAAGATGAGAGCGACATAGAAGGTTTTTATGCCGAGTGTAAACACATCCGGTTAGCTGGCGCTCAGAGGTTCAGACTACTGTCCGGAGTCTGAAGAACGACCGTCTTCAGCCAAATAAATAACGCATATTAAGGAATACGAGGCATTCAACGACTCCACTCGAGAATTCGGGATCACAGCTCCAGCTTCCAGACTCAATGAGATACGTTCTCTCCACTGGATGAGAGGTACGAGACTTCCCTGAAACACTCTCAGGTACTTAGTCTTGCTCCGGAAGCTCACCCTCAGCCTCGAAGATCGAACAATGATCACAGTCCGAAGCTATCGGGAACTCTGTCATACAGTGGGTTTTCCGAGCACAACCCGATCAAACGAGGCCTTGTGTGATAAAAGAAGTTCTCGCAGAATATTCGGCGGGAGCTGTCTCTCAGCCATTATTAGTCTCGTCGATCCAATGGAGCTGACCTCTGTACCCCTCCCATGAGCCTGCATGCCCTCCAGACAATGTAACCCGTCTCCCGAGAAGAACTGTTCCAAACTTGATCTTCGAGGCGCATTCTCTCGATTCTACCGAACTTCCTGCAGAGAATCCAATCCTTGATCGGATATGAGCGGCTGCGGAATGAATCTATGGCGGATGCAAGCTTGGAAACAAATCGGCTCGGAAGGACTCCGAGCTTCGAGGATCATGGGCCTATTCGTCCTAATGATGAGGCACATGGTATCGTATTCTCCGGAACTTATTTTATTGCAGTCTTCCATGGTACGAATATGTACATATCATACAAGTTAAAAATCATGACCTCGCCGAAGCGTTGCATCTCTCGAGTTTATACGCGGCCTCGATTACATCATGCAGTCGCGCCCGACGAAAGTTCGGGTCAACAATTGACCGTCACAAGCTGGTCGAGGGTGGATCGAAGAGCTCAATTGGGCCGAGGCATCTAACAATGTGTGGACGGCCAGCGCAAAGCAATCGATCGAGTCACCTTCTACTCAGAGAGTCATGAATCCTAGTAATATTCCTGTACACCGTAAGCGGAACCCGGATAGTCGTCGTCTCCCCGGTGCCGATTCAACAATTGCGAAGCCGACTCCACGGCTTCGTCTTCAGCGTCGTCATCAACTTCGTCTTCGACATCGTTTTCCGGGACATGCGCCGCGAGCTCCTCCTCCTTCAGAACTGGAGAGCTTCTCGGTCTCTTGATGAATTCCAAATCGTCACATTCGCTCTCCTCTCGTCGTTGTACCAATTGACTCTTGAGCGACTCTGCAATGCTGGAAACTTTCTTCAGTTCCTCAAGATCCGGCGCAGGGCGCTTTTTCCGACGTCGTGAAACCGTTGTCCTGAAGCTGCTCGTTGAAGCTCCGCAGTCGAAGTCCTCGTCTTCTGGCTTCTCGATCTTACTGACCTTCTGATCACAAGTGGCCAGACCTTCGTCGAGTCCGCTGCCGCCGAGAAGCGCATCTATGCTCTTGAGAACGTCATAATTTATTTTTTTCGAGATTTTCTTCTCTTGTAGAATTTTCTGGAAATTTTCCCCGGGGGTCCCTTGATTGGTGAGCTTCTTCCGGGACCTTTTAAGTTTCTTCTTGGTCTCCTTCCCGGCGGCGGCGTCTCTCGACTTCTGGATTTGCTTCTCTCGTTCGAGTTTAAGGAAACCTATGTTTTCGGTGACCCACATTTTCGCTTTAAGAGCGGACTCCTCCTTCGTAAGGATATAATTATCGATCTCCTCGTCGTCTATACCGTCGAGATCAAGAGCGCCGTCACCGTCTTCTTGCACAACATAGTCCGGTTCCCTGGCCACTCTCTGAAGAGGAACTAAAGCCATTGACGAACTCGCTTCCCCTGAAGCCCCAGCAGTGGCATCTGCACTACCATCAGCCGCAGTCTTATCGTTGTTGTCGAGAATGTCTTTAGCCACAGTCATGTCACCATCGATATTCACATCGGCGAACTCTCTGATCGTGTTCATCGTATCCTCGATTATGAAGTTGCCCGACAGGAGTTCCTCTTCTTCTCGGGACAAGGCCACGCCCTTACTGAACTCGGAAGGCATCTCGAGATACTTCGCGAATCGTTTGTGCACTTGTGACTGACGGTCTTCGAGCTGACTTTCGATCTCCCTCTGATATTCGCGGAGCTGCGCGAGGATGAGTGGTGCTACTTCTTCTTCTTTCTCTTTGGCTTTGAGTTTATTGACCTTGAAGATCGGGGGATCCTGCTCCTCTTCGAGATCGACGGTCTCGAACTCGTCTAGATTCAGTTTGCCGGACGGAGTTTCGGCGAACTCTGTGAGTCTTTTTCTGATTGTGCTCGTGCTCATGTTCACGATGCCGACGAGATCCTGTACACTCCGATTGTAACCATTCATACGAGCCGCGACCAGAAGAGCCGCTCCGCATAAGCCAGAGGGTCTCCTGCCGATGGCCATCCAATCCCTTTTCATCCGCTGTAGGAGTCTGAGCGCGGTCAGCGATACTTTATGAGTGTCTCCTTCCAATTCCAACTTTTGGGCGTATCTCGTCACGTAGATGCAGGGGTCCAAGACAGGAATCGTTATGAAAAGCTCCTGGGCGAGCTTGGTGTAGGTTCTGCCCAACTCGTACACATTCACTTGGACGACATCGGATATGTCGAGCAGCATCAGCGAGGACTCTTTCAATCGGCACGTAATGTAAATGCAAGCCGCGAGCACGTGCGATCTCCGTCGACCCACCGTGAAATTCCGGATGAGCGCCATCTCGTAGAGCCGCATCGCGCTCTCGACAATGTCGTCGTTGAGCTGCAACTGGTCCGCGATCAGTTTCATTGTGGTCCGGACCCTGGCAATGGTGAGCTCTCTCGCCGCTTTCGAGCCCCCGTATCGAAAGCCCTGAATACGAGCTCCCCCTGACCCTGTGACCATTTGACCGATGGCGCGCGATCCTCCGCCGGCCGTCTCCTCGAACTGGACTTCGGATACGATCAACGTATCCTCAAGAACAACACCGCACCCCGTGCAGACCGCGTCTCCTCGTGACCGATCGACATCGATCTTCTTCGTTCCACAATACTGACATTTCTGCGTGGATGCCATCGTGTATCAGTCAGGTGATTTACGGGCTCGAGTTCCCCCGTATGAACACCTGTAAGATCGAAAATGGATCAATGAGCTCGACCGGTACCGGAAACGGGGCGTCAAGCAGCTGGAAATCGAAATTCATAAATTCCCTATTATCGGCTCCGATCGACGCAGAGCGCGGGTCGAGTTTATCACCTAGTTTGCTATCATCCCGAGCGCCGGACGATTATCATCGACGAGAATTTTAATTTTGACACATTGATGTGGACCTGCTGGCGCTGTCGGAGAGATCACAACTAGCACTGCGAAACCACAAAGAATTTATTGCAGAAAATGTGGGAGTTGAAATCTGTATTCCTCAGGACATCAACACATGCACCATACGAAAAACTACAGCAACCACCAGCGACTGAATAATTTTGCAAAGACGAACAACTATCGTGTGTACCAGGAAAACGAGTCTCCGTCCTGTTAGCGCCCGCCTCGAGAGTATTATTTGAGCCGATATCACGTTGTTTGGAAGAGATCGCGAAGTGTAACTTGTTTCTTAGCTGCACCGGCCTTTTCTTGCGTAGCCGCTTTTCTTTTGACTGCCACCACCTGAGTCCGGGGACCGACATTGCTGACGAAGAATCGGCTAACTATCCTGTCGATTTTCGCCGTCGGCTGCGCTTTTTTCGTTTCTAAAGCGGTCGGTGTGACTTTTCGTTTGAAAATATTCGGCGATGACGTTGTGCACCCCTCCTGCTTCTCGAGATCGTCTAGCAGAGACCGTCGTTCGCATTTCACCGGTTCTGACTCCTTTGGAATGTCTTCTCCAGCAGCTGACCCCGATGTGGCGTATAGTTGAATGACTTCAGAGGCGATTTCCCGCTCCTTGGCCTCCACGTCGATATCGTCATGTGTTTCGATTGAGATCTTTGTATTGGCTCTCTTAGTGAAGCTGAAGGCAGACACGCTGGACGCTGGCTTAACAGCCTCCGCAGCTCGTTTCCGATGCACGATAATGTTGTCTGGGGGGAAAAATCTCTCTCCCAAGGGTCGGTGCGTTTTAATATGGATATTGCTCAGAGCAATGTCAATAACTAATGATTCCTCGTAGTAGGTGCCGGCGTAGGGCATGTCTTCACCTCCGATACCTTCGGGATACGGATTCAGTGGACGCAGTTTCTTCGTTTCAGGACAGAAGACCAGCTGATACAAGAACGTGTTGTCAGCCTTGACAAAACGATCGATGTAGTCGTCAGTCACGGTCACTGAAGGCATTTTGAGATAATTCGGCATTTTCCTCAGTAGCGAATACGGGTCGGTATTTGAAGTGGGTTTGAGGAACTTGAGAGTTTTCTTCAGTCCTATCCCCGGTAGGTTCTCCAAGTAGTCACATCCGGAGAGGATACAGGCCCAACGAAACTTGTCGTGCGTAAAGTGGGTCGTGCCGCCAGACCCAAGACACTGGGGAATTTTCGACTTCTCCACCAGCGTTCCGTATCCGTTCACGTCCATCTTGTAGAGGACCCGCTCACAACCGAACAACAGAAGATCTGAGTCCTCGGAGACGATCAGGTCCACGTACCCGTTCAGATTCAGAAATGTCAATTGAGCGTCGGCTTCATAGGGTGCGACTACGTAATCGATGCGATGTTTCCTCAATTCACAGATGAGTTGATGAGCGAGTTCTGGCGTGATGTTGACGCATCGTTTCATGAGTTGTTTGGCTTCGAGTGTCTTGCCTTCAGCGAAGAGCATTTTGGCTTTGGTCAGATTCTCTTTTTTTGATTCGGCCCGCTTCTTGTTGGTGTCTGCTTTCGACGGGAGACTTTTTCCATCGAACACGACCACAGGTCTCACTCCGTTCGCTTGCAGGGCATTAATCATCTTCATGCAGAACTTTATATGCAAATCCGTCTTTTCTCCCATGACCAGTTTCTCCGCACAGCTGAAAGCCCCGCGGTGAAGCCAACAGTATCCATCGACGGCGGCCACGGAGCCTTTGAAGTCGGCGATGTGGGCAGGCTTCGAAGCACCTTTGAGCAACGGCAACAGTCCGCTGACACCCATATCGAGCGTCTACGGCTCTACGCTAGTCACGATCATGTACGAAACTACGAAGACATCTGAACACTCTGGTGGCTCGCCATTTGCCTATGCTTTTTGGCGGGACATTTCCAAACAAACGAAACTCTGCCAGCTGACGGCGGACTCGCTCGGAGCAGCGATCACTCGCTCAGCCATGATCCATGCACTGAGTGGGATTATTGATCTAATCTCAGGAAACTTACGCGCTGCGAGATGAACACTTCGATGGGGAACTGAATCACATCATGCCGGGGTCAGAGCGCTTGCGATCTTTTTGAAATCATCAGAAATGTGAAGACCCACGTGAGTCGGGGCCCAGCTTCGCCATCTGAAACACAGCAGGTAGAGCTCATCATGAATATCAATCCGCCATCCATCGGTCGGTGAGCTCCGATCGGGCTTTTCCGGGGCGAGTTGCTCCCGAATCATTGCCCCGAAGAGGGACCGCTGATCCTCATCCCGCTAGGCGATGATCTTCCGACCCCTTGGAGTTTCTAGAGTTGCGAATACGGCGATCACTGCGCGATCTAGTTCGCTGCAGAGCGGCCATTTCGTCGGAATCAAAACATTGATCTGCTTGCGGTCGTAGCCGCGTGTGAGTGAGTATCGCCTGACGGTCCTCGAAGTGTCTGTAGACTTCTGATCGGATTCGATCCTCGGGGGGCATAAGTGCACAAAATGAGTCATTTCGTGGAACATTTCGTGCTCAAGGTGCAGGAGTTGTCGGGCCAGGGGAAGTATCAGGAGATAAGCAACATGATCACGACCTCACCGATGGTAAGTATTCAGAGTTTCATCTATCCGTAGGTCTAGAATGGCTCTCAAAAATTCGAAGCCTCCACCGAGCATGTTCCGGCTCCACCAGATCCTCGGAATCGACGAAACATTGGATCTCGATAGCGGGAAAACATTATGGGAATGAGCAACACTCGTTTTGCACCCTCATCCATCACCGCTCTGTTCGTGCCGCCGCTGTACCTCCACATCATGTACTTTAAACCATTCCAGGGATTGATGCCCTCGCAAATATCGATGAACGTATTGGACAACGCTTTGGAGACGTTCAACGACTACAGACACTCGCTCGGCGTGCTGCACATCCTAACCTTGAAGTACAATCAGTTTTCGCCGAACGATGACTTCGAGCTACTCTTTAGACAAACGAAAAGCTTCCTCGAGAGTTGTTGCAAGGAACAAGTCAAATGCGCAGTGGATCCCTTCTGTGATCTCTGTCACCGTTTCACCGCCGCCATGGTCGAGCGGGGTGACCGGAGAAGAGCGGTTCCCTTATTGCTGACCGCGATCGACAGACTTCAGTCGTCTCCATCGGACCTCACCGAAATTCACGGCGACCTCTGCCAACTCTGCCTGCTCTCCAAGTGGTTCGAGCCTGCGTTACGATTCCTGGACGTTGACATCACCAATGTGGTTCGTGGCAAAGCGAAGTACGCGGCCAAGGGCTTCCTTCTCTACTTCTATTACGGCGGCATGATCTACACCGCCTTGAAGAAGTACGACAAAGCTCTGTTCTTTTTCGAGGCAGCGATCACGGTCGAGTCGGTCGTCGTGTCCCACATCATGCTCGAAGCCTATAAGAAGCACATTCTTCTGTCTCTGATCACCAAAGGCAAGGTGGAACCTCTGCCGAAGTGGACGTCTTCGGTCGTTGAGAGATTCGCCCATCAGATATCGAAAGTCTACCACGACCTGGACTCGGTGTACGCTTCCAACTCGGTGAATCACGTGAGAGACTTCTGCGCAAATCACGCCGAGCAGTTCGCTCGGGACGGCAACACCGGTCTCATAAAGCAGTGCATAGCTTCGATTTCAAGAAAAAACATCAAGAAGCTGACGAAAACGTTCCTGACTTTAAGTCTGAGCGATGTCGCTCAGAGGTGCAATCTCAGCAGCGCGCGGGAAGCCGAACGGCATCTCGTCAACATGATCGAAGACGGAGAGATTTACGCGACGATAAACCAACGGGACGGAATGGTTCTATTCAAAGACAGTCCAAACAAATTCGACGATCCCGATTGTTTCCTCGAGCTCGAGCAGAAAATGCGGCGCTACATGGACGTAGCCGATAAAGTGAAGAAGCTCTCCGAGAACATTCAGGTCGATCCTCTATTCATCAACAAAGTCGGTGCCAACGAAGAAGAAGGAGCGGCGGGTCCTGGCCCCGGCTCCGTGTCGAATAAACTCCGCAGCGGCTCACTCGAGCGTCGGACGGCTCTCAATCCCCCAGGCCGCTCCGCTGATTCAGACCCCTTGTTTCAGTACCTCGGCTCGACCACAGAGTGGTACTAGTTGGCTAGACTCACGATGATTATGAAGCATTTGTTTGCTTGAGAAGGGCAACTTATGATGGTACGCGCGATTCGCCATGAGAGGGAATCATGTAATTATGTATTATATAATAAACATTGATCGCACGTGAGAATCGAGTCCATGAGGAGGTTCATCGAGCATGTGGGAAAGCATTCTGCGCGTAGAAGGATTTCGAGACATCCTTGGCTTATATTCATTCGCTTTTATTCATCCAGAGGGACGCCAGCATTGTCCACGATGATTCGGAAGGGATTGCTGACGCATAATTGTTTCTGAAAATCTAAAATTTCGAGGACCGATGCTCGGGGAGGTCGTCTGGCTTCTCACGAATATATTTAGGTTGGGATGCGTCATTCGTTCGTAGAGTGAATGCATGGAAGACAGGTTTTGAAAGAGTATCTCTCTAGCGAATCAGAATCCGTCGTGCCAGGTGAAACGATCAAAACTCCTCAGATCGGGAAGATCTATCTCTTCAGTGGATCGGTACGGGCAAGACACGCAAGAAAATCGAATACAGCTTATTCAGCAACGTAATACCAACGACTCCAAGAAGAACGACAACATTAAGTATGAAGGGAACTCAGTCAGTCTTCCTCCGTGCGGTACCCAAGCTCCACTTACGAAGTGCATTTTCGCGGTGTGGCTCACAAACATTCCATCACTTATTAGTTGTAACAATCAACAGCAACAACAGTAAACGACACGGTCTAACGTAAACTGTAACAAACACTCCTCTGAATAAGAACTGCCACAGATATGATCAATTCCACGCTAGTCGAGGGAGCGGCCTCGGTGATCGGAACGAGAGCTGTGTTCCGGGACTGATTGGGCGCACGTCGATCGCAACTCACTCAAACTCAGCATCTGTCGGAACTCAGTACGGGATTTGGTTTTGATAATATTGAATCATGTCATACGTTCTGGTTCTGAAATTGAGGAACGAGTCCCGGATGACCTTTATCATGTAGGTCGCAGCGTCTTTCTCCGATTGCGCCAAGGGGTTGAATCTTTGTCTTAACAGTTTGATAGTTTGACCTCGGAAACAGGGCAATTTAGTGTCAAGCATCATGTGCACCAACGTTATGATATCATCTCGGAACGGGCGTACGGCGAGATAAGCCCGCACACAGAGTTCCGTGAACCATTTGAAAGAAGGAGCGTCGATTTTCCCTCCCATGATCATCACCATCTCATCGGTGAGTTTGATGTCCGGCTCGAAGCCGAGATTGCCCCCTGGGGACGATTCGAACATGAAGCCGAAGTCGATGTGAATAATGTGGCCCTGGGCGTCGATCATTATATTGCCGTTGTGCCTATCTTTGATCTGCAGCAGGAATCCGACCACCGAGTAGGCGGCCATCGAAACGATGAAGTTGTAGCGAGCCTCCTGGAAGGCTTGTGATGTTTCCTCGCCGTATTTCTTGAGGAAATATTCGTAGAGACCAATATCCGTCTGACGGCCCAGCTGATCGCGGGATTTAGCGTTGGGCACACATTCGATCACACCGCAGCCCGGCGCGGTTGCGACCACCCGATATGGGAACAGGAATAGGTCTAGACCGACCTGATTGAAGATGTTCTTGAACAGGGCGATTACCTGTAGGGCCAGCATGTCTTGACGCACATCGTCTCCGACCTTGAAAATAGCGGCCTGATAGTATTCCGTGGAGATGTTGACGTCGGACGACGGTGAGCTGACTTTCGCCAGAGTGACGCTGTTCTGCTGCATGCCGAGGCCTTCCATCATCGCGATGCCGCAGTGTCGAACCTTGAAGCGCGCGAGGAACGGAGCTTTCGCCGCACTTTGCATCGGAGTGCCCGAATTATAGTCGATATCGACAACGACCGCTTCCGGATTCGATGGCAGATAGCAACCAGGTTGAACGACTATTTGGGACAGTGCCTCTAGACACGCTTTTTTCCGTTCTGCACCTTTCGGGAAGTTCCGAATGTGACCGGATATGTCGGTGATTTTCGTGAAGAAGTCAAACTCCCGCTCGTAGAAGCTCTTCGCCGGACCGGATAGGGCGGCGAGAATCGACTCGAACAGAGCGATGAACTCGTCGTACAGATCGTCTTTCAACGTGCTGTCTTCGTCCATGTAGAGGTTCGTTCTTATGTTCCATATGAGCTGATGCGCGAATAGTTGCGACCGCTGGGCGGTTTTCCGCAAAAATTCCGACACGTAACCGATTTCGTCGCAACGCATCGCTTGGAGCAGCTGAGGAATGTAGAGCATGATCGTGTCGGGGGGACATTGTTCTAGAACCCTGGCGGCGTATTGGGCTGTAATCGGGTGGGGGGAGAACTGTTTCGACATGAACGCCAGTGCCTTGATGGGCGAAACGTGGGCCCACGTCAAAACATGGTTGAGGTCTGGTCCGTCGGCTGTTACGCTGTCCGGAGTAGCGAGGTACTGGAGCGCATCCGGAAGATGCGCCACAAGGGTCGGGTTCTGTCGAACGAGGGAAGATACCTCCAGGGCGATTACTTCTTGGGTTTTGAATCTGTATGGGAGATACACGGCTAACGTCGGGGAGATGTCCCAGGCTAGCCGCGTCGTATCTCGCTGATTTCTCTCTGCCATCGACTGAGAACGCCAAACTTGTAGAACATTCTCATCTGAAAATTCCCGAGATATATTAGGAATTTATACCCTCAACTCCTTCAGGGGGAGGGGGAACCCGAGGTTCTGCTTAGATTTTACACCTTAACAAGCGAAATTCCACAGACATGGATTAAATGAGATAGAGAGGGAGAGTGGGAAAGATGCGGGGCCGATACGTACTTTGAATACTCTTTTCCGGAACGCCCATGGGATTGTACCAAGTCGAGAGGAATTCAATCTCGAAGGACAGCAACCACAAGATCAGGCTTCTCTTCTTAATGTAATCCTCGGCAAACAGCTGCATGTTGGAATGTGAAGATCCTGCGGCTCCGGCGGCCTGACCGTCTTTCGTCCTGCCGGCAGACGACCGTCTTGAAATGGTGGACATGCCGCTGCTCATTCCTACGGTGTTAATCCAACCGGTGGGTGTCGTTCGAGAAAGAACGTCGGTCGATCCTCTTCCGTCATTCATTGGCTCTGCCCAACCATCGCCGGAGTGTCTGGATTTGAGATACTTTTTCTCCTGGTAGACTGAGGTCCAGAACTTAACGAGCACAGAGATGTCGTCGCGGAGCACCGCATCGTTCTGCGTCGGGCACATCTGAGGACCGCAGAAGAAGTCGAGAGCAGCGCAGTAAATCCGTTCTCGGAGCATGGTGCGGAAAATACTCGAAGTCAATACATCGCCCTGCGGGAAAAAGCTCGTGCTTTATATTTAGCGTTTCGACACTTGAACTTCGGGGCGCCATGGAGGTTCGAAATCCCGGCTCATTGGATCGGCGATCGTCGAGACGCAATCGCTCGTAACTTACCTGAAGCAGCGACAAGCCACTGTTGAGGAAGCGGAATCTTGGTCCGATGGTACCAACGTGCTTCGTGAGCCGAGGTTCGTCCTTCGAGACGACGCTCGAGGCCAATGATCTTTGGAATAGGTCGGCTAGAATTTGGACTTGGTCCGAGCTGCAGTACTTGGCAGTTTCGATTCTCTCAGCCAGGAACTTCACCCATATTGCGTGAGGGGCGACGAAAGGAGTGCGCGGCTCGAGGACAACCCCTTCCTGAGGTCGAGTCGGGTCGGGTTGTTCGGGATCGGTTGAGAACATTCCCATTTTGAGTGAGACCGTCCTGAGCCAGGCTGCGCTCATCTCTTGCAGGAAAACCAGCTCCAGGTCCGGTCGTGCGGCCAACAGCCAGTGCCAGCAAGCCACAGTGGCCCGCATGGCGTCTTCAGCGAAGAATTCCACCGTGCTCCAACAGAGAGCGTGGAGCAAACTCCGGTCCACACCCTTGGTGTGGATCAGAAGGGCGGTGATGCGGAATACTGATTCCATGAGGAGATTCGCGTTCTTCGACTCCCAGCTTAAGGACAACTGTTTATTGGTTGGGGAAGGAGAAAGAAATTAGCGCGGGTGAGTCGAGCTTTACTGAACTCGCAAAAATCCTCACAAGGAACTCGGAAGGCGTCGGCGCCATCGCAAGTATAAGCTTCAGGCTCGATCGAATGTTTTGGAAAAAAAACTATGACTCACTTTGGTCAGGAGCTGATTGGCAAGGTCGTTCCTCACCCTGACGAAATCATCGGCTCCCTGAAGAAGACCGGTGATCTCGCCCCCAAATCTCGAGCGCAGTCCGATCGCACAAACAAATTCCGAGGTGTTGTGTTTCACGCAGTTCGGCCACTTGTCGAGGGTGGCCGTAGGTAAGGGTGCGGCATAGCTGTTGAGACCGGCGAAACGCAGGACGCTTTCCAGAGCCAGGGAAACGCCGGAATGCTGCGTGAACACCGCCCTTGCGGAGCTGCACGAAAGGTACTCTTCCAAGTGAGAGCGGGTGACGATGGGCGCCCATTTCATGGCTTCCTGGATGATGCCTTGACACCGCGCGGCGAAGTCCTGCACGATACCTTCGCGCGCCTCGAGGGTGTCCGTCAAGGATAGCGAATATTTCGTCCCGGGAACCTGGAGGCTCGGGTTCAACTGCAAGAGAAGAACGATCGACGAGTTTGATAATAACTCATCAGATTGACCCGATGGAATCCTATCGACAAATAAATGTTAATGAGAAGGAGTGTACATGACGAAAGTGTTCGCACATCCTCAACTCACATGATTCGGATCGAGTTCTAGACTCTTGGCCAGCACGTGGAGGATATTGAGCATCGTCCAGAGGACTTTTCCGCTCCAGAGTAGGTGAGGGAACTTATCGACAAGCGATGACAGGTACTTGTCGGCGATTCGTCGGATTTGCTTCATGGGATGATTGAATTTGACCAGGAGAAAAGTTGCGTAGCGTTCAAGTTCGTCGTCGCGTTCTTTGTTCTTGGGCTTCGCCAGCATCACGTCGAGCACTGCCAGGAAGACTTTGTCGCTGACGGCCATGATGCACTGCCACAGACTAGACTTATCTTTTTGAATTGTAGGAAACTCGAGATACTGGAACATGTAGTCGAGGTGACAGTCTCCCTGAAGGAGATTCTGCGCTCGTAACGTTTCCAACCGGAGCACAGCCATCAGATAAGTGCATTGGGCGAAGTTGAGTTTGTTGACGGTCGCGCTTATGTCGACCGTGAAGGGCAAATCCGTCTTGAGAAGTTTCAGGGTCTGGTTCCGTACTTCTTGGAGCTCGCCCACAGAAACGGTGTCGCTCCTGATTGCGGAATTGTATTGCAGAGATGAACGAAGGTGTTCCTTGGAAACGATCAGAGGGCTCTTGCAAGCGATTTCGCGAACGCCGTCAAACCACTCGGAGGGCCAGAGGCCCGATTCCGAGGTGAATCCCATGACGACACAGTAATGCCAAAAGTCCCAGAAAAGCTTGTGGAGTCTCGGCTTCGGATTTAGTATAGGAGGCATACGCCTGATCAGAACCGCAACGACGGGTATAAGCACGCCTAGGTTGCCCGCAGAGCTCGAAGCCTTTAGGGCACTCTGCCGCTCCGACACACGTCGACCTTCTAGTCCCAGCTGAACAAAAAGTTCCAGGAGGGTAGATAGCAATTCGTTCATGTATTCGTCGCCCTGCAGAGACGCCGCTATGTTCGCCAGTGCGTTGATTACGGCTAGGGAAACGTGCCTATATCCTTGCTTGTGGTCTTCATTGGTTCCTACGTTATACTGCTGGGAGCTGGACTCCATCGTGACCAGACTGAACATCTTGAGAATTGCATCGAACACGTGCTTCTCTACTTTGGCTATGACCATCCAGCCGAGCTGATCGACGATCAGGGTGTCCAACGACGAGGCCGGCTGGTTAAATTTCTGTTGAAAGAACTGTAGTATCGAGTTGGACGTTTTCGGCGTGTCCTTCAAGGCTACTGCCACGTGACCCAGCGTCAGTATCGTGTTCTGGGCCACGAGTCCTGCCTCCCCAGGCCTGAATTTCTCGGCCTGATAGAGACGATTTGACAGGGAGGCCAAGAAGGCCTGCACACATTCGGCGTCCTGTTGAAGACCTACGCGGAGCACGCGGCAGATATTCTCTATTGCTGTGTCGCGCAATCGGTCATAAGTAGACTTGAGTGTTGGTGACACGACCATCGCTTTCTCCGACTGCTGCTGGTTTTTCGAAGAACTGGAAAAAAGAGCGGAAATTGTTTTTTCTGATTATGGTGACGACGATGCGAAGCGGGATCGATACGCTCCTTGCGTACATATTTGTGCATTCAAAGGCATGAAGAGGCGCGTGCCACGATGCCACGACGATCAGGAGCAAGGATACTCACTTGTCTTGAGTGACGTAATAGAGCTTCTCCAGAATGGGTGAGGGCGTGATGAGGAAGTCTCTGAGAGCCGAAATCGACGTCTCCACCAAGTTGGGAAACCTTTCGGCTAATTTTCCCAGCCCTTCTAAACAGACCAACAGGAGGGGAAGGTGTGCCACGACGGTCCGCGGCGCGCTCGGAGTGCAGATCCTCTCCAACAGTCTTGTGCAAAGATTGTCGGCGCCCATATCATCCAGCTCTGCCCACACCAGGAGGTCAACGCAAGCTGCGTTCGATTGAACCACTAGCGTGACGGCGTTGAACTCCTCATCTTTGGACTCCTACGGCGGAAAAAAAGACGGCGCGCGTTGAAAAATACTACCGGTAGTTTTGCATACGGAATCGGAGTTTGTCGTCGTTGCCCTAGCACAATCGTTCGGAAATGGAATTATTCGCTCCGATTTTCAGCGTTCTTAATTTTTTCAGCACGACTCGGAGTCTGCATAGAACTTAATCTCTCACCACTTGCAAACAAATTGTTGTGTACTCACTTTTTGCAGTTCAGTCTGTCCAGCGAGGAAGATCGCTTTCACGAATTCCTGGACGTCTCTGGTGAACGAGCTCGGTATACCCGGTCGGGGGTTTCGGCACAGCAGCTCTTGAAGTAGTCCGAGCAACACCAAATTGACTATCTCTGACAAGCTCTTATAAGGGAAAACCCGCAAATCTCCGGACTCGTAAATCGAAGCGGCCTGTGCATCCATGTAGGTGAGTATGTCGTTCTTGAGGAGTTTCTTAGCCAGCATGAGAAGCGTTTGACATTTCGACATCGGCACGGAAAGTGGCGTCCGATTGATCTGAGGCAGAAGTTGGCTGTAGGAGGAGCCCATCTTCTTGAAGAAGAAACTGGTCGTGTCGTAATCGATGCTGACGAGGTTGAAGTTCTGCGGCTCGTCCACCGAGTTCGAATCGATCGAGGAACTGGTGACCGAAGTTAACTCCGACAGCGAGCGAGGTATGATCGGTCGGAACGAGTTGAATGTTCGACGATTTTTCGGCAGCGTGTTCAACGGGTTGATCCGCACGGTACTCGGTGGTTTCGGTGGTGGGAAAATCAGCAAGAATATCGACTTCCCGTCGGGGTGACACCGACCGAAGGCGCGAGCCGCTCCCAGGAGAATGGGAACGACTATCCGACACAGCGTCAGCCTACCCTGCGTCGGCGCGCTGGGTCCCTGTGAGTCGCTGCTCTGGAGGCCTCGGATGACATTGAGCAGAATTTGGAAGAGTTCGATCTGGGCCGTCAGAATTTCTTCCTGAACAGTTTCATCGAGAATCATCACGTCGGTCAACAAGGTGTTCAAAAGGAACGTGAACCGTTCGACGGGAGGGAGTCTCTCGTCGGTACTGAGCGTAGCTTCGTCCGTCCAGTTCGCCTTCGGCAGTCCATGGAGCAGTTTGAGAAGATACGAGACGATGAGACTCTTGTGACTCAGGTTCGACTCGAGCAGGTAGATACCCAGCGCGATCACCGAGTCCTGGTGACGTCTCGATATCGTGAAGTTCGACTGGTTCAAATCAGGACACTGGCGGAGTAAATACTGAAGTTTCTCCTCGGGCGTTGGCACCATTTTCGCGAGATTTCGAGCCTGTGCTTTCACGGCTTCGAAGTGGAAGCGTCGCCCCAAGCTCGCCATTTTTCCAGCGGTGTCGTACCTGGAAAAAAATCGATTTTCGCATTATCTCGATTCCTCGATTATCCTACTGCCCACGACCGACGATCGTACATGATCGATTGAGGCTGCCGACGGATCCGAAGTGAAAACCAATCGAGGAACGATCATGGTCATCTCCCATGGAGTTATTTATTTGACAATAAGCTCATACATATATTCACTGGACTTTTAGAATTGGAGCATCGATACGCAGGAGGCGTGTCTTATGATCGTATTGAGCCTTGACGTTGTCGACATCGAGTTCGAGAGGAAGATACACATCCACTTCTGGTTTCACGGCGGTGGCTCTCTGTACGAGGATCCTGTCCTTCGCCATATCGAGATTCACCTCATTCGGCTTCGTCATGTGCGGTATCTCGATTTCTGCCACGAGGTGCTCGACGCATCTTCCCGGTTTCTGCACTCGGTTCAGACGAACATTCGGAGGAGCCTTCCGAGGCATAGGTTCAGCTACTCTCTCCTCTCTCTTAGGCGTCTCTACTTCGTCGATGAGAGGCGTCGGTTTGGTAGTACCCCGGTCCCGAATATAGTGCTGAGGCATTGAACCCAGGTATTTTCTGTTTTGCAGGGTGACGTAGTCCGTCCTCGAAAGCACGATCGAGTACTTGTCTTCAATGCCCTGCGCAGCCAGCAATGTAACAAACTCCTTGAACACGATCGCTGAGAGACATTTCTGATAGAAGTTCGAATTGATTATGACATCATAAGCGGTGCAGGGTTCTCCTTTCTTGTCCAATTCGTCATGAGGTACACCCAGACTCAACGGAACACGGTAGCTCGCCGCGGATTCACTCTCCAGGAGACTCGTCAATTCGCTTTCGCTTATGTCGATCGGTGCCGGGATCTCAGAGGTGTGGCAAATGTTGATGAAGGCTTTCTTGTGGGCTTCATCGACACGTTTGAACTTGACGCAAAACCCCTTCGACGGCCGGACAGCGATCGATGACGTTTCGTTCGCCGCGTTCTCTGCGGCACTTTCCAGCAGCTCGCGGAATTCTCTGTGAGTCTCATCTTCGGCGACAATATTCGAAAGCGATGTCGGTTCCGAAGACGGCGACGACGGAACTTCAAGAAAGGCCATTTCAAAATCTCCGATGCCGATCTGAAATTGCCGGATTAACAGAACTTGTGGAAACGATCGCTTTCAATCGAGCGCTGATTTGGCACACGCGTGCGATGTTGTTCTCCGAACGGCTGACATCTCGGGGATCGCCGCTAGAGGCAGAAATTACTCCGAGACTGTCTCCGAGAGCACGGGCGCACGTCCGGGCGAGGAACGAGGAAATTCACTCATTTACTCGACTGAGAGCATGAAACTCAGGACGTATCCTTGGACTGAATTAATTATTAGGCTTGTCTGACTTTTGAATTATTAATCTGGTGATCGATGAACTTACCTAAGGCGTTCGTTGCTCGAATTCAGCGCTTGAGTATCCGTGGGAAGCCCTCTTCTCTGGAAGAACGAGAGACGCTATTCGGCGTGAGGCACTTATGATCTGCTTCCTCCAGGAAGATATTCATCTACAATGGAGTTCGGGATAAAATCTTATTCGACATACCACCACGCAACCTTCACCACGGCTGTGTCCACACCACCGTCAGTCACCAGCAACACTCTCTCACATAACAGCGGAACGGCAATGATAGACCGAACGTATTGTAGCTGCGGTCTCGCGGCTGCTCCGGATGACGAGGAAAATAATAGAACTTCGGCTGTTTCAGTAGATATGTGCGTCGAGCGTGCGGTGTCGAAGCGACGAGTTGCCGTCATTGGAACGGAACACACCACCGCAGTGCCTGCAGAACCTCCTCTCTTTTCCTTAATCCCTCTCTCGATCTCGCTCCCAAGTTACACATCCACCACTTGAGTACTGTGTCCTCTTCACTTCTCGGCGCGAATATTCAAAACTCGGGAAATTCTTCTCGCGTTTCCCGTGCCCGAATGCAGAATAATTCGTTCTGTTCGGAATCGATGGAGAAGTGTACTTCCTCAATTCCTCCGTGAGCTCTCGTGAGCTTCCCGGTCTGGCAGGGGGTCGGATCACGAAGATCGAATTGCGACAAAATCCGTTCGATATATAGATATCTGAGTTTATTTTGGTGCGCAGAATCCACACAGTCTGCTCGCTCTCGGGGTGCCAATGTTGTTCGAGGCTTCTGGGCTCATCCACAACATTTCGGGTTCGGATCCGGAGTCTCTCCTCTGAAAGAACTTGGGAATCGAGGGCGTGCTGTTTTCACCCGCCTCGCTCATTTCCAATGTCCGAGCTCGTGGTCGCAGCTTGAATACGATCAGCGGACATCTTTAGAACGGCCCCTGTTGCCCGCCAACACATTTTCCCTCACCGATTTCAGTTTTCTGCATGCCAACAATGGCAATTTAGTTTGCATTTGAGAGTCGAGAACCAAAACCGTGCAGTGAATCTCCACTAGAATCCTCGGAAAAGGAGCGGCCTCCCAGTGACTTCGGACGCTGGAACTTGTGTGCTCTTCCTGCGTTACGTACCGAGGAGAGGCAAGATGTCGAGCAGACTTCTATCCTGTCTTGACGCAATCGAAAAGCGGGTAGAAATCTTCCGGCAGGCTGTTCAATCTTTAGAGATCGAGAAAGATTCTCTCGTCGAGATTCTTCGACGCTTCGGTGACTCCTCAGAATTGCAATCGGTGAGTCTATTAAATACAGTTGCTGGGTGATCCCTCGGCTGCGCTTGATCTCAAGGTCCGTCTCTCTCCGCATGTTAGGAATTTGATCAATCGAATCTATTCGTTTTGTTCTCGAAAGTGCATAATGATAGTCACAGGCGATAGCATCTGCAGCACCTAATATCTGCTGTCGCCTAGACGACATTTGGACACTTGGGGCGGCTTCGCGAGATTTCGTTCTTGCTGTTCGGTCCTGAAATGAACAGATTTCCGCGGCCCCCTCGATGGCGGGAAAGGCATTTTTCTGATTATGCCAATCCTTCCGATTCTGAGATGTGTTTTGAAGTGTGTACAAACCGAGGTGTGATTTTCTCTATGGTGCCGAACAGAGAGTTCGTCCCCAAATCAGTCTGTCCCGAAACGGTTTGACTCCGATACGGAGGAGCAGAAGCGTGGGAGTGGAATCATCTGATTTTTCCATCGAGGTCTCACACCGCAACTGACCCACTACTTCGGGAGCGGAACCATCCCGTCTCGGAAGCGATAATTTTCGTGGCGAATCGCTCTCCCTGAAGTCGTCTACCGAGACCCGATCCATTAGGACAGTCTCTGTCTTGTACGCGTCTCGAGTGAAAATAGAAGTCTCCTCACACTGTGGAAAGATCTATCCGGCGACATCGGCGTCCCCGAGATGAGGCGCGAAAATTCTCAATGCGCGATCGAGCGCGATGCATTGACAACATCACTGATCCGTACTCCGGTTTCTTTTTTTCTAGCTCCCAGAAGCGGAACAGGAGGAACTGATGCTGATTCGAACAAGACTGCTCAGTCGGGTCACTACTGTGGACGTCACGGTCCTGACGCCGCGCACCGAACAGCAAACCTCTGCACTCGTCGCGGTGACCGAGATTCTAGACAAACTTCTTACCCGATTCCAGAAAGAGGAATGTAAACATGAATGTGAGCGGTACCTCAATTCCTGTTTGAGCGATCCCACCGGTCCTATCGACGAGAAGTTCCAGAGCAAGGTAAGACCAAATATTACACATGTATACGACAAGGAGACATGCGTGTGCTTCACGCGGTCGATCCATGACGATGTCTAACGCTGTCTTCTTCCGAATCAGGTCGTCGAGTGCACAGCTGACGATCAGAAGAAAATAAAGAAGAAGCTTCAAGCCATGTTACGCCAGCTAGAGATGGAGCAAGACGAGCAAAAGCAACAAGAAGAAAATCTGCCTAATGGGGATGCCCATTCCCATAATAATATATGATCTGATCCATGAAGTGACATACCGGCGGTTATCTGTTAACTTCATGAATTGTAAGGGGCTGCTAGCAGATGGCTAGCGAGAGAAAGTCCCGGTCGTGTGGTTGAGCTTTAGTAGCACCGGCGAGTCGGCGGAGTTTCGAACATAGGTACTTCTCATTCCTCGTGCATCTCTCTCTGCTTAGATATATCTTCCGAGTTACGGACCGAAGGGGCACTACGATGTTTCGCGGAAGTTTCCCAGTTAGAGTCCGAGGAAGCCGGAACTCACGGAACGATGGATAAGAGAACGCAGCTCGATAACATGAAAATCAAAGCGGGCTTCTGCCTTTATTCTGATGTAGAGAGAGAGAGACAGCCGGGAACCGACGGAAACTTGTTGTCATTGTTCGAAGGAATTCCGGACAGATGGAAGAGGGATGGATGAAACGAAGCAGATCCGATTATATTTTCACTAATCCGAAAATCGCTCGTGTGAATCGTACTGTATATGCATTTGTCGTCAAATATATTAGTTCAAAAGAGCGCAACAGTGAACAGGGTCCGCTTATATATTTTTATGATGATGATGATTACGATGATCATCTGGTGATCATCTCGTTGGCAACTTCCAACAAACTCCGGCGTGATTGATCTTAATCTAGGAAAGAAGCCATAGAAACGAAACGGCGAGAAATCAGAGTCGGCCATCTCAATTAATCCCATCTCAATGAGCTCTATAGAAACATTGCTACGCCAACAATTGTCCCCTGCTAATCCTCCTCTCTTGCGTCTGTGCCCCACCTCAATCTATTCCTCAGCATCAGTGTTAACTCAATAATTACACGTTTTACAAAGAGAACCTGACCCGAAGTCGGTCACTGTCCTCGACGGAGGGAATCCACCGTAAAGAAGGAAAAGCATGAGCCGTTGCGGGAGCCTACAGCTCGCGGGCTCAGGCCGCGTGGCGAGACGCTGGGTGGATTCCGTGAAAAAAAAGGCCGGAGCCACTCTAAGAGGGTCGGGTGAACAATGTAGTCCTGTACGAGAGGGCGAGGCGCTCAACAATTGCATGACTCTTTCTTGTCCTGGATGTTTCCTAGCAGCGTGTTCTGCGTCTGGGGTTTGTGCTGTACTCCAGATTCTGCCGCATTGAGGTCGAGATTTCCGTCCTGGATGTTCTGATAGATCTTCCGGGCCGTCTCCAAGAAGGCGTCTTCGACGCGGTCGCCCGTCTTCGCCGAACATTCCAAGAACATGAGGCCATTTTCGTCGGCGAATTGTTTCGCTTCCTCGTACGGTACTTCCCGTTGGGCTTCCAGATCACTTTTGTTACCGATGAGGAATATCACGGTGTTGGGGTTCGTTAGATTCCTGGGAAAAAAACGAGTCTCATAAGTTCTCATTCGAAGCTGCGTCATAATGGCGAGGAGAATACGAACTCCGGTCGAATATGGGCTAGATGAGAACCTTGCATCCGTGAGCCAACTGCTTAAATGATTGTACGTGGATCGACGTGTCACATCGTACACCATCAGAGCGCCAGCCGCGCCACGGTAGTAGCTCCGGGTGACAGCTCGGAAACGCTCTTGACCTGCCGTATCCCAGATTTGCAGTTTGATTTTCTGGCCCGCAACCTCGATTATCCGCGTTCCTGTAATGAGTACGAGTTTAGTTGATCACGACAGAAATCAATTCACCGTGAGGGTTCTCGTCGTTCAAACTGAGTGAGTGAGAGGGGGAGGCCTCAAATCGAATTGATCCCACCGTCGCTCACCGAACTCTACGCCGATCGTATGGGGGCAGTCGCTCATGAATTTCTTCTCCGTGAACTGATGGAGTAAGCAACTTTTTCCAACGCCCATGTCCCCGATGATTATGTACTTGAAGATATAGGAGTAGTTATATGGGCCTGATTCCGTCATTGTGGTGCAGCGTACGGCGTCGCGACTCCTGTAATCGATAAGTCAAAAAACTTCTTGTGACTTTTATTCAAGCAATCCGCTCTCCCCGACTTCAATCCTCGAGCCGAAAAGGTACTTCGCTCTGACCGATCCGTTCGGCTTATTGTTCGCATTTGAAGGTTGACGCGATTGCAACGATGCAAAACCGAGCAGTTCCAGGACTACCCATTCCACGACGACCGAGATTTCGTTCGGTCCCCGAAAGTTCAGTCATTGGAATCGGACCTCCAAGAGCTCGCCCTAACACAGGGCGCTGCGGAGAGAGAACAGCTCATCAGCAAGAGCCTTCCCCCGCTCGGTATATGGAAAAAGAAATTCAGCCGCGCGGCGATAACCTCGTTTCCGTGAGAGTCCTTGTCCTTGTATGTATGTTTCCGCCTCGATGACGGTGAAGCACTCGACGCGCATGCTTTTGTCTTCCAATTTGAATCGTGGCGTGATGGCACATATTAACTCTCCTTTTCTAGAACTCCGGGAATCGTCAGAGTCGACGCTCGATTCTTTTCTCCGGAGTACCGCTCTTTACATTTTGCAGAAGCAGACGAACGTTCCATGACTCGGGACTTCGGAAGGAATACCGCAGTTTGTAGACCATAGCTCGAACGTAAGCAAACGTAGGCGATATTGAGTTCACGATGACTTGGGCCCCGTGACCAAAAGATGACTCATCGGAATCATGGACACTCTGCCGATCTGATTAAGCAGCAAGCAACTGGATCCAGATAGAACACGCATTCACGGTCGACGTCGACCAAAAGGGCGCCGATCGCGGCTCACGTGTCCCCGTTGTTTCATTTTGATAATTCGATATCTCTCCGCTGTGAAGAATCGGCTTCGTCCGTCGACGCGAGGCAAGCCAAAGGGTTTGTGGAAACCGTCCGAGGTCTTCCTCGAGGAGGATCGCTCATTCGAATCCAGTTATCTCCGCCTCGATTGGAAGACCGTACTCACGTAGATCTACATGGCGTCAAAAACACAGAACAAGGAAGATTCTGAAACTGGGCCGGCATTCATCCGCTCGGGCCAGGCTAAGAATATTTTGAAATGTGTAATAACTGTGAGCGCAGTTGCGGGTCGTTGTGGACTCGCTCGTGAGCTCGGCCGAAAAAAACAAGTGTTTACGACGAACTGTCAGGCGACAGAAGGTGGCCATCTCCCTCCGTTTGTGCGTTGGCTCGTTCACTCTCCGAAAGCGACGAAGCAGAATAAATGTCGCGGAAACATTTCCGAACACCGTTTCCGCAGCGATGTCTGTGCGGCCATCGGGGGACTTCAGATATCTGCCGATGTTTGACAATCGCTCTCCATTTCCCGCGAGACTCTCCGAAACCCATTCCCGAAGTTCAACAGAAACTTGTTCCACATCATATCCATTGTGGAATGACAGCATGGCCAGGGAAAGACGATGCGATCGCATCTCGCTCTAACGGGCGGAGGAACCCGAATTCGGCTTGGCAGGGCACGGTCAGGTGACGATGGTGATCGGAAGCTCCAAGTCCATCTTGTCTCAAAAGGATAAAAAAAACGCTGCCGTCATCGAGCTGAGAATCAGTCAGCTGAGATTATCGGCCATCTGATAGTTTCAAGCAAGATTTCCCCTGGATCACCCGATTGGGATGGGGCGTTGATTCCTTGCCGACTTATTCTCTTGATCAGGTCGGAGCGACACCGCTTTACGTCAATCGATGCAGAACACAAGAAACGAGTACCGTCGGAAATTCGTCAACCCAGGAAAGAGACCATCATTACCCCCAGGGAGTCGAGCTAATGATATGCGATGAACAGTGGTCTGAATATCCCGTTCGGATCCAGCCCGGCTGGGAGCGGAGTCCGTCTCGACGGTGGACACTGCGAGATGGCTTCAGTCAAATCAAGGGAGTCCCGGAAGCCGAAGCGTCGAACAGCGTCTCAGTTGGGGGTGCATATGTCGTCAATCGCCATCAGCTGGCGGTTGCCGAAGTCTTGCGAGGCTTAAGGCGGTCGCCGCTGACCGCGAACTACTGAGGTGTCTATTCCCTACCTGATACGCGATCCTCGGAGAGATTTCTTGGGGTACGGGGCACGCACTAATCACGACAGACGACGATCCGCTAGTTTTAACTTGACGGCAGTAGTAGCAGCAGCAACAAGACAGATCACACAACAATGTGACGCATAAACACGACGACGACGACGGCGATGATGGAGGGAGAACCACCAGCGCTAGCACAGGAAAGATTCTCCAATCGGTTGAAGCGGGGAACCGCGTTTTCTCCGAGAGGTACACGTGTGCTGATTATACCTTATGGTGTATGTCACCCTTGAGAGGATTCTTCCGAGTCGAACGAGAGCCCTCACTCAGGACTCAGAGCTGCAAACTATAAAGACGATGATGACAATGATCCGTGATTTCATCAGAAGGCGAATCGGGCGGTCTGTACGAGGGTCCCTCAGTCAGGATTAGGTAGCTCTCAATTGTTTGAGATACACTCGTGACTGATTGTGAGAGATGGAGCCAGGCTGGCACGACTGTTTTCAGGAGAATCGGAGCATGACGCGAGAGCGTCAAGATACGTTTTGAACGCCTGCAACAATTCCTAGAAACTCAAATCTTCATACCTCGGAGTCCAGAGATCTAGATATCGTACTTGCGATACCCGAAAAGAGCAGCGCATGCCGAGATACCGTCATGCTTGGCGGAAGAAATACCACCGGCTTGTGTGAATCATCATATCATGAGTACATCATTCAATCGAATGCAGGAGGAGCAGCGGAACTGCTTTTGTAGCGGCACCGCGCGAGGGGCTCGCAGTTGAGTCTCTGTGCCCCGTTCTCCTGGAGGCACAGCTCGAGGCCAAGGAGCACCGGCAAATAAACTTGGCCTTACTGCCGCAATGTCCTACCGTCTGGATCGGGATACAGGTGCAATGCCCAGTCGTCATGATCCGCGATCTACGTACGTATCAGGACATTCTCGGTTAGCTCCGATGGGGACGGCGTCTCTGAATCACTCTCAATGAAGTTGCTCCTACCGGCAGAACCCTTCTGATGGTGGCTCGGGCACGATCTCCAAGTGTAGGCATAGACAACAGTTTGCGATTCGCTCATGACTTTCTGAGAAACAAACATCGCTCGGTCGTTGAGGATTCGCGGCTAGTTGCCGCGATCATCATCCGGATCATCTACCGATGCTGGATGAAGAATAGTAGCGAACTTGATATGATTTACAAGAAGACAGGTCAGGACCGTTCTATGGGAAAATTTGGCGGCGCTTGGAGCCTGACGCAAGAATGCTCTTTGTTTTAACGATTCAGGGGAATTTCCTTATCAACAACGTCTGAATCTATCTGAACTCGAGTTTCCGATATTCAGTCGCCGACGAGAACCTGATTATGAGCTTATCATACGCTGTTCTGCAGGAGAGAAGCCGATCGACCGAAAACGAGAAAAACGATAATTGATGGGACTTAGAGTTTATTCGGGCCTTGTCCTCAAATAATGGGATCCAAAAACAAGGGTTCATCACTTTTAGACTCCTGCCTTCTCATGTTAATAGTCTCGATCATGGCGACGAGTTTCTTGCAATCGTTATGTGCGGAGTACAGCTTGTTCACTTGCTGTTGTAGCTCCTCAAGTTTCAACCATAGGACATCATCCCATTCTCGACGTTTCTGGAGAACTCTCGACATCACCTCGGTCAAGTCTAATAGCGCCTGGAGGGAGGAGAAAACGGAATTAATGGAAGCTGATGACTTGTCCTAAGCTGAAGGATACGATCTGAGCCCTCAGCGAAGTAAGGATCCGACGCTCCTCTACTCACCCCTTCATATCTGGGTAATGTAATGTATTTACAGATGAAGTCTAAAACGGCATTTTGATATTTTTCACCGAGCTTCGCCATAGTTATCTCCAGCATTCGTCTTCGTGCCACTTCATCGCATGTTGCGAGGAATATTTCAGGCTTTCTCATCCGCGATGCGTGGCTGAAAGACGTCTGAAGAGCTGTTGTGAACTCGAATCGTCTGAGTAGGTTCTGAAGTTTCGACGACTTCGTGTTGGGCGCCGTGTCCAAGACGATATCGTCCGCGTCGGGAATGAAGACCGCCTGTCTGAGATTGTTTTCTGACTTCTCTTCGACAACTCTTGCTTCCTTCTTGCGATGGATCGTCACCAATCCTGTTTCCGATCCAACGACGAACACAGAAGAATCCGGCGACATCGCCATGCACAGAATCGGGGAGGGATAGCTGACTGAGTGAGCTACACGATAATTGATCACATCATAAATTTTCACATGACGATCCAATGATCCACTGAGCAATTTACCGCCGCAAGCCGACACGCCTAGAAGAAGCGAATCAATTAGACTCGTGAGAAGACCGGAAGGGATTCATGAATAAATCTGGCATCTGCCCCCCGACGCGCAGAAGTCTCCCGGGGCGTATCATGTGCTCACTCACTCAGACAGGTGACCGTTTTGTGATGCTGACAAAGTTGCATGAGTTTTCTTCCAGAAGCTGCGTCCCAAACTTTGACGAGGTTCGCCCCGGCCGTGAAGAATATACTGCCCGAGGGAAGCATTTCGACGGCTTCGATCGGCGCACCATGATCGACCGTAAGACCGGGCTGACCATTTCTCAAATCGACGAGAGCCGCCGTATGGTCATAGCTGCCGGTCAGGATCACATTCGCTGTGCCCGGCACCGGGCGGCCACATCGGACGTAGTCCTTGTGGTGGCTTACGGAGAGGACCTGAGGTTCCAGCAACGTTATCAACGGATGCAGACCGGAGACTTGACCGAGACAGGAACGATTCCCAACATTGCTTTCCGGCAAGACGCAGACTCGGTTCACTCACCCTAGTTTGTTGGGGAATGTCCCATAAGCCGACTGTCCTGTCATCCGAGAAGCTCACGATCTGCTTCCCACCGTCGGTAAATGCGATGCGTCGTGTCGCTTGAGTGTGGCCGACGAAATGTCTCAGAGGTGCTTTGGTCTTGATGTCGAATAGTCGGATGCTTCCGTCATCGCTACCGGCTGCGAGAAGTTTGTTGTCCCCGCGGAAGATGGCCCCGAAGGCATTCAACTGAAAATCGCATTGCAGCGATTATCATTCGAGCAATCACAAGCGCTCATGTCAGCATATATGGACATCGGATAAACTCCCTGCTGGAGGCTGAAGGGCTCAGTACAGAATCGTTCACAGAAGACTGAATACGAACCCCGAATCTGTTGAGACGACAGGTGACATCACGGCTCGCAGGACTGTAGATTTGCACACGATTTGAAGATGAGATCGCGAACTGGAAGGGCTCTTCGCTGGCTATGTCAACGTGCTGTATGAGAGCTGAATCTTTCACTGTCACAGGGAGAGCGTACTTCTTCCAATCGAGTTCTTCCTGATTAAGGAAAGTGGCTTTTTTCGGGAGGGCCTCGGCCTGCACTGGTTTAAACGCGGTCATTCTGCCCGATCGGGTCTCCTCGCTCCGAGGCAGACTCGTGGGAATTTCCTCCTCGCTTCTTCCTGGATGCGATCGCCACTGTCCTCAGCAGCTGGGAAACATTGACGAAATGTTCCGGTCGAATTCACTGAGTTTATCCGCGGGAAATTTTTCCGTGAGACAGTGGCGGTGCGCAGGAACACGCGAATAGCGAACGGCGTGCTTCCGTGATTTAGGGGGGAAGCATGTTTACATATCGCTCTCCGCAGAAAAACGCGAAACAGCCCGCATCACGTAGTCTGTCCGAGGCCTCGTTTCTCCTCGAGTCGTCTAGTTCCCCGGGAATCGATCGTAGGCTCGGAAAAGACGTTGATTCCGAGATCTGAGCGGGGACTCGACTTCCGTCTATTAAGGGAATCGACACACCCATCGTGTCGCAGCCTTATCTGGGGCGGACGACTGATCTCTTCTGTTTCTCTGCCTCTAGGAGGGTGAATACCCCATACCGAGCGAATCGAGCGCCAAACATACCCGAGAGCGGCATCGCTTCTGTTCTTGAATCGCTTCTCCGCGTACAAAATCGATTCTGAAGCTACGCATAGGGTGCTCAAAGCCAGAATGACTGCCGCCGAGAACACTGCTGTGCAGGAAGTCAAGGAAGAAAAAATCCAGCAATGTGTGGATCAAAAAGAACCTGCCGGCGGGTAAGTTTATTTCCACCGTCGATCATTCAGCTACTCCTCTAAATTGAGGTGGAATTCCGAGGCTTGTTGAAATCATTTGCTGGACTCAAGCCGGGAACGCCCGCCCTCCCGAAGAGCTCGAGTTCGCTGCCCGGTGCCGCTGAGTGCAAAGCTTCCCTTTCGACAAACAGCGAATTTCCGAAGAGAGTATCGCGGCGAATGACTGCCATCGATACCCAAGCAAAGCACGGGGGCATCCCGAAGGCGGGAAGCGAACGCGACAATGTCCGCAACTGAATCGCGAAAATCGCCCGATGATACCTAATGGCCGCGACTCCGTGAGAGACACTGGACTAACCTTTCCGCGATTCCAGTGAAGGAGAAGGCAAACCCATCCTGAAAGAGGCGGGAAATATCGGAGGTAGCGACAAACTCACCGGAAACAGCGACAACGGAACCGACAAACTCGGCCAGGGGACCGATGGAGCCGACAAAGCCGCCGGAGAAGTCGTACAGCCCGTGGAGGAGTAAGTAAACACTAGGATTCTCGCTTTCAAACCCTATCGATCCTATGGCTCATTGCGCTATCCTCGACATCGGTTCCCGCGAGCCAAGTACGATAATAAGCTTTGCAGAGACGCGGACCCCGCTGTGGAGGCGACGATGCTTCTGATCCAGGGCAAACGACACATGCTAGTACAAGACTATTGCTCCGCTGTCGAATCTTTCGAGAAAGCCTGCCAGTTGCTGTCGGCGAAGTACGGGGACAACGCTTCGGAGTGCGGGGAAGCCCTCCTTCAATATGGTGAGTTATTAAAAATATTTCGAAAACATGACGAAGCTCAAGGAACTTTCGCCGTGCCGCTGGCTCGATACCCGGCTGATGGGACCTCGCAAATCTGCCTCGGCTCTTCTTTCGGATAATTTTCGGTTCGCATACGCAGGAAAAGCGCTTCTAGACTTGCATAGGAAGCAAACTGGAGAGTTGAACGCCATAGGCGAGGACAAGGAGGATGACGAGGCTTCGAGCGAAGAAGAGGAGGAAGAGGATGACGATGATGACGGGGAGCCTAGTGCTGAAGATTCCAAGAAGGTCGGCTATTGATCACACATCTCGAACTCCATTTATGCACTAAATACTCTCGGGTGCCAGCAGATGCGCGGGACAATTGCATCTCGGAGGAGTAGATTCCCGATTTCTCTATAGTTCTGAACGCCCGTCTCATCCCGCACAGGACAACGCAGCTGAGGCAGGGGAGAAGTCCGAGGAGAAGGCTGATGGTGATTCGTCCCCGAAAGATGAAGAAGATCTCGAAAAACCTGAGCCTGCGCTGCAGGATCCCAAACTAGACGATCCAATCCCACCTGCTGAGGAGGAAGACCAAACGGTACCGAGCATCCCTGCTGAAGATCCGTCCAGTGATCTGCAGATCGCTTTCGAAGTTCTCGATCTCGCCAAAATATTTTCAAGCGGTCAGTGAATATACATATGCGCTTCCAAAGTATCAATTGATGGATCTTCAAGGCCTCCTGACTCTACCCAATTGTTCAGCGAACTCTCAGCTCTCTCGATGGAGCGACAGCTCGCAGGAGCAGGGAACCGTCCATTCGACTGCCTCGCTCGCTCACTAACGTGACGGTTTTACCTCGAACAGGGACGCAGGGGACAGCCCGGAGCTCTATCTGAAAGCCGCAGATTGTCTTCAAACACTCGGTGAGGTCGGACTCGAGTCCGATAACTACCAGCAGGCCATCGATGATTTCGAAGCTTGTCTGAGAATTCAGCAAGAAATGCTTCCGGAAGATTCTCGCGCGACGGCCGAAACCAACTACCATCTCGGCCTTTCACATTCCTTCATCGCCGATTACGAGAAGAGTGCAGCATATTTCGCGGATTCCCTTCAGGTGAGTGAGCAGGCGTCTGCGGTGTCCTTCCCGGGCCAGAGCGGGCTAGACCCATTACGATATCGGGTCGACGCATCTTTGTTTGCTAATTTGCTCTCATCTTAATTAATTTCCAACATGTACTTCGGCTGTTCTTAGATCCTGAATCGGAGATTGGAGAACTTGAAGAAGAAAATCGAAGAGGGGAAAACGCGGACCGAATTCGAGGGGAGCTTAGTCGACGATCCCGTGTGGTGTGCGCAACGAGAGGTTGAGGACATCGAGGGTTTCCTCCCCGAGATCGTTTCGAAACTGGAGGATTCGAAAGAAATGCAAACGGAGCGAGCCGAAGGCCTTAAGGAACAAGTGATCAGTCAGATGCTGGATCGAACGCCCGAAACCAGCCCCGTGAAGAAGGTATGGGACGAGTTCGCTTAATTCGACCGACCGAAATGCTGCTCATCATTGATAATGATAATAATATACAGCCTACGTGTAAGTGTATTGAATGAGAGCCGTCTCTTCGCAGGATATGAAAGTCAACGTACTCGGCTCGAATATGATCAAGCGGAAGAGACCGCTTGAAGAAGGGGAGTCATCCGCTCAGTCTGAGAAAAAAGCGAAGGAAGCATAAAGTCTCGACGCTCTATTCTTATTTAGTGGGAGCATTCGAGATAATCGCTCGTCAGGAGGACCACAGAAATCGATTCCTCTCCATGGTGGAGCCACACTCATGTATCTTTCTTTCGGAAAAACCTCTTGTCTATTTCAAATTGTAAATACATACCCCCGTTTCAAGAATAAACCCAAAAGAAAATCAGACCAAGTCATGATACATCCTACTATCCTCGATTCTACGACGGTTATAGTCTGTGCGGTTATCAGGAGCGATCGGCGCCTGAATATTGAGCGTGAGAGCGTGGAGTGCGACCAGGCCTATCCTCTCGCTCCGTTTGCGTTTCGATGAAGGAGTCGAATTCATACGAATTAGCTCGCCGCTGTAAATATTTATTCATAGAGCCTTTCATGAATCGGGTGCGGAAAGGCACATGCGAACCCTCTGTCTCCTTGACTCCATTACTCCATTGATGGGTCGAGCACTGGCACGGTTGATAGACGGGATTATGAAACTCCGAAATTCTCTACCTGGGGAGATCCCTGAGCACTTGCTGCCGGATGACCGCCCCTAATAATGAGGCTTTTCACTCCGAGAGAATTCGATAGCCGGCATCCGCTTTTGTTCGAATCGGACCCCGGGCTCTCATGGGGTTGCAAGTATTCTCATTGGGAGAATTCTTGTCTTCGATTTTGATTTCAGGGATCTGGTCTCCGAGACGCGGGTCTAGGAGCGTCCAATGAAAGTCGGGTTTCTCTTGAGGTTGGCCCTCTGGTAGGCGCAAGATCGCTATACAAATTTTGTGGTGGAGATCGCAACTCGCTCCTGGAACAAACGGACGCGACTGGTGAGATCTGATGGACGGACTTCTGGAGAAGATGACAGTGGTCGGAGCGGTGCGATTAAGGTCGTGGAGAGCCGTAGAAAGGGTGCGAAGGAAGCCGTTCGAGGAGCTTGGTCGAAAGAGCGAACTCCGTCTGAAGCGTGACCCAGTTCGTTCACTCACCCCTGACTGGGTTGCGGAGTCTGATCGGCTGGGAAGGGGTTTTCCGGGTTGGGTCCTGGTGGTGGAATTATTCTCATTGAGGAGTGTGGACTGACTTTCACAGGGAGAACAATCGGCCGCTTCACTTCAAAACTCTTTAGCGGCCTGACCGGAGCATCGGAGACTATTCCACCTGTCGTAACGCTACGCTGAATATCTTCTGTCCTCCCTTGCCGAAGCTCATGCGACTCACACCGTATCCCTACTTCTTACCGTTGGCGGCAACATCTCTGGGAAGGACTCCTCGGGTCTGAGTGGTCGGAGGCTCGACAGAATCTGGGTTTTGTTCTCCTTGTGGGACCCCTCCATTTTGAGATTCGGGATTTTGCGAGGGATTGTTTTGCGGTCCAACCGGGGGCGGACTCACGGGACTCTGGTTCCCAGGGAAAGGTCCTTGACTCGCCGGGGGTCGCTCAAAACCCGGCGGGAGAGCCCCTTGGAAGCCGTTTTGCGAATTCGGCAGGAAGACGCCGTGCGGACCTAACGCATAGCCGCCCTGAGGACCTTGGGGGTATCCGGCTTGGAAACCCGGAGGGAACCCGCCCTGGGGGAAAATGCCACCCTGGGGGCTCTGCGCACCTTGGGGGAAAGGTCCTTGAGGATTTCTCGGGATTTGACCCTGTCCCTGGGGGTTCTGAAGCTGGTTTGGATACAGCTGCGCAGGGCCGTCGCCTTGCCCTGCAAATGTCCCCGGTGTTAGAAGCTGGCCGTCGAGTCCTTGGGGGAGTATTTGTCCGTTGGGCAAGAACTGATACGTCGGCGAGAAAAAGTTCCGATTGAGGGCCGAGTGTCCGTTCTGGAAGAATCCCGGCGATCCAGTCAGGGTTTGCGGGAAGCCTTGGATCCCTGCTGGGAACTGACCTGGGAGCTGTTCCGGATCTCTACTGGGGTTTGGCCGGTTGGTCTGATCGCTCGAGTTCTGAGCGCCGGACGGACCACCGTCTTGCTGCTCCTTCTCACCCCCACCTGCAACGGCCGGTGTTCCATCGGCCCCCGTATTATCGTTACCCGCATCAGATGGGTTCTGGGGGGTGGCGGCTCCATTGCTGTTATTATTGTTATCCGCCGGCGCCGCGGGTCGTCCTTGAGGGAATGGGTTTTGTTGAGGGATTTGTTGTTGAGGGAACTGATTCGGAGGGTATTGTCCCTGCAGGTAAGGGCCCTGAGGGAATTGACCCTGCGTGAAAAGACCTTGAGGCAATTGACCCTGCTGGCCCGGTCGGAGCGGGTTCTGCTGGAACCCCTGAGTGCCCGGAAATTGACCCGGCTGGCCTAGGACTTGCGCGGGCTGCACAGAACCTTGATTGTAGAAGGGATTCTGGTTTTGCGGAGAGTAGAGTCCTTGCGGGAAAACGTTCTGACCGGTTGGGTATTGTCCTATGAATGGCGAAAAAAACTTAGTCCAGCACTTTTGCACCGATGATAATGATCACTTCCTATTAGACACGAGAGGGGGATTTTACCGTAGATATTCCCCGGGAAAGGAGAGAACGACGGGCTCAAGCCGTACCCATCACCGAAGGCACCCTGAGGGCTTTGGAATCCAGACTGAAAAGAAGACGAGACCGGACACGTGAGTAATGATCTGTGAAAGCAGCCTTGAGATGCGGGTAAACGAGTCGTTCTTTCAAGCGACATCTATTCTTGCTCTGCCTCATTGCCATCATCGTACTCACATAGGGGAGACCGAATCCTTGATTGCTGTATGGGTATATTTTCTTATCCACCGATGTCGCTCTGGCTGTCACATTCGACTCTGTCGTCGCCGAAGTCAAATCTGAAGACTTCTTCGGAGAGATATCCGTTGTGGGAACTGTGGTTGGAGCGAGCGTCGTCGGCGCTCCCCACACACCGAAGGCACAGACCAATAGCACAAGTACCTGGAGGGCGGAGGAAATGAAAGAAATCAGAAACGGGGCATCTCGGACCTCTCGGAACTATCCTGGGTTCGCTGTGGATCTGGAGCGGACCCGTACCGCGGCGGTGTCAGCCACCACTAGAGAACCTACCACTCTCATGTCTCTGTAGAAAATGATCAGGGGCCGGTCGAGCACACCCAGAATATAGACGGCGGCAACGATTTTCGGCAGAGAAGGCGAAAACGTTCGTACTTCCCCGGAGGCGGCTTCTCGCCTGGCTAGTTCTCCGACAATTTCAAGAACGGCTTCCAAGAGCGGTCAAACCGCGTCATCGTGAGTCGCATTGTTTGTGAAAAGGCGGCACTATGCCGGAAAAGACCGCGCGCGAAAGCTCCCCCACGTGTTCCTAGAAACTGCTGGAAAAAAGAAACTCCCATTGAGCGTTAGTTTGTCACAATACCTCCGGTCTTTCCTTGTCATTCCGCGACGGACAAGCCGGCCGCACGGTGGGCTCACCCAAGCGCTATTCACTCACGGGCGGCTGCTCCTTTATCTCTTCCATTGCGATCGGAGAACAAATCTCTGATATCCAACGGGACGATAAGCATGAGAAAGCCTCAATGAATGGCACGACGGACGTGAATCACAACCCGAAATCGGAGTTCAGACATGTTCAGTTTCTCCGTCATCAGGCGGAGACTTCTCCTCTTCAACATGTTGACTCCCTCGCTTTCGATTCCGGCGTATATTCCGTTGACCACTTCTCCAAGTGCCGCCTAGACCTAGATCACTGAGCTGATCAATGCTGAAAGCACCTCAGTGGACAGAGAAATTTCTGTGCCTGAGACGTATTGTCGGCTCAGTGTTCCAAATTAACGAGAAAAGTCGCTTAGAACATTGTGGATTCCTGAAGCGTAGACTCCCGTCTCGGTCCGGGGACCTTTAACTCCCCAGAAGTGGGTAACACCGTCGAAGAACGGATCTCTCACGAGCGAGGATTTTCTGCTCCGTAGAAGACAAACGTTAATGAAATTTTCCAGACATTAAATTTGTGATAAATGACTCCCATTGCCTCATCGGAGCTTGATGCCCTCGTCTTTGAACTGTATGAATTCGAGCACAAGTATGCCATGACCATGAGAATTTCACCGATAATAATAACCAGTCATTATAGAAGCCGACCAGGATTCGAATGAAGTAGACTTCTGGACTCCGGACCACTCGAGGAGGATTTTCGTCACTCGTCGCATCCCCGCCAGGTCGTCAATGGTAACCATGACTCGTACCTATTCTCCGTTCCCAGCAGCATTCCTCCTCCGACTGTTCGAATGAGCGGATTCGCTCTCATCCATTCCTCTCACGCGGAATATTCTTGTTTTCGAGCTTACTATACATGACCTGTGCAATGGAAGCATCGATTCCCACCCATTTCTCTCCAAGAAGATGCCGGAGACTGCATTTTGGGACGCTTATTTTCTTCGGAGCTTGATTTGCGAAACATCGCCGAGAACACCTACAGCGCCGAGAGTCTCCCTCGACGATGCTGCTTGGGATATCTCCATACGGAAAAAACATCATCGTCCTTGTGGGTATCTCTGCCGTGGCTCGATGGGCTCCGCTGAACATCTACCCACCTCTGATGAATATCATAGTGTTCAAAAATGTTCGCTCATCCTGATTCGCTCCACAGGGCTCCGAGTCGCCCTGAACTGCGATGACGGCGATGAGAGTATTCTTAATCATCTCTGTCGCTCGTCAGTGGCTTTCACCTCGAAGATTCCTTCGGAGCATGAAATCAGCGCTGCGGCTTTCGCTTCGGGCTGCGACCGGTCGCTGTTTGTCATCAATGCAACAGGTATTTGTGGAACACAGTACGGGCGCTTGCTGCTCGGTCATAGAAGCCCTTCTCTTCTCCGTCCGGAGACGCAGGTCAACGCAGTATTACAGACGAGATTGAAGCGTGCTGGAAGCATTCGTGCATCTCCAATTAAGAAATGACTCGAAGTCATCGATACGTGGGGGGATACTCCCAATCAGAGCCGTAGAACGATTGAAGAACTGATCGGAACCAATGCCGGAGCCCGCCAGAACCTGAATTTCCCCTTACGTCATCGATCAGATCGCAGCTCTGAGAGCTCGATGGACGAACGAGAATTCCACGCCCCGACCGCAGCTCGAGCGGAAAATCAACTTTCGAAAAATTCGTGCATCTGATAAGTCATGGAATAACACATCAGGAATCACGCGACGAGCCGAGACGTTTCGTCTCTCAACAAGATTCGGATATTCATGCGGAGCGTCGGCTCAGGACTCAGGAGGTAGCAGATTCCCAAGCGGGGCAGACAGACCTGCTGAGGTTCCTGCGCAGGCCCTCAGTTACCCATCTTCCTGTTCTGAGAATGCCAGACGACAGCCCATCAATTTCGGGCTTGGTCGTTGATATTACGAGAGCTTTTTCCGCTGGTAAGATGAGATTTCTTGGTCAAGACACGTCTCCTGGCGTTCATGTTCCCGTTCGGAGTCTCGCCTCATCGATACCTCCGGAGAATCAAAACAAACTTGCAGGAGCCTCCGCTCATCTCATTCGATCTGGGAGTCACTCTGATACTTGATTTTCCTGTTTAATCATTCTTCCCGAGATCCCACCTCCAGTCACAGCACACTTTTGTGAGAACAGTTCCAGCCTTGGTGACCGCGACCGATGAAACTCCAGTTAGTCCATACGACATCCGTCAAGAAGACGCCGAAGTTTCTTGAAGAGAGTTTTTAAGGCTCCTTTCCAGCTGATGTTTGATACGGATTCGGCCCCCGCTGTCGAGCTAGGCCGTGTTCACTAAAGAACTCTTGGGTTTTCTACGATTCATCCCATCGGTGAAAAGAAGAGGAATTATACACAAATGTTTCGTTGACGAAAAATACAATCTGGAAACATGCTTGATACGATGGCGGGTCTGCTTCGTGCTTATGTCCCTGGCTCGTCGGTCATCCTAGCTGCATCGGTAGTATATCCACCCGCGGGCTCAATTTCCGGATCCCTCAGGATTCAGGATACGAGAGCGAGCTTTGCCTCGCTCATAGACTCTCCTGTAGTATTCAAAGGGATCCCGAAAGCCCGAGAGTCTCTGAAGAGTTGTTCTACGGCTACATCAAGTCTAGTGCAAATGAGAGGTACTGGAAAACGGCCTGCTGCCGGCGGGATATTCCTCAAGGCATTCCCTCGCGGAAGGGCAAGTACCCGGTCTTGGACGTCCCGGGTGCTTTCGCTCTCTGCATCCGTTCTCGGCAGCGATGTGACAAACGATAACCGAGACGGTGTGCCTTAGGTGTGTGGTCCAGGGCGGAAAAGTTTTCTTTCAGATGGATACTGGTATGAAGTTCTCATTTATTTGGCAATCGGCAATTGCGCCGGTCGTGGGTCACAGATCCGTCCAATTCCCTGTAGTTCCACACCTGTCGCCGAGTCATAAATATGTACATGAAACGTTTTGATCACAGACTATTTGGAGTACGGGAACCCTAACCGACAACGGTTTGTGCTTTCTCTCCTTGAGCGAACGATAATTGGGATCCCTGGGATGCGGACGATTGTGCGCCGCTTCCTACGGCATGTCCTGAACTACTCTCGGATCCAAAAGATTCTTTGGTACCGAATGATTCTTTGTTTCCGAACGTCTTGGTGGCCGAGCCCCCGTGATTGTATCCGTAGGCTGAATCTGCCTTAGCGGCTCCGGACGCTTGTTGTCCTTGAGCGAATCTGGAAAGACGATCAGACCCCTTTGAGAAGAAGGCTCAATCAGTCGATACATTGTTTTTTTCGCCGGTCAAAGGAAGGCACACAAGGACAGAAAACTAAATTACCCTTCTTTATACGAAGATCCTCCAACGAGACCGACAGGAGCGATTCCCCCGCCGACCACGGGAGCAACGGGCACGCCTCCTCCTACGACGCCGACCGGAGCAACACCTCCTCCCACAACGCCGACCGGAGCCACCCCTCCTCCTACGACGCCTCCGCCGACTGCACCGGAGCTGACCGAACCTCCTTCGACGTAAGAAGCTCCGACACCGGTGGCGCCAAGACCGCCACCGACAGCGCCCACACCGCCACCGACAGCCCCAACGCCTCCGACGGGAGCTACGACGCCTCCAACAGGAAGCACGCCTCCCCCGACGGCTCCACCGACGGGAACGACACCCCCACCGACGGCTCCACCCACCGGTACGATCCCTCCGCCGACGGGACCCACGACGGGACCGACTCCCCCGCCGATTATTCCGGAGACGGGTGCGATTCCGGCGGAACTGCTAGCCACGTTGCTCCCGGAAGAGTGGCCCGCATTGTTGAATCCAGATGCATGACTCTGTTGTCCTGCACCAACGGCGTGAGACGCAGCTGCTTCTTTGCCGAAAGCTTCCTTGTTTCCCCATGATTCCTTATTGCCGAAGCCGGTGCTCGAAGAGTGTCCTTGATTGTAATTGTAAGCTCCCTGGCCAGCGAATTGTCCGGCGGCTCCAGCTCCTTGGCTGAATCCCGAGCTTCCGTAGCCTCCGCCGTGGCCTCCGCCGTGGCCTCCGCCGTAGCCACCACCGTAGCCGCCTCCGTAACCTCCTCCTGAGACCGGCAGTACACCTACTCCGCCGTATCCGGTACCGTAACCGGCACCGTATCCGATGCCACCGGGAACTCCGACTCCATATCCTCCTCCGTGGCTCTGTTGACCGACCTGGTGGGCTCCGGCCTGTTGGCCCTGCTTGAATGCACCGGCCTGATTATTGAAGCCTGCTCCCTGGTTGTACGAATTCGAATTCGAGAAACCGAAGCTCTCTTTGTTGCCGAATTGTTCTTTGTTGCCGAACTCTTTGGCTCCAGAGGCCCCGTGGTTGTACTTGTAGGCACCTTGACCTTGTTGACCTGCGGACTAACCGAGCGAAAGGTTCAGATTCGAGAAGCGCACGAAGAATTGTCCGAGTTGTGGAAAAAACGAAATGACGTTTGCGAACTCACAGCTTGTTGGCCTTGGTTGAAATGTTGGGCGGCGAATTGATCGTATGAGGGGAAACCACCACCGAATCCACCTCCGAAACCTCCAGGGAAAATCCCTCTCTCCTCAACACCGGTTTTGTTGCCGTCTTTGTCCCCGTTCTCAGAGAGTTCCGTGGTCGGAGACTCGGTAGTCTCTTCGACCGGAGCGGTGAACGCAGTCGATGCCACGAGGGCGAGAATCACGAACTGTAGAACGTCGAACTCTATCATTTCACTTGCTCAGATTATCATCATCACTCCAATAATTCAGGAGAGTCGCTCCGAGTGCTTAGGGATGGAGTTCCCCGAAGTCTTTTTCTCCCCTACCTTGTTCATTTTGACTGCTGTGCCGGTCTCGAAACATTCTCTCTTCTTATACCCTTCTGTTTCATTCGTGGAGAAACCCTCGCCTGTTTGACGGTTTATGACGTCACAACTGTCCAGTAACGCTGCTGGTGGACTACCGAAAAACCGTCAGCAAAGTCGAGAAGAGAGAGCTCGGAACGCAGAATCTTCTCTTGCCCTTCGTATGCCTTCTCGACTGGTCAACACAGAAACTTGACACGGCGTCATTGGAAGACCGACTCTCGATGACGAACGAGTAGCTAGGGATGCTGAAACCCGACCCGACGCAGATTACCCACCTGCGTGTGAGCTAGGGGGAACACTACTGACATCGCCTTAGTTGTCCTCTTTTCCAGCGAAGAGCCGAATAGGGAACCGGATTGCTCCCAGGAATTATAAAGGGTTCTGAAGTCGGTGTTCGCTGTTACTCAGATTCTGGGGCAAACCCCTTACGCCATACACGGAGACAAGCGGAGGGAATCCACGCGCTTCTCTCGACCCTGAATTTCTGTTGTCTGGAACACCCCAGTTACACTGTACGTAGCCTGGTGATCCTCGGGATTTTTCAGAAGTGAGCGGTGAAAGGCCAGCTTTCAGTGGACGCTCCAATAGGCATCCACAGAATTCAGGGCGGATTTAGTAATCGGAAAGACCGATATAGGGTTGTTGGCATACAGAAAATCTTAGTGGGTGGGACGGAGACGGGGGATTCCCCGTACCTTGAGTTTTCTTCCGGTCGATCCGATCTGTGGAATCAGGGAACTCTCTGATTCGATCACTATGAGGCCGCGTCAATGGCTGCTCTCTAGAAATGCACCTCAAGTTATTTGGTTGTTCACTATCGCACTGCAACATTGAAGGTTGCTTTCTGAAGTTTCCCCTCGTTTGGTACAGGAGTGACTTCTGACCGGCGGTACCGGAGACGTTTTCTTGAGCACGAGACATCTTCTGGGACTCTTCGGTTTTCAACGAGACGGCTCCATTGATGATCGTGTTTTCGGTCATCTCGCTAGCGAAAACAGAAGGAGACTCGGACCTCTGAATCGACGCGCCCCGCTTTGAATATCAAGAGCTCAGTTCAAGAGCCAGATCACGCATTCAGAATCGCTGCAGAAACTATGAACCAATGAGAAACATTTACGCGGTCCCGATATCGGAGTTCACCGGAAGCCGAGCCGAAAACGGCCGCAGAATCAGACCCAATGAAATCTCAAAGGTCATTCCGATGGTTACGGATGCGTGAATGCCAAGGTTGCTTGACCTCGGCAACCTACCGGATTCATTCTTCCGAAACGCATTCACCGCGTCTCTCAGCGGACGTTGAGCCGCGGAAGTATGTTGTCGGGCGCTCCGAGTGACTTTCTCGACCTGAAAACATTTCCATGCGGTATCACTGCGCAGTCTTTCCTTAGGTGTGCGGTGATGGATAACTTGACCGAAGTTTAGTTCCTCAATAAGCACGCAGTACGCTGGCATCATGCGCATGGAGGCGAGCGCGTTTTTTTTTCGCAAGGGCGCAGCGGAAAGTCAATTTCCTCGAGCTCGGCTCGCGTATTGTGACTCTCCGCATTATCGTACGGATGCGAAGGATACGATAAATATCAACAGAACGAGATTTCGAAAGCGAGCCGAACATCTCACTGAGGAAGTCTCATCACTCATTACTCATCGTCAGAGAGGGAATTGTGAGCTCTGAACATGATGGTCCGCGGGAGCCTAGCAGCGCCAAGTCTCGCTCGAATCTCGCTTGAAGCTTCATCTCCCCAAGGGAGAATATTTGTCGCGATAGAATTGATACACTGAATGAGAAGGGTCTCAACGTTTTATTTTTTCTCGACAAAAGGGAGATCCCATACTTTGATACTCCGTGGCCCGTGGGAGTCTACGCTCCTGATCAGCATGACAGGAATCATCCTCATGCGTTATCACCACTCTGATAATTTTCGTCCGCGTCCGGACTGCCGCTCATTGTGCGAGTCGCCCACATTTCAGCGACCTAGAAATCGATATTTCAGTGTATGAGTCTCGGACCTCGAATCGGTCGATCGCCGCTCCACGGATGAATTCCTCATCTCAAGGTCTGTCTTACCGTAACCGCCGCCGTAGCCACCGCCGTAACCTCCCCCATAGCCACCACCGTAGCCTCCTCCATGACCTCCGCCGTAGCCACCTCCGTAACCTCCACCAGTGCCGCCACCGTAGCCCCCTCCGAATCCGCCGCCATTGCCTCCTCCATAGCCTCCACCGTAACCCCCGCCATGACCATACCTACGGAAGTGAGGAGTCAGAGCTTTCAGAGGAAAGAATATTGACGTCGATCAACGAGATCGAATGCGTCCATTTACCCCGATTGCTTGTAGCCTCCAGCTGATAGGCCGAAATTGAGATTCACGCTACCCCCAGCTGCCTTGTAACTGCGAGAAAAAAGTATTCGATCAGTTATCGAAAAACGTTAATTTTAACGAATCCATTCGGTGAGTCCGCAGTTATGTTCTCATCGAGATGCTCCCGGAGCAAGCTGAGGATTCTCACCCAGAGCCTCCGCGGAGGAGATTCAGGAGAATTCCTCGCTCTTCAGTACCGTTCCCAGCCGTCGGAGTTCCATCGTTCAGTGATTGGAACTGGGGCTCGATCGATGTCTCTTCCTTCTGAGGAACGGAATCCTCGGATCTCACCTTTGGAGTCAGCAAGACCACAGCCGCACAAAGCACCTTCAATGGAATGAATCGGTAGTGTAGAAGCTCAAGATGAAGTGACGGACTCGAAGGTTCAAATGCTGAACTCTCCAAGAGGAGCTCGCGAACACCAAGCAAGAAACCAGTCGGATCCATGGGATACATGTTTCTTCCGTTACGGCATCTCGCTCGGAATCTATCTTTGCCGTGAGCGGAAAACGAGAACGGTCCGGGATCGTAGTATACGTGGAGGATATCGTGGTGATCCCGCCGAGTGGGGCAAAGAATCCAAGCCTGCTGACTGGATCGCTAGGATCGGCCTCAACTCGACCGATTGAGAGCTTATCCTTCAACGAGTATCGGGTGAATCGGGAATCCTCAGCCAAATGCTACACCAACCTGAATTGCTCTCATCACGCTGGAAGGTGCACGCTGGAAAGTTCACGCTGGAAGATCATGCGCACGAAGTTTTAAACGACTCTTTCTAGCGTACCCTTTCTCTCTTTGTTGCTCCATTACAATCAGGCTCAGAAGCTCGACGAGAGATTGACATTCATGGATTCCGGGTCTGGCGGATAAATTCCTGATACAGCAATGAGGACATCGAAATCGATCGAGAGGGCAGCCGAAGTTCAATTCTACTGGGAACTCCCAGCTTTATTACAGCTTTAGGTGAATTACAAAAATAACTCATACATATATATCTCGGAGATCGCTCTCCTCATTTAGTATACAATGTTTACATACTCTCTCGAATTCTTTCACCAGCCGCCGCCTCCGCTATAACCTCCTTGACTGTATCCGCCTTGCTGGTAATTGCCACCGTAGGAATCGTGGCCCGAGCCTTGATTGTGGGACGATCCAGAAACTGCCCCGTAGGTCTCCCGGGTTCCATATGTTTCTTTCGTCCCGTATACTTTGTGGAAATCTTGACCCCCGGAATGTTGGTATCCGCCACCTCCTCCGTAGTTTCCTTGTGCATAGGTGCCCGAACTGTGGCCGCCACCGTATCCCCCACCGCCGTAACCTCCGCCATAGCCACCTCCATACCCGCCGCCATATCCCCCTCCGTGACCGCCTCCATATCCCCCTCCGTAACCGCCTCCATATCCCCCTCCGTGATGCCCCCCGTATCCCTTGCCGTAGCCTCCGCCGTACCCTGGAAGAACGAGAATAATAATTCTTAGGAATATTCTCAGGGGTGCACCTTCCGAGAGCATGTATCCCGTGAACCTCTCTCACAGCACTGGGAGCAATCGTCTCTCTTCGAGAACTCACCGTGGCCGCCGTATCTGGAATACAAAATACCATTTAAATCCGAGTCTCGTTCCGTGGAGGGGAAACGATTGAAAGATTATTCCACCTCTTAGATAAGGAGCGGGAAAGATCGAGTTCGAGATCTGTTACTCACCCGCCGTGTTTGTAGCCGCCGGCCGAAATCCCGATGTTCAAGCTGATTCCTCCACCCTCACTTTTGTACCTTGGGGAAGGACACGATGAGGAAAATTTCGTGCCGTGGATAGAGAGGTATATCTTGGATCCGATCCCTCGAACGATATCCTGAATGAACTCACCCGTGACCTTTGTGGGCGCCTTTCAAGAGCTTGAGCAGGAGTCCTCGTTCTTCAGTCCCATTGGCCGTCCCATTGCCAGCGTCGAGCGCACCGAAGTCCGTTCCGTTCCGGCTCTCGAATGAGCCGATTACTGTACCATTCTTCGACTGATCTTCGGCTGTTTCATCGGGGAAGACGATCTGACCATCGGAGCTCGATGACCTCGAGAGGAGCGCCAAAAGGCACACATAGGACTATGGGAACATGGCGAGCATTAGAGGAATGTCACATTATGCGCGAACAATCTTCGCGACTCGAGGAAGCGGAGAGCGGCATTCTTATCGGCGACAACTCCACGCCCAAGGTCAACATTCGAGACCCAATCTGTCGTGTCGAGGAACAGCGAGTTTCTTCATGATCAACACGATCGGGGCACTCTCGGAACGATCCGCAAAGCCCCGCGAGAATAGGAGGAGAGCACACGTTCGACGTAGCCGAGATAATCCTTAGCCCGTTGCCGACACTCATGCCCGAGTCATACGCCGGGCATTGTCGAGATTCACAAGCTCGAAAAAAACAGCACATTTCCTTACCACCAGTGGCGTTTTCATTTTGAGCCTTCAGTGATGTAGGTGATGCGCTTTCTACAAGTTTATATAGTGGCTGCATTCATTCCCTCTCCAAAGTGACGTTCGCTGCCGTCTTCAAGGAGACGCCGAGAGAAATGAAGACATCTCCACAAACGTCGTAGAATCGAGGCACTATTCGCAAGTACCTACTTCAATTATTATACTTCCGATGATGAGGAGATCGGAGTCGTTTTATTTTCTGAGACTTTCTCGGAGAACTGTTTTCGGGAAACCCTGCCTCGGGAGCGGGGATATCTCCGCGGAACAACGAGTGTCCGACACAGCGACAAGTCTACTGGGCCGCCATGGTCAGTTTCATTCTACTTTATACCGGGTATCCAAGAGGATTATCTCATCAAGCCCATCTCAAGCTTAGGAATGTAGGAATCTGAGGAATCCAGCGCTAAGTATTCGGTGGTGACGACCGAGTCTGGAAAAGCTCTAGGTACAGAAATAGGAAAACAAGTCTTGGGGAGATCGCCCGGCCGTTTGCCATGAACCCAGTCATTTTGACACGAGGCGTGCGATCATTTTCTGTGGTTTCAGAAATTTTGCATCGTCGGTGAATGTTCACCCGACTTTCAGGTCTCTCTCGTCTTCGATCGTTCCTCTCTTCTCCCCAACAATGAACATTTCTTGCGAAGCATCTCCGACATGACAAGTGTCCGCAAACGGAGCAACTGCGGTGAACAACCCCGGGCGAGGATGCCCGCGACATTGTGGGACGAAATTCTATTCAGAGCGTGATTCAGCGATCAAGTCTGGTCTCCGGACAGGGCACAGAGATGTTTTGAGCTCCCAGTGAAAGCACGACTTCGGAAACGGTTCAATGACGGAAGGCGGCATCCCCCAGTTTGAAGGGTAAAATGAGAGAATCCCGGACACTGTGCATCCGAAACCTTGTAAACGATCGATCCGATTAATCCGATTCATAAGGCCGAGGGAAAGCCCCTCCCTGTCCTCGAATCGGGTGTAGCGGAAGCAAGAAATACTCGAAATCGGAAGAAGTCTAGCGTCTTTACTTATTCTGTGAAGTGAATTGCTGCATCTGAGAAAATCCCCGGACCAAGCCTGCTGTCTCAACCAGATCTGCACAGAATTTAACAAATGTACGCGGAAAGAAACATTTGACCTTCGTGCTTCATCCGCGGGAAAAACCACAAAGTCGGCGAGACTCAATCTGATGACGGAATGTCCGAATGCATAACAGAGATCCTTCGTTAGGGTCGGGATTCCCCATGCATGCAGTATCTGAGTTTCGGCTTGCTCGAAGAACAACCGACACTTCTTCGAGTCTGCACGGAACTTTGAGGCCGAGCTTGTGAACGATTGTAAATCCTACGGGGAGATGTATGTGAGCAGATCACCGATGAATGCTGCGAGGAAATTTATATCAGAATGGAGCCCTACCAAATGATGCGATGCGACACCCGCAGAATCGATGGCCGACCAAAGAGCCGTGAGTCCAAACGATCGAAGTCAGTCATTCATAGTATAGTCCCCGGTTACGGACGACGGCCATGTAGTTCTCGTACGACATCGCAGTAGTTAGTGGATGACGCGGTGGGCCGGAACCTGGAAATTCTCAAGACGAATTCCAGTCTAGATAACGGTACATCTGGACTCTTGACAGAAACGCTTTTTCCTTGCCTCGGAATTCGATGCTCCAGAATTTTCTTGACCCACCTTGTTGTCTGAGTGAAGAGTTCGAGACGCATAGCATCAGAAGGGGGACTATGGTCAGAACAAGCAAGATATTCCGTACCTGGGGTTCGAGGACTTTCGAGGATTAGCAGGAGAATCCAGCCGAGGCTTCACCTCGGCTCCCGTGATGAGAGAAAGAACGATATCGCGCATATTCGTGGACAAACTCACAGCTTTGCCTATTCGGAGAAGCATTGCGTATAACGTTCCGCGCCAGACTTCTCGAGATGATCATCTTTAATGGAGTAGATAGTCTAGCGTTACTGGATCAAAACATGCCGTCTCTCTCATTGGCAAGGTCCTTTTAACTAATAACAATGGTTTCCCGAGCAATACTGGAGAAGCTGAAGATGGGACTCGTGGACTTCAGCAACAACTTCTCTCGTTTTCGCTGCCTCTACTCCGATCCATAGTCCTGGAGAATATCATAATGGATTCGGAAAAGCATCGTCTGATTCTACGCGGATCCTCCGAGTATGATTTCATGTTCCGGATATTTTCGAGGAGCTGGTCAAGCCGGGGTGGGAGAGGGCGAGGGCGCACATAGATTTTTCGCGGAGCAAGAACCAGGAAACCAGGGACTCATGATTCTTGCATGCGTCAAAGCTCGCAGCAGACTTCGGATTCAAGGGATTTCCGTTCTACACCATGAACATATATAGCTAGGATGCCCCATCAGATCAGATGGCAGCGTTCTTCAAGATTGCTCGAAGATTCCACCGGTGAAAGCCCATATTTCGTCCCCACCTTTCGTCTAGTGTCGCCTATACGACTCATTCTCGGTGCGGCTGGGTAAGAGCGGGTCGAGGGTGCTCATGAAGCCCAACCTCCGTAATTCGTATGGGGAGGTTCTGGAGGCTCTGTCGACGCCTACAGGGACAGAATCTGAATCTGGATGCTGTACCTGAGCGAAACACGACGACCATTTTCTTCTTCAATAACAAGAGCTTCACAGAGAGAGATTCCTCACAGAACCTGCAGTGTACGGAGACGGAGTTCCAGATTTTCTGCGGCCGCTCCATCTAGCGGTGGTTCTTTGCGAGAGGTGGAGAGCGAAGTTTTTCTGACAGAGACTCTCGAGGGAGTCTTACTGGAGACATGAGGGCATTCCTACAGATATGAACTGTACAGATATGAACCACCGAAGTCATTTCCTCTATCGAGCGATTCAGAGCGGCTCCCTCAGAAATGATCGCTCATGAATATGTAATCATGTAGCTGCCCTGAGTGGATATTTGGGGTACCCCGTACGATGAAGGGGGGCGATTGATGTCGATTACAAAATCTGATCGATCCCCGAGAGTCTATTAGAGATGTCGAGTCGAATACTGCCTATAACGGCATTCTAGTCGTTTTCGCGTCGTTCGGAATCACAATACTTGATGATATGCCACTCAAGCATAGATAGGAGTTCGGAGTCCGATAGTCCGACAATCAGGGAACTATGCACATTTTCGAGGTGTCGTGCCAGACCGCTTCGTCGTAGTTTGATATCTGTAAGTGCAGAGTGAGGATTGGATCCCCTCAACCCCATCATGCTTCTACCAGCGAGTTCCGATGCTTGTAATCTTCTTCCGCGCGCGCGAGAGCACACCCGATGGTCGATGCGGCTGCCGCTACGCCTGCTCGACCAGACGATTTGCTGTATCTAGTCAGGAAGGAAACAAACCTAGAGAAATCCGGTGAGATCATGGCATCGCGTGCTTTAGCGATTGGTTTCGCGAAATTCGCTCTTCGAAGGGTACAGAGCGTGCCTTCCCATAGGTAAGTGGGAAGTATGAGCTCTAATTGACCTCGGCCGCACATCAAGTACGGGTCGGAATGTCCTTTCGACGATCTAGAACAAGAAACCAGGTTCGCGCATCGCGTCGACAAGTTCGGGCTTCCGAGCTCTTCGGTCAAGAAGTGGTTTCCGCACATCGTTTGCTAATCAGGCTTCAATGTCTCACAAGCGCCCCCGGATGACCTATTTAGGCAGCTCACCTGAAACGAGCTTCCGGAATGCTGCACCTCGTTCGGAGTGTTCGACGGAACAGTTGGCTAATGGTGAACTCAATGCTTCCCACAGATGTATGTCAGCAATACCCCAGCCGGCGCCGGACAACTCGAACAAACAGTATCCAGAGAAGATTTCCAATATTGTCTCAGAAATCTCGAAACTAACACTCATCGAAGTTGCCGATCTCAATGAATTGCTGAAGAGGACACTGAACATTCAAGTGAGCCCTGACATGATTCCTCGTATGCATGCCCAGAAATGAGGGAAATTCTCATATTCCGCTGACTTCCCCAATGAAATTTTCCAGGAAGCAGCGGTTGTTGCTGCAGCCGCCCCGGCCGCCAGCGCCCCAGTCGAAGAGGAAGATGAACCGCAAGTTCAGAAAATTCAGACTTCATTCGCGGTGAAACTGACGAAGTTCGACGAGACTAAGAAAATCAATCTCATCAAAGAATTGAAAAATCTTATGGAAGGGACGAATCTCGTACAAGTAAGTATGCTCGAGATTCAGCAAGGGTGTTGTGTTCTCGGCGGCGTTCGCGCGTATGCAAACACTCACATTGATCTAAAATCGACAGGCGAAGAAATTCGTTGAAGGAGCACCCCAAATCATCAAGGCTGATCTAACGAGGGAAGAGGCAGAGGCGTTGCAGAAGTCCGTCGAAGCTGCCGGTGGGACTTGTGAGATAGTGTAGGCAGAACGGAATCATCATTATCGATTGTAGGCTTCAATAAACTTTTCTCACCAAAATATCCACGGAACCCCTGAGTCATTATGAGCGCATTACTAGGAAAGTCCATGGAAGACTGGAGTCCATTGCATTTCCGCCAGCAGGATGGATCGAAGTACATATATGTCTGAAGGATGAGAAAATCATGCGTTTGAATGGAGGGGGCTCGCATCATGTCTTTCCGCGGCCATCGTCGGGGCTGGGATCACATATTCTACCTTTCTATTACCTATTCTCTATCCGCCGATGAGATGACCGAATCATGGCCCCTTGGACGTTTCGGGGGAATTCCAGCTCCAGGTTGCTAATCAAAGCCCTGGGTTCCCTCATCTTCCGCGCGAGGGGACCATGCCGCATGGTATCGACCGACCGGCGGGTGGCTTTCTACACTCTCAAAACAAACACACGTGTTTCGGCTATCAAGCACAACCGGACTTTCGAACATCTCCTGAATCCTGAGGAAAGAGATTGGGGAAACTGTTGCATATCTCAGGAGCTCAAGTGAACGGTGTTGTGAGGTCTTGTTTCGAGGGTTCAGCGCGGACACCAAGGTGAGACGAGAGCATGAAGAGGGAGCAACTCCGCGCTCCCGGCCTCAAGATCACTCCTGACGGAACTACAAAATAGTCTCCCTCGTCGTGAGCGCTATGAGGCCAGAAAAGTTGTTCGAGGCTCGAGTCCGGAGTCATTGTCGAGAAGCGATTAGGAAAGAGAATTGAAACCGTTTTCTGAGATCCTGACGGCTGGCGATGCCGGGGAAATCGAGAATCTCTGTAGAGATGGAGCCGAGTCTATCTGACAAGATATTCGTTTATGTGAAATCCAAAAGATGTAGCCTCGTCCTGCCCATACGGCTCATCAACGAGAGTTCTCCTGGTTTGTCGACGATCGCGAGTCAGAAGCAAAGGAGGTTTCCAGGACGAAAGTAACTCCCGATACATATTTCGCAGATCATCTCTAGATAATGGGCATTTCATACAAACGAAAACGCGAGTATGATGAAGAAGTGGACTTTGGGGTCTCGTCTGCTTCAGAAGATGAGGCTTCTAAATTTGAGAGGACGAGGTCCACTTTCAAGAAACAGGGCGAAGCTAAGAAAAAGAAGAAATTACTCCTCCCGATCAAGCAGAAAGGAAAAATAGTTCAAAAGGTGGGTCTGGGTCCTCGGCACGATACTTTGCCATCCACGATGTACCTTCGAATGCCCGGTGAACACAATAACCTCGTGACGCTTCATTAATTCCAAACTCCCCTTGAAGGAATTGGATGTTTCGACCGTAGAGCCGACCAAAGAAGAAGAGGGATATGAGTCAGAAGAAGAATCTGAGGATGAGGAAGGGTTGGCAATGGCGAAAGTTTTCGACGAGTTCGCCGACTCCGAGGACGACTCCGAATTCGTAGGGAGACTTCAAGACGAAGACGAAGAAGACGACGATGAGAGGAGCGAAGCGGAAAAGCTAGCAGAACGGAAAGCGAAAGTGGACCAATACATTTTGAAAATCGGTGAGTGAGGCGACCATACATAAGGCTCCGGTAGAAACCCAAACTCTTCGCTGCCTGTGGCTGACGACTTGACTTCCAGGGAACACCTGCGCTGATATCGTTGAGAATCCTGAAGTACATTACAAACGACTCAATGAGTTGCTACAGATGACGAAGATGGCGGGCGGCGCTGGATTCGCTATAAAGAAAATCGCGATTTTGTCGCTATCCGAAGTCTTCGCGGACATATTGCCGGACTATAAGATCAAAGACGACGCGAAACCTGCAGCCGACGGTCCGAAACTCAAGAAAGAGACCCGGCAGCTCATGGCTTACGAGAGAACACTTTTGAAACTGTGCGTAACATCCTCTCTAGTGCATTCGCATCGTTCCCTCATCCCGGTCGCGTACAATGATTGTCTTTCGCAGATATAAACGCTTTCTGCTGGTATGTGAAGATTTCGTGCAGCTGCAATATCGGGCACTAAGGAAACAGCGTCAGAAGCGCAACGGTCGGAAGGACTCCAAGAAAAAGGCGAAAGAATCCCGATTCAAGCTTCCTCCGCATCTCCTACAATTATCCAAAGCTGCGATTCAAGCAATTTGTCGAGTATTCGTTGCGAGACCCTACTTCAACTATAGGGAGCAGGTTTCGACACTGGTGGTGAACAACCTCGTGAATCGAGACGTCGAGATCTCCGATATTTGCTACAATTGCTTGAAGCAGATCTACAAGGAAGACCGATACGGTGGGTGTTTATATCTGTCATTTCTACGGAATGTGACGGAGAGATGATATCTACGAGAGATCAACTCGAGATTTTTCCCTACTGAAGCTCGTACATGTTCCAGGTGAAACGGTTTTCGAATGCGTGAAGAGAACGAAACTCCTCGTCAAATCTTACACGGCAAAATTGCCGCCCAAAGTTTTGTATTCGCTCTTGAATCTCCGCATCAATAAAGCCCAATCGGCGGAGCAGCAGGCTGTGGATCTGAAGAAGGTTCGGGAGAAGATAAAGAAAATGTCTCGTCAAGAACGTCGCAGGCATAAGGACATGCAGAAGCTTGAGAAACAGCTCCTGGAAGCTCGGGCCGAAGACAGCGAGGAGCGTACGAGCAAAGTCCACACGGAGATCCTCAAACAGTTGATGAACATCTACTTTTGGATTCTCAAGAGGGATGAGAAACCCACCCAGCTGCTCACTCCCTTACTCGAAGGGCTCTCCAAGTACGCGCATTTGGTGAACATAGAATTTTTCGACGATCTTCTCAATGTCCTCTACAATCTCATCGACCAGGAGGAGCTCAACGAGAGTCAGACCTGCCACTGTCTGCTGACAGTTTTCAAAATTCTTGGCGGTCAGGGGCAGGTGCTGAATGTCGATCCGACGAGATACTATACATTGATGTATTCGACGTTGTTAAGTCTCAATAATTGTGTGAGCCACGACTTCACCCCAACGATCCTCCAATGCCTCGACTTGACGTTGCTCAAGAAAAAAGACGCAAGCCAACAACGGCTCCTAGCTTTCACGAAGAGACTGCTCACCACCGCTCTACAGGTATACGTGGGCGATCGAAACCCGATCGAGAGTCGATTCATAGCTGAATCGGAAGTGAGTGTTGACGTTTCCTTTGATTCCCCTCAGACGAATGACGCGAGTACTTTGGCTCTGTTGTCTATGGCCAGGAGCCTCTTCACCTCGCACAAGCAGCTTGACATATTGTTGGATAACGAGGTGGGCTCCGGTCATTTCAACCCAGAACTCCAGGACCCTGAGCATTGCAACGCGGCAAGCGCAACTGCTTGGGAAACCACCTTGCTGACGAAGCATTACGTCCCGATGGTGCGACGTTTCGCGGCTCTCATCGCCGACGGAAGCCGCGGACTCCCAGGTTGCCCCCATGCTTCTTTATCTATCTCGCTCCTTTTTACAGCTATCGTTTCTCACAGCCAGAACTAAAAGAAAAACTCCATTCCAGACAAGTTCGTTTTGAACTTGAGTAAGGCTACGCCAGCTCAAGTCTATGGAGCGTTTTCGAAAAGAGATGCTGCGGACGTGGCCGACGAAGCAGACAAAGGCAGACGGTCGATTTCTTCAAAACCCATCCTATGGCAGGGTGAATCTATTGCGGTGAAGGCTGAAGGAATTTTCAGCTTCCTCCAGGATGATATCGATCTGTGGAACTAGGAATCCCACAGGATGTGCATCGAAGATTGTGTTAAACATTTGTACATTAGAAAATGCACAAGGTACCTCCGCAAGGATTGCAGCGGAGAATAAATATAATACATCTCAATCGTTTGGAGCGTCCGAGTTGCTTGGGGATTCGTTCGCTCCAGACCCTTGACTCCGAGCTCGATCACTTTGTTTTTATTCGAGCCGTGATTTGCTCGTCAAAAGTCTCCGCAGGGACGTCTACTCTCGCAGTTCCGTATCAGCCGCATCCATCGGCTCACAGAATGCTCGAGCTTGAGCTCCAGAACATCGGAGGCGACCAGTTCATAAGCGCAATGATTTGGAGCTCCTCACGCGGCGCCGGCGCCGTGAGCTTGGCCCGACTCCTCTCCTAGAGCCCCTAATAATGATCTGATCTGCATGGCCACAAAGTTTTTTCGAAGATCCGCCATTGAGCCCTTGTAACGAAGGACTCGCTGAAGGATCGTTAGCGACTGGGAATACTAGCATCCTCCATGGGTGAGACCGCGAGTGCAGCACAGCTGTTGTGACACAGGTGACTGACGGTAGATGCCATCGCCGGGAAGCCCGGGTGAATTCAACCACGCTCGACGACCGAGGAAAACCTATAACTTTCCGAAATGAAGCAGTGCTCATTCCGAAAGAAAAGCTCCAAAATTGAGTGAGAGTCATCTTCGGTGCCGGGGGAGAATCGAGAATTCGATGAAGAGATCGAAGTTTTCGACTCACGAAGGTACAGTTTAGGGAAGAGCGGGCCGGTGAACAGCGCAGCGCCGCGAACATTGTTGGTAAACAAACATCGACACTCGGCGCAGGAGGTCTCTCAGCAGCAGCACGTATCCGGCGCTCTAAAGCGGGAATACCTAAAGTCGGAAGACTCTCTGGAAATTTTCGGAACCGCTGGCGAAATGGTATGACGGACTTTGCTGATCAAATTCATTTTCTGGTAGAGTGCCTTAGCACCGGGGGTAGCATGAGCGAGACTCGCTAATCGATCATTATACATTTTTCCGGAAGCTCCCTCTGTCGCTCCTGAAAACCGCTCAGAACCATCCCATGGTAAGCGAATTTCATACCCATAACATTCGTTTCGAAGTTTCAATCTTATACTTGAATGGATTCAGACCATCGAGCCTTGATCGGAGGCCCACAAGTCCCGCGGTCGCGACTCTCCGGTGTAGAGAGCCATCCCCTTTCCTGATTCCTTGATTTTATCCCTGCGAGTTCCTTGGTGTGAGATCGGATATCTGCTCTCGATGTTCTCGAAGTAACAGAGCTCGTCTTTAAAGCTAGTCGAGCTCAAAAATGGGGAAACGTACAACGGTCACTTGGTCAGCTGTGACAATTGGATGAACATCAACCTCAGGGAGGTGATTTGCACGTCAAGGGTAAGTTGTTCATATCGAGTCTGCCGAGAGAAATCTTTGACCTGCCGACTCACGAGCAAAAGATGACCCGCCGACTCACGAGCAAAAGATGACCCGCCGATGCTCTTTCTGAACAGGAAGGAGATAAATTTTGGCGGATACCGGAGTGTTACATCAGAGGCAACACCATTCGGTTCCTCCGGATACCCGACGAGGTGATTGAAATGGTCAAGGACGATATGCACAATGGGGGCGGAGCGCGAGGTGGACGCGGACGCGGAAATTTCCGCGGAAGAGGCGGTCAACGAGGACGCGGAGGAGCCCCGAGAGGTCGAGGGATGTAATTCATGTATATATGGAATCGTTTTTCACTCATGGACATAAAGAAACAACATCTTCTTCCTTGATCATTTTCCCTGGCTCCATAATTCTTCGCTTGATCCTTAGTCACCAGGCCCTGTCGCCAAGACTGGCCGCAAGTATTTCAGATACATATTTGAACTTCCGCTCGACCTCGAGGCGGTCGGAGCTCCCATCAGAATCTGATAGTCGCTCGAGCTTTGAAGGAATAGCACGATATTACTGAACGTCGTTATTATGAAACTCACGAGGAGACCTCGATTGACAATGAACATTCCCAATATGGTGGAACCGACTTCCCTTTCGACGACGTAGGAGAGTTTGTGCAGCTTATGTTGGAGGGCTACGACGTTCAGCTGATTCAACCGGTCATGAGGCATCAAGTCATGGTCTTCAACACGATATACGGTCTCGACGAGATCTCCGTGAAGGAGCTGATGATGCGGGAGCTCATACTGCTCCCCTGCCCATCGTAACGATTCTCGGTAGAAAATCCGATAATTGCTGCGGTCTTCATCTCTCAGATCGACGAATTTCTAGGGAACAGACTTTTTTTATCACCTCATTTCGACGAGGATGTCAAGCCAGTATTCGTAGGCGCAGAGCTCTGGGAGTCGCTCACCTGGAAGATGATGGGGAGGAGTGCGTCCCAGTCGGAGCTGACTGAGGAAACATTTTCAGCGAGGATTATCAGCGACAATATATCACCGAAACTCATCACTGTCGAATGAATGAAGCTGAAACTCCTGGACCCTTCGTCTATGGTGAATGTGATCCAAGCGAGCGTTTGTTGAGCGATCGCGAAGAGACCTGTGACGAAACTAGGGGCGAAGAAATACTCGGTTTTCCTTCTGTCTGGATTGGGATTTCGCCTCTCGCGGGATCGGAGCACCAAGAAGTCAAACCTCAGAACCTGTTGAATATGATGATTTTCAAGAAGCCATCGATCGATTCCAAGTCTTTCCTGATGGCGCGAGGACCTCATCGAAGGCCCACGCGCCCTTCTTGATTCGCTCGGCGAGGATCTGAATCCTCAGAGCGAAGTATGAAGACATTACAACCACGAACAGAGTGCAGATTAGGTTCAGTTGATGATGGAGCATTCTCTTCGGATGGATTTCGGTCAGAGCTGTCAATTACCATTCCCGTCATAATTATTATTTGTAGAGTTAGAATGAGCCTCTGATGGCATGATTGCTTTTACCCTGAGAGTAAACATCGTGTAAGCGACTCTCTCGCCTAGCATCTGCTCCGAACGAGACTTCAGGGCCAGACCCGAGAACACGAAGAACTTGACGAACGGGTTTGAAAATTCCCGTCGCCCCTTCGCGGAATCCGGGCGTTCTGCGGAGGGCTGATTCGATGTCGACAGTGAGCTCTTCGATCGAAATGTCGAGGTGAGCGCTGCCGGCGATCTAATTGGTGAGCTGAAATCCTTGAATACGCTGCTATTGCTCAGTGGTATGTAGCTGGACGTGCTTGCGCTGATGGGTGCGTAAACCAGCGGAAATCTCATGACGACGGACACGATCCAGTGAAAGGATGCGAGCACGAATACACCGTACGTCAGCTGGCAGAATCTCTTTGAAGTCATGGATCTATCTCCGAGTAGCCGATGATAGTGCTCCATAGACTTGATCGCATCGGCTTCTCTGAGTGAGATAGGAATCAAGCTGCTCATGGTGAAGTAAAACCGCCAGACCCAGAACTCAAATCGGTACAAATATTCACTGAGCAGCGGTTTCCATTCTGCAACGGGGAACGTCCGATTCCTGAGGATTTCTTTGGTACTTTATCACAGGCGCGGCGCGTAAGACGCAGCGGAGAAAGACGTGTACATAGCTGATACGCACAAATAGTACAGTTCAGTGATATCCCAGACTACACCTCACCTAGAAACGTTAGGGTGTATGCAATGTCTTGCCATAAGAGCAGTGTTTCGTAGATCATCAGAAGGATTCGATACAAGAGCAGGAGGCGTCGAATCGCTTTTCCTGACTCCAGTACTGCGATGCCAAGCGGCAGAGCGGTGAGCTGCAGCAAAACACAATCGATGACCGGGCGAGGCATCCCCGACCAGGACTGAAGTCTGTGATGTCTGTGACCGAATGTCGGCGATCCAGGTTGACGACAATCAGCCTGGGAGAAGTCTGGTGCACGGGTCACTGATTCCGGACGACTCTAGTGAGATAATCTCGGACGACACACTCGAGCCATTGGTCTCGACCGATTACCGATCGATTTTCGAATAGCGCCCTCGTCAATACCGACCAAAATTTCTCCAAGGACTTGATCGGATTCGAATTGCAATGCGGAAGGAGAATCTCGGCGAGTGCGGACTCCATTACTTGGAGGCACGGGCTATTGCAATCTACTCAAAGATGCCTGACACGGTCACGAACAATCGATCAAGAGTCAATTTCCCGCGAATTTTACACGACGGGCGTGTCCCTAGGACCTTGCTTGAGTACGATCACTTCTGTCCGAGAGAATGCTTGAACGAGACATTAAGACGCGAACTTGATCACTCAGCTCGAGCCCGGAGGACGACTTGAATAATTCATCACGAGCATTAGTACCCACTAATAGCGACTATTGATTCCTCAGTACTGAATATTCTGAGCCTACATGGGGATTACCAATTGATCAATTGGTTGTGGGCTAGTCACGGCATGACTGCTTCCGAACTATGACCTGTACAGCAGGCCGCTTCCCCTCACGCTTTTCGCATCGATATCGTTTGGGTTCTCTCTGGATCTGTCATCGGGAGCCAAGCGATAGCCGATACTCGAAGCATCACAGCTTCAGTGTGTCAAGCACCGAAGTTAAGATTCACTGTGTGTTCCACCAGGGAAAAGGTTTCTTCCGAATCGATTCGTTCCCGAATATGAATGCGGAATGAATGATGGAAGAAATTCGGATTTCCTTGCTCACTCGGAGTTGTAGTCAGCCCGTTCACTTCACCGGATCATGTGTTCCCCTATCTTGATCTTGCAGGATGACTCCTGAGCGTCGGGATCAAATTGAGGCAATCAATGAAGCCTACGATTTTTCATTGTACGGTGTGACCCTCCGTCGGCAGCGAGAGCGACGGTCCTTCCGGTGTCGTCTTGAGAGCCTTGGTCTTTTAATCCACCAGAAGTGGAAATTGCCTTTTAGCGTTTTCACGTAAGGTATTCCAACCTGCAAGCATTCGCGTCGCAGTCGGGCCCGAGGAAGCAGAGTCGCTAGCCTCGCCGGGCAATTCGTTGAACCGATATGCTTACGAAGTTACAAATAGCTTCCGCTGTGAAATGAAGTCCTGGCGGATACCGAGCCAGACGGGCTGGTGGGGTCTGATATGCAACTATCCGATGGAGGAAGTCCGTTTCGGCAGCTAAGGATAGAGAAGACTCCACGCTCTTCCGATTCAAGCTGAACGCGCGTGGAAAATCCGCAGCTGGCCATGGGGGTATGAATACGTCGGTGTCCTGCCGTATACCACTTCCTCTAGGCTTCACTCTCTATTCAGATGACGTATATTGCTCGGGGGGGGGGGCTCGGGGAATGTTTATTTCTGATATCGCCACCGATGGCGATCGGCGCTCTCTCGGGATTCTTCCCGAACGTGCCTATCCTCCCTCTTCTCCCAACCTACCCCCAAGAGATGAACGGCCACTGCGCCTTCTGTAAGCGGACATGTCGCTGAGGGTGATCCATGGAGCCTCCACGTGATCCTTCCCCTGTAGGCCACAAGTTGATCGAGTTCCCAGCGGGACTGCAGGCCAGAACATCTCCGGGTATCATCCGGAAAGGTTCTATAAAACTCCACCGCTCACATGGGACATAGTGACGCGCCCGCCCCTCCCCCTCACTGCACTCCACTAGTCTTTCTTGCGCGTTGAGCAGGGTCGACCTCAACGCTCACCCCCGGGCTTTTGCCATTTAATGCATATCTACAACGTGCGGCAGTCATAACTGCCCCGGAAGCGTAGCACAAAGAAAAATCCCTATGTTCGATACCTTTTCTTCTTCCATGCCCAAAACACACTGGAGTTCCGTCTGGATAACTTTCTCGCTCGCTCGATATTGCACATCATTCTCTCGCAGACATCATAGCAGCTATGAACCGAAAAACAATTGATCGGGCGGCTTGACTAGCGGGAGTTCCGATTCGCTGACATTCCGGGACCGAAGACTCGAATCAAATATCATAGACTTGGCCTTTCAAACTACTACTGCTCTGGGTCACCATCAATTGATCCAGTGACGTTTCACACAAGTCTCTAGCCGTCATTTGCGATGGGTCGAGTGCTCCTGGAAAACGAGATCGATCTGAGAATCGACAGCCGGAGTCGGACCACTCCAGGGATTTAGAGCTCCGGAACGGAGCAAGCGGCTGAAGGTATGCGTCACACCCACCAGAACTTTCCGCTTCGTGCGAGGCTCCTGCTGAGCTATCACAGGTGGAGGGCGATAATAGTCCACCCATCCGGCTCTTTTGTTTTGTTGGCGAACACATAGGAGAGGCTCCCCGCGGGAACCGGGGTGACGAGTGAGCAGACATATCCTCCAGAGGAATTTCCTCATCTGCCAGACTGAATGCGCGGGGAGACGATTCCCGAGATCGGGAAAGCGATCGATTCTTTCTCCTGCAACGAGAACTCCTTTCTGAGCCGAATGCCGATGGGGGGACCTGCCTCTCGGTTTACTGGAAGATGCAGTAGCTTTCGGAGGCTCGGTGGCCGCACTAACCTATGGCTCTCTTTGATTTCTACAGGTTGACTGGCGATTCTCTTCTTATCCTGATTACGATTGGAGAACGCCGGAACTGCCGAACCGGGGATCTTCGGTCGGACAGTCACTTCAACTAATCGATTGGAACTAGAAACGAGAGAGATTCTTTTTAGAGTCGTCCAGACAACAGACTGAAGCTAGGCGAGCATTCGGTGGGCGGGACTGGCGGACAGCAAATATTTCACCGCGTCGAGTAAAATCGGAACGACTAAGAGACCGATTAAAATGCGGAAATCAAGGATACTCAGATAAATAGGACAAGCTTCTCTACGGTCATGCTTGGCCTACTAAACAGGATTTTTATTCGGAATCAACTTGCTTCTGCTCTGAACAGGGTGGGGATCGACCGGTCTCGCGTACCCGAAAGATTTCTGAGCCTCGTAGAAGGCATATTCAGTCGCCGAACCACGGCTAGCCATCTGACTAGATTCACTGGAAGTAGAACCGGATCCTGACCTAGCTAGTTTGCGGTGATTGGCCGACAGCGGCCCCACTCCAGATGGTGCGCCGCTGGGCGAGGTAGAAGAGATGTTCATGTCGAGCAGTTTGGCGATTTGTTGCATCTTCTTCTGCCTCGCTCTCAAGCGACCCTTCGACAGTTTCTGCTTGGCAGCCATGCACCTGCAAAAAAAACGAGAGCGTCCAGATTTTCCCACGCTCGACCCACGATGCTCCTCTAATCTGATTTCACTCGGAGTTTTCCATTCGGTTGCGCGATCAAGACTCTCCATTCGATGCAGATCAACTTAACACTCACCTAATATGATCATCGAATATGAACTTCGCCGCGAGGAGCGGTGGTCGCTTCGGTGGACGCAGGGTACTCTTACTATGAGTCGCCATGGAGCCAATTTTCGTGCTGCAAGACCTATGGATCGTGATGTTCAAGGCACGGCTATCGTTTTGATCTCCAGTGACTTCGATGTCTTGAAGAAGCCCAGCCAGTTTCACGACTCCGAATCCAAGTCGGGAAGCTTCCGGTTCGACGAGGATTATCTGCGTGCTATCGATGACCATGAAGCGTTTGACTTTGCTTCCGTCTTTGGTATTAATCACGTTGCAGCCGACGAGGTCGTTGTTGGTGAGATCCAGTATCTGATCGACCTTGACGAGTTCTGCCTCTTTGGTAAGAGGGAGTTCCAATTCTTTCTCCCCATGGAGTTCCAAACATAGATGCCTGCAGAGCGAACGAAGAATGAATCAGAGAATGTACTCCGATCGGAGCCTTCAATGGAGAATTCCGAATGAGGGAAGCCAAATAGCGGATCTGCGTGGAGGCTCCGGCTGCCTCGATATCCCGAATCTCTTATGGAACCCTCGAGCCTCGATAACTTTCCAATTCGTCGGTGGAATACCTCACGCGGGCATCCTCTGCAAATCGACATCGTCGTGAGCTCTCACCTGATCAAGAAAAAAGCTCTGATGGCTCTAATGGCTCTCTCGACCTCCCCACAGGGAAGTCGCTTGTGAAAATCCATTCCGCTCATTGGGGTGCCTATTGGTGGCAGCAGAAGGTTGCCGTCCATGGTTAGGTACTCGACGTTGATGCCTTTCAGCTGCTCGTATTCTTCTTCGAACATGTCCAGGAAGATTTCTTCACTCTTGAGGAATCCTTTCAACAGGAGAGCGCTTTCATCCCGGGCGCGTTTCACGAGCTCTAGGTGTGCCTCTCGGAGACAGCTTACACTGGCAGAGCTATCGTCTGACTTGATTACGGCTAGCTGCTTTATGAGGAGTATCGCCATTTCCAGGGTAGCGAGTCTCACACGGGTACCGTACACACAGGAATGTTTTACTATCCTCATCAGAAGATTCATTAGAGCGTTATTATAGGCGCTTTTCGACTTTGAATTTTCAGGAGGTATCAGGACTGAATCCAAGAGCTCCTGGTTGATTCCTGAAAGTGTAGAAGAATATTATCGATCACGGGTCGTTCGAACGGCTACCGGGAACTCGAATCGACTGATCATCGGAGGCAATATCAAAGAGCGTCCGTTACATGAAATACCCGTCCTCCTCACCAGCTGCCAGCGTGCAAGAGTGCGGAATCGGGTTAGAATGGATTTCATCCGCATAAGCATGAGAGACGAATTATCTCTGGCGGATTCGCCGATGAGAAATCGTAGCGCTTCCCCCTCAGGAACTCACCGGAATTATGTCCTAGGGCATAGAGTAGACTCAAGGCAAATAAAGCTGCATGATCGTTGACTTCGACACTGAGTGAGTCGAAAATGGCTTTCAAGAAAGGTCTCTGGCTAAAGTCGAAATCGGCGTCCGCAGCCTCAGTTTGCGGTGTGGCTGGATCGGCGACGTCGAGGACCCTGCGAGTCGGGCGAAAATGTTTTAACAAGTTTCCGAGCTCTTCCTGGCGTATGCTTCGTCAGAGGGAGCCTGGGAAACTTCGAGTGAGATCGACGGAACTCACTCTGAGGTTGGACTTGGGCTATCCGCCGGCTCTTCCTGGTTGCTCGAAGGCTCGGGCGGGGCCTCCAACGGAATCCCCTGTTGTCTGATTTTCTCCTCGTCGGTTATGTTCGATCCGGAGTGCATTGCGGCTTCCTCGGCGACTTCGACTTCTTGACTACGTTCGCCTTTATCTTTGGAAAATCGAGTTTCTTCGCGTCCAACGTCAACCACCGCGTGGAAACTGTTTCCGGGCGTAACTTCCGGTTCTCCTTCGGACCCACACGGAGTCCCTCCTGATTGCAGACTGAGCTCGAGCGGCTCATCGGGCGGAATGAATTCGGGCCGGTAGCCGAGACATGACTTCGAAGGATCGAAAATATCCATGGTTCCATCGAAGAGGACCTCGGCGAGTTGGCGCACCAAGGGCTTGTGAGACATGATCAGGAATACTTGGTTGAGCAGAAATAGAGCCACAATACGTGACACGTGCGGAGAAGTTCGCGGCGTGGTCGGCTGATCGGTCAGGGAGTAGATGTACAGGGGAAGGAACAGTCGATTCAATAGGTGATCCGTGAGAACTTCGTTGAGAGGCTCAATGTTCAGACAGAGAATGTCATTGAGATAGTGCAGATGGTCGAGGTGCTCAGCGACCAGATCCGCCAGACGCGCTTGGACCTGATGATCCGCGTTCGCCGCACACGCATCTAACTCGAGGACATTCTTACCAATGAACCAGACCAAATTCGAAAAGTAGGGTACCGCCGTCTTGTCGCAGATAAATTTCTGCATGGCAACATCGTTCACTGAAAACGGGCGGAAACTTTTGCTCGTATCGGACCCGCAAGGCTGACCGACCATATGGTACTCCAACGAATGATTGTAACGATCTTGTCCAAGAATGAATTATTCATGTTCCAACAAATGGAATCGGTTATTTCAGCTCACCTCTGAACACGTTCAAGGTGAGGGTTCTCACCGCGATTCGCACCATGGACTCGGAATGCTTGAAAAATTTGATGGCTTCTGTATACAGCGGAAAGTCGTTTGTGTGTTCATTGTAGAAAAAATGTATAGTGTGCGAGGTCAACTTCAAGGAGAGCGTTTTTATGAACGAAATGTAGTAAGCCATGACTTCCTCGTCGCTGAAATCGAATCGATGCTCTATGATCGAGTTGACGTGGTTGTTCGATAAGAGATAATCTGAAAACGAAATCGAGGCTTTGGTTCAGAGATCACGAGAATACACATCCGATCAAGTCGAGTCTTGCGTCTCTACATCGGTAGAATCAGGCGACCGATTAGCGCGAGTTTATAATGCCTTTCTGAGCACACCCGAACTCACACAGCGAAGTGTCCTGACGGATATTCTCAAACAGGATGTTGAGTGTCTGGAGCAGCTGAGTGCATACGTAACGACCTTGCTTCTGCTGCATGATTTTAACAAAGAATGATAACATGTTCTTCTCGAGGAAGAAATCGAAGACGGAGCCGTCATTCTGATCGCCCCAGATCAAAATCTCCGATATGCTCCGTAAGGTTTCCACGAGTTGATCTTTGTTGTGTTCTGTGACGATCTGGTTACGGCAAAGAATGCCGTAGAGATGTCTGGAAGAAAAATATCCAAGGTCACGCATTCGATCTCGAAGAGAGAGTTCATTCACAGGAAAAAAGGGCACGGCAGATCTGTCGCCCACAGAATCCAAGCAGCGACCCCCTCCGAGGTCAGGGTCCCTATGAGAATCGTAGCAAAATCACATATATGTATGTACACCGTGGGAAGCCGTCGATCCTCCTACGTCCGTACTCGGGGGAGGAAGGCAGTCGTCATTGCAGACTGGAGCCTGCGCGGCCGTCCTGCTATAGCCTCTAATCATTCCGACATCCGGGAACAGACTATCTTCGAGAATTCTAGAATTCATGACCGACTCTCTGCGCATTACCGCCAGAGCTGATAATGGGAATCGGTGTCGGTATCTGGTTGCGGCGGCGTAAGGAAACAATCGCCAGCTCATCCTCCGTAGTAACACTCAAAATTTCCTGTTGGTGACACACGAGGGAACTCAACGAGAACACGTCACACGAGGAAAACGGACACTTGATAAGCGCTTCCTCTGTCTGAGGATGAGTTCCGCATCTATTCCCTAACGGTCTCGGATCGACCGAGAGCACATTTGCTGGGACCCCGGAACCGACGGGCGTCCGCTAATTCTCTGCCGACGGTCAGCTAATGATAGTTGGCTAGTAGAATACGATCTCCCTTGAACCTACTTGAGATGTTCAGTGCTGTGGAGATTTCTGTTCTTGCTGCCCCATCCCCCGAACCAACCCCTCCGACCGAACATGATTTGATCCGTCGTCCACTTCAATCATACGAGTGAATCTAGGATCATGGGTCCCGATGATTGCTTAGAATCCGCTCTCTCATCACGTGAAAAACAAGGGACTGTCAAAAACACAAGACGGTTTGGACAAAATGGAAGTCACAGCTGGTTTCTGAGTGACGATCGTGGACGGGGACGACGACAACGACTGACTACTGTTGTTGCTGCTGCTAGGATGTTCTCTCTCTTAGAGAGGGAGGGGACGACAACAACATTACTGCCGAGGAATCCGAGCCCGCGAAATTTCGAAACATCTCCAAGATCCATGCACATCGAATAATTAAGAGGATGATTTCGGAATGGCCAGATTTATTGGAAGTTGACCAAGTGAGAGATGAGGGTCAACTCAACCCGAGCGGCTAGCTTGTTCGCTCGCGACTCACAGAAGGCGCATCACGAAGTGCCAGCGGAGAATCGGCGAGTCCGTCGGCCTCAATAAGTTCTTGGATTCTGTCGAGAGAAACGCAAGGAGCCCGACGATACGAACCCACACGACATCCCATCAAGAGGAGAACAAATCTTTCTTATTTTGGACTAGCGTGCCCGGCCGCGCTTCGCCGCGGGGAATGTAATGATAGCATACAACACGCAAGAGAAAAAACAGGCTTCTCTCTTAGAATTCAGGGATCGGTATGATATTTAATTATGATGATATTTAATTTAATCTATTTTGGTAATGACGACTCAATAGTAAACTCTAAATGGCTGAATATCTATTCAGCCCCACCTGTCGACCACCACTCTAGTAATTGATCCCGATACTTGGCATGTTCCTTGTCTACAGCCACCATTGTTGTATTCGAAGTACTCGTCAGTGTTGGTTTCCCTGCCCATTCCCTCGTCTGCAAATTGTGGAAGGTCAGACATGATCCTTCCATATTATCAACCATACCGGCAAAATCTTGCCAGAGGCAGAGATTCACCATTCTGAGGGAGTTGTCTACCAATGTCACATTTTTGCGAGTACGGGGTTTCGACCGCGCTCGACGGTAGCGTACTCCCTGACTTTGGAGCCTTGCCTCCCACTCCATATCAGTTTCAAGGGCGAGTGCCGCTTTTCTTGTGCGGGCTCGTCGTGAGGAAGGTCCGAGCGAGGGTCGCTTAGGGAGCATCCCTCCTAAGGATGCCGCAAGACCGAAAATCAGGAGATACTATAACTCGTTTTAGAGCAACTCAGCGATTAAAAGGGTCGCGAAAATTGGTGACTCGCGATAAGTCTACCTTTGGCTTTTCTGTTCCCCCGCTCCCCCGTTTCCCCGCTTCCCCGTTTCCCCGCTTGCCCGTTTCCCCGCTTTCCCGTTTGCCCGTTTCCCCACTCCAGTGGAAGTCCACAGAAATCCTGTTGTGTCGTTTTGACTCTATTAATATTGAACACATACTCTAGATATTTTAAGAGGACCTTCAGAAGTCTCCCTGGTACTTCCCCGGCTCACACACACACTTACTCATGTGCCAGGGAGACTTCTGAAGGTCCTCTCAAGATATCTAGAGTATGTGTTCAATATTAATAGAGTCAAAACGACACAACAGGATTTCAGTGGACTTCCATTTTTATGTATATAGAAGAAGAATTCGCGGAAGACCCCGGAGTTTTCTGAGCTTCTCTCTGAGACGCTAGAAGGCCCGCGCGGATTCGTTGCGGCTTGCGGGGCTCCTCGAAGCCAGGTCGGCGAGGCACGCTAAGTGAGTAAGAGAAGCTCTCTCTATGTAGATCAGGGGTGTCAAACTCGTGGTCCTCGGGCCACATGTGGCCCACGGGACAAGCTGGAAATCGGTGAAAATGCGGACTTGGACACCATTTTGAAAACTCGATATAAACTATCTCGATTCAGGTTCCTCGCATGGGGTCGAGTTTGGTCGCGTTGAAAAGCTGAGAGCGAGCTCTAGCTCCTTGACCCCCGCACATGTGTTTCCGGCCGATTCAAGCGCTAGAGAATAACGCGCCGATAATGCTTGACTACATTCGAATCAATTACTATGACCCGCATGAAGTCCAATGCGAAGCCGTCAAGAGCTACTCCGTTCCTAGGGGAATAGAAAAGAGCGAAGTCTGGTGCCAACTAACGAATCGACTCCATTCTGTATCGGAGTAAAGCTCCGGGTCACTCTCTAGAAGCTCCAACACATCTCCGTCACATCCATTACCATGCCTTTCCCGCAGTTCTCTGTGGCTGGAAATTAGCGGATGGATCGCGGATCGCGGCGAAGTTCACGGTGATTCTCGGACCCGTTTCGGAGCGTGATGGCCTACCGTGATGTCGTAAACATAGGCATTCAAGAGTCTTGAGTCAAGACTAGCCGAGCCGAATCGTGGCAGTGGCGGAAACAGATTTTCTTCGAGGGAAGAGTTGCTCTCGCTCGTATCCGAGAGAGGTCTGCGTCTCGAGCCCGTCGAACTCCTAACTGTTCCATGGAGCAGGGCCGTGTGATTAGTTGACTCAGCGGATTCGGGGATGAGACTGGACGGTATTGCTTGGTGAAGTAACGGTCCGAGAGCGAGACTGTAGGTACTCCGCGAGCGACGCTCCTAAAGCTCCGATTCTCGAGATTTACATTGATGCCCGGACGACGTCGAGCGGACCAAAAAGACCGGGAAGTTCCCATGAAATATCACCAGGAGTTCGTCGGGAGGGTCGGCTGTTGTTAGCTGACGACCTCCTGCTGGGGTTGGGTACCGCGAGACCGAAAATCCGAAGCCGAAACCTCGAACCTCGACGCCCCAACCCGGGAATCCGTAATCCAGAGGGCCGAAACCCTGGGAGCCGAAATGCGTGAGAACGAAAATTCGGCATCTGAGATCCCTGAGATTCAATTCAGTAGGCAGCGTTGGTCGCGCAGTCATCCCGCTCCCGGTTGATACTCGCTCGTGATGTGTCTTCCGTGACTTCTCCTAGTGCCACCAGCAGGTCCCAACATTTCCCCCCCCCCACATCTTTTCCTGCACCCGAATTCTTGCGTAGAATCTCAGGGATCTCAGATGCCAAATTTTCGTTCTCGCTGCCTACTGAATTGAGCGCGCCGGTGATCGGAGCGCGAGCACGGCTGGGGCGTGGAGGCGGAATAGAGTGCACCGACATTATGAGCGCGCTGTCATCTTGAGCGCGGAGGCGAGTTCGGGCGCATCGCTTGTTCACGTGCACCGTTGATTCGAGCGCGGGGGCGAATTGGAGCGCATCGCTAATGGAGCGCGGTGTCAATCTGTGCGCTCGAGGGGATGAGAGCAAGGTCCAAAATGAGCGCAGCGTTCCTCAGATCGACAGTGACAGTGATATCTGAGACCTCTTTGAACTCGATTCCGACTTAAAATTGTTGAGTATTCACCCTCCATTTCTTCTGGGATCTTGATGGAATTAATGAAACAGGCGAATGTATAGAAATTGCGCTCTGCCCGGTGCAGATTCCCTTCAAGGGTATAGTCTTCTATGTGGGGAGTGATACATCGATCGGTGCTACCAATTGACCATGAATGATGGACAAGCTAGTTTCTTCCCCGACATCTTATTGAATATCCGTCAACGTGTCGACGCAAATGAGTTCCGAAATTCACGGAGTTCTTCATAGTTTTTGCAACATCATAGTTCTCCACAGTCTCTGCGATAAGGTGGTGAAGCATTCAAAATGAATTGTTTAGCGCGATCGAATCGCTCCATACGAGGTTTACTGCGCGCTCTGACAAGCCATGTGCTCTCGGAATAATTGGTTAAAGGGGTCTACATGTAGTTGTTGTCTTTAACGAAGTCCGATCGCAGCAGTGAATCGAACACGGGCAGCAGGTCCCTCGTTGGGTCGGAAAACAACGTCGAGAACATGCGAACTGGTGGAGCGGCGACCGGGTCTTCCCCGTGTCCTCTTCAAAGTCAGGGTTGCTCTTTCATCACGGCCGCTTCGAAGTCGATATTATGATCAGTCGCGGGGGGGGGCCGTCCAAGGCGCCGGCAATGCTGTCTAGGAGTCTCAGGTACGTCGCTGGAGCTCCAATAGGTAATAGACAGAAGAGAAGCGGTGTTGTCTTCCCATCGGGCAGATTGACCGGTATCGCGTATAGCCAGGGCTAGGCATTTGTGGCGGCCTTTTCGCGGGAATATCGCGGACCTGTGGCCGATCTCCTCAGCAAACATTGCGGATTTATGGCGGATGCTCCGTCGACGGACCGCGCTAACTCCGGAAAAAGACAAGGGCAGCTTCATGGCTTCGGAAAGCAAAACGAAAGCTCATGTTTATCCCCTGCTGTCGTCAGTTACCTTATGCTACCCAGGAGGCTTGAAGCTAGGACAAAAACTCACATTTCGTCACTGTTATGACTAAGCATATTGTACATAAATGCTGAGATTCTTATATTTTATTCTTCGTCTATCATCTCGAAGAACACTCGCGTATTCGCTGAAAGATCTCTCAGCCGAGATACTGTTGACGGGTACACTCACATCAGACAAGTAAGAGCAATCTTCGCCAATTCGGGAGAGCCGTCGCATTCATCCACAAAATTATCGGAGGAGACGAAGCCTCGAGTTCTCTCTTGGCCGACAAGTATAGTCGGTGTTCAGCCTTACCCGGATCGTTCTCCTCGAACCACGATATATTTTCGATGACATAGCCGGCTTGGATCCTTATTGTTTTCAAGTTCGCGGAATCGAATACGCGACGGGCGCGGAAGAAGTCCGCAGCGGATAAGGATATCTTTCACAGTCTTTCACGGAATGAGTCACACAGAGCATACATATTTATCCCGTGAAAATAACTCCGAAATTCGCGGAAGGTGGGCATTCCGGTCAAAAATCGCGGATTTCATGGTGGATGCAGCGGCCGCCACGAACGCCTAGCCCTACGGTATAGCTGATGGAATATCTCGGGACGGACATTGAATGTGCCGTCTGCAAACCACTCATCATATTTGCGTCAAAGGTTCGAAATCGCCGGGGAATGCGAAGACGAGGATCCGGTTGGGATCGTCCACTCCCGAATCGTCAAACACGTAACTTCCCTCCTTGCCGGTGACCATTCGCCAGAAATTCGCTTTTAATCGCCTCAGCGCGGTCCCAATCATGACTAACAACGGAGACAGCCTAACAGAGATGTCTGGGTCGGGACCTTGGGTCTCTCTGGCAATTTCGAATCTTCTCTGCTCGTGGGATTTGTCGGCGCAGCCAGCA